GGAGAGCCGCGATTTCCGCCGGTGCCAGCGGTTGAAGGAGGACTAATAGCCCAAGGCAGGTAGTGAAAATGGGTCCTTTCAGCTCCATTAACACTAAGTGGGAGAAAATGATATTTCCTGAGAGGGAAGGGCCGGATCCTGCCCCTATTCCTTCCATTCTCTCGGCTCAGAGATGCAAACCCCCATCTGCTGTCTGCTCATGGCTCACAGAAACACAATTGTCATAAACCTGGGAACTCTGCCCGTTCAGGGGATGTCTCTCACACAGCCTTGACTTGAGCAGGGGCTTCCTTGACTTTGAAACTGCAGGGATTTTTGTGTGTTGGGGAAGTTAAGAAGAAAAGGGAAGGAACCCACCCAGAGGGGCCTCCTCTTTCCACTGTATTTGATCTTCCAGTGCCTGAAGGGGCTGCAGGAAGCCTGGAGAGGGGCTTGGGACAAGGGCTTGTAGGGACAGGCCAAGGGGAATGGCTTTAACCTGCCCGAGGGGAGACTGAGATGAGCTCTTAGGCAGAAGCTCTTCCCTGTGAGGGTGCTGAGGCGCTGGCACAGGGTGCCCAGAGAAGCTGTGGCTGCCCCATCCCTGGCAGTGCTCAAGGCCAGGTTGGACACAGGGGCTTGGCTTGGACCTGGCTGAGCTTTGAGGTCCCTTCAGCCCAGACCAGGCTGGGATTCTAGGGTAGGAGTTGACCTTCATCCCTGTCTAGGCTTGCTCCCGCCCTCCAGAGGCAATCCCGCTCCCTCCCAGGGTTTTGCAGGGCTCTTCCCACCGCATGCAGCCCGTGCATCATCTGCTGCCGCTGCTCTTGTCCCTTCTGCTGGTTCTTCGGGCTCGTGTTCAAGGACAAGAGAACTGGAAGCGCTGAGGACTGCAGCAGCCCCGGCCCAGCTGCACCCCTGTTTCCTCCCCGCGGGATAACAAGAGCAATGGGGAAACAGGGGCTGAGGCTGGCGGGGATCCTGGGGCTGAGATTTCCCATTGGGAACACTCAAGCTTCTGCCTTTGTTTTCTCTGCGTCTTCAGCCAAAGGTCAAGGCTTTGGTTCGGCTCTTGTTTGCTGCGGGGCTCAGCTGGAGGAGAGCCGGGCTCACGGAGCCCAGTGCAGCATCAGGGGGGAACGATCCATACAGAGCCTGGAAAAGCTTCCTCCTGCCTCCGAACAACAGCAGGAGCAGGGCAACGTCCGCGCGGGGCTGGAGCCTCCGTGCCAGGGTGAGGTGGACTGGGAGGACCTGTCACGGCTCTGGGGTGCAGGGCCCAAACCTTGATCCCAGCTTCTTCGTTTGCTCACCTGGAAAGCAGGGAAACGGAATCCCCCGGTCAAGGGGCAAGAGCTGGGCACTGGGAGAAGGGGGCAGCAGGCAGAGCTTGCTGCAAGGCCAGGCTGGGCACAGGGGGAAGATCCTCCCCCCGCATTCCCATGGCGCTGAATGGGGTGGAAAAGGGATTGCAGCAGGAGGGAAGCCTCCTCCCAGCTGCCTAGAGCAGCTCAGCCGTGCTGAGTGCAGTGGGGCTTGGTGGGGATAGGGCAGCCCTGTGCCACCCTGGGGGCATTCCCTGCCATTGAAACTGCTCCCCCTGAGGCCAAGGCTCTTGGGCATTGTTTGAGCTGAAGGAGACCTCCCGGTGATGTGTGTGTGAGGCGAGGGGGCTTCGAGTTCCCTCTGGAGCAGGTCAAGGTGAGGATGCTCTTGCTTAGGTGGGAGCAGAGGCCCCTGGCACCCATAGATAACACAGAGGGGATCCAGAGTGCTCCATCCCAGGGCTGCTTCCAACCCTGCTCTTCACAAGGAAAGAGGCAGGAAAAGCTGAACTGGAGAGGAGGAAGGGAAAACCACCCTGGTCTCCCCTGCAAGGGGACATCCCCGGGCACCCAAGCCCCCTGAGCACCCAGCAGTGCCCTGCAGCACCTCGGCATGGATCCATTTGGGCAGTTGGAGCCCCATGTAAGCACCCAGCACACTGGGATGGGTACGACACGGTCGGATCCATGCACCCCGGCCCCTGTCGCAGCAGCAATGGCTCTGGTTCATTCACAGCCATTTTCCTCCCCACGTTTCGCAGGGTTCTCGTGGGTTGGAGCCTGATTTTCCCTCCCGCAGGAGGAAGCTTTCAAGCCCTGGGGCAAACCACAGCAAACCCCTCAATGGGGGACCAGAGGCACAGGAGCTCCACGTCTCTGCTTAAACAGGAGCTGGAAAGCACCAGCTGAAGGGGCACAGCTGGGGTCCCGCTTGTGCTGCTTGCAGGCTATGGGATGCACCTGGAAAAGCCATTGCTTGGCTGAAGGAAACCTGATCTGCTTGAGCTTGGTTCTCGCTACGGGCTCACAGGCAGAGGAGCTGCCATGGCACTGCAGAGCCTGGGGACCACGAGCCTGGCAGCGAATCCATGTGTCCATCCCAGCCCGGGGCCGTCTTCCCCAAGGAAACGCTGCCCATGGGTGTGAAAGCAGAGCTGAAGGCAAGTGATGGCTTCACCTGGGATACGTGGCTCCAGAAGAGGGGAATCCTGTTTGGTTTGGAGCTCATTGATCCTAAACAGCACTTTGCTGCTTCCTGCCCCATTTCACCCTCACGAGGGGCTTCCTCTGTGCTCCACAGCGCAACTGCAGCTGGGTTGGGAGCACAGGACAAGAGGAACCGGCCTCAAGCTGCACCAGGGCAGGTTTAGATGGAGCTGAGGAACAATTCCTGCCCCAGAGGGTGCTCAGGCATTGGAACAGGCTGCCCAGGGCAGGGCTGCAGGCTCCGGCCCTGCAAGTGCTCACACACCGAGGAGACGAGGCCTCAGTGCCATGGGTTAGGGGTGGCCTTGGCAGTGCTGGGGTAAGGGTTGGACTGGATGAGCTTGAAGGGCTTTTCCAGCCTGGTTGGTTCTCGGGTTCTCTCCTGTTGATTAAAAGGGACAGAGCCACTAAATCCCTTTTGCCTGTCCTCTTTCCAAGCTAACTAAAGGTGGAAGAAGGTACAACATCAAGCATGAGCAGGCAGCAAGCTGGCAGGGAGCAGGGTGCCGGCAGTGAGTACCAGTGAGCAGGCAATGAGCAGCAGTGAGCAGCAGGGTGCAGGCAATGAGCAGCAGTGAGCAGGCAGTGAGCAGTGAGCAGCAGGGTGCAGGCAATGAGTAGCAGTGAGCAGCAGGGTGCAGGCAATGAGTAGCAGTGAGCAGGCAGTGAGCAGCAGTGTGCAGGCAGTGAGCAGGCAATGAGCAGCGGTGTGCAGGCAGTGAGCAGTGAGCAGCAGGGTGCAGGCAATGAGTAGCAGTGAGCAGGCAGTGAGCAGCAGTGTGCAGGCAGTGAGCAGTGAGCAGGCAATGAGCAGCGGTGTGCAGGCAGTGAGCAGTGAGCAGCAGGGTGCAGGCAATGAGCAGCAGTGAGCAGGCAGTGAGCAGGCAATGAGCAGCAGTGTGCAGGCAGTGAGCAGGCAGTGAGCAGTAGGGTGCAGGCAGTGAGCAGCAGTGAGCAGGCAGCAGGCAGCAGTGAGCAGCAGTGTGCAGGCAGCGAGCAGCAGCGTGCAGGCAATGAGTAGCAGCGAGCAGCAGGGTGCAGGCAGATGAACACCTACAGCGTACCTGTGGTGAGAAAGCCGGGTGCACTGAGCGGGTCTGATCATTCCCTCATTCCACAGCTCCTGTCCGGCCTTTTCTCTCCAGCCAGAGCTGCCAAAGCCTCATTTCTTCAGCCCTGGCCCCAAGGACCTGCCCCCAGCAGTGGCAGTGGAACACGTCCAAGGCGGTGTCCTCCCGGGACACCGGTGACCAAGCACCACTCCAGGGTAGTTCATGCTTGTGGATGTGGATCAATACAGACACAGCCTGAGCTTGTGAAGCCTTTATTAGAAGGAAGGACAAGCACTGAACCTCCCGCGTTTCTCCTCCAGGTCAAGCAACGCAGCCTTCACCCCGAGCACAACCCTGAGCAGCCAGCAGAGAGCTGCAAGCAGCAGTTCCCTGCTCCACACATACCTCCAAGGACACAAGCATCCGGTCCCTTTGCATTCAAGGGGTCTCCATCTCTGCTGGTTGCACCACAGGAGGTAATAGAGCCCTTCCAGGACCACGGTAAGGGTCTCAGCAGGAAGGTGAGTGGGCAGCAGCTCCTGTTAGGGTCCAGCACTGGAAGATGCCGAGCTGATCCCTGAAAGCACAAGCGATGGCCAATGCCATGGGCAGTGTTCATGCAGCACCAAGGACAAGCTGCTTTGGGGCTTTAACGTCCTGTCCCCAGGCAGGAGGAGCAGTGGGAGAGAGGTGGCTCAATCCCATGGAGCACAGCAGCAGGTGGTGAAGCAAAGGGTGGCCAGAAGCTGTTGTGAGCCTGCAGCTTGGTGCTGATGGTGGTGCTGGTGCCTGTGGGCTATCCTGGGAAATCAAGACGTTAACATGGAGCTGGGCATCTGGGTGCACGGAGACGCTGCCCTCTCAGAGTTCAGCTTGCACAGACCCCGCTGATGGGCCACAGATGCACAAGGTACCTGGAGAAACCAACCAGCATCCAGCAAGCAAACCCACCCTTACGGGTAGCTCTGGGTTAGAGCAGCCCATCCCCAGCATCCCCTCCTGCACCCAGGGAGCTCAAGCATGGACGTTCTTAAATTACTCAGGGAGCAGAGACTGAGGCTTGCTGGTGCCCCATCCCTCTGAGTCCCACTCGGCTGTGAAGAGCAGTGACAATTGCACTTTGGAGGAGCTGGGACCTGGTCACAGAGATCCCTTCAAGAGGTCAAGCATGTTCTGAAAGCTGCCCCCGTGCTCCACACAGCTCTGGGTGGAGAACACGTTTCTGAGTGTCCATTGTCCTTGCACCACGGGCTGCAATTTCAAAGGAGAAATGCAGCAATTTAACGGCTACCGGGAGAGCCGGTGCTCTTCCAGAGGCAGAAAGTGCTGCCCGTTGCTTAGGAACAACCTTCATCCCACAGAATGAAGACGGACGCGCTCCAAAGTGTGTTTAAATGCACCCCAGGTGTGTTTGTCTGGCTCAGACCTGACCCATCTGCAGATAAACCATAGGGAAGTCACTGTGCTGCAGGTACAGCACTGGCTGCGTGTGGTACCCAGCCAGGAGCTGGGGTCCAGGCTGTGTGCCCCATCCCAGCCAGGAGCTGGGATCCAGGGTGTGTGCCCCATCCCAGCCAGGAGCTGGGATCCAGGGTGTGTGCCCCATCTCATCCAGGAGCTGGGATCCAGGGTGTGTGCCCCATCCCAGCCAGGAGCTGGGGTCCAGGTTGTGTGCCCCATCCCAGCCAGGAGCTGGGATCCAGGGTGTGTGCCCCATCCCAGCCAGGAGCTGGGGTCCAGGTTGTGTGCCCCATCCCAGCCAGGAGCTGGGGTCCAGGCTGTGTGCCCCATCCCAGCCAGGGGTGAGATCCAGGTTGTGTGCCCCATCCCAGCCAGGAGCTGGGGTCCAGGCTGTGTGCCCCATCTCATCCAGGAGCTGGGATCCAGGGTGTGTGCCCCATCCCAGCCAGGGGTGAGATCCAGGTTGTGTGCCCCATCCCAGCCAGGGGTGAGATCCAGGCTGTGTGCCCCATCCCAGCCAGGGGTGAGATCCAGGTTGTGTGCCCCATCCCAGCCAGGAGCTGGGGTCCAGGTTGTGTGCCCCATCCCAGCCAGGAGCTGGGATCCAGGGTGTGTGCCCCATCCCAGCCAGGGGTGAGATCCAGGTTGTGTGCCCCATCCCAGCCAGGAGCTGGGATCCAGGGTGTGTGCCCCATCCCAGCCAGGAGCTGGGGTCCAGGTTGTGTGCCCCATCCCAGCCAGGGGTGAGATCCAGGGTGTGTGCCCCATCCCAGCCAGGGGTGAGATCCAGGCTGTGTGCCCCATCTCATCCAGGAGCTGGGATCCAGGGTGTGTGCCTCACCCCAGCCAGGTGTGAGATCCAGGCTGTGTCCTATCCCAAGCCAAGAGATGGGAAAAGGGCTGTAAAAGCCACATAGGAAACTTGCTCATCCCATTGTTCTGCTGCAGTGAACCAAGGAGCTGGTGTTTCACTGACACTCGGGTCTTCCCTGCTGTCTGGGTCAGGTGAAAACCCCTCCTCCTGCCCCAGCATGTCTACGTGGGCTGGCAGGTACATCCTGCTCCGAATTACTCTGGAATTACGCTGCCTTTGCCTGGTTGGGGTGCTTGTTGCTGCACCGGTTTGTGTTCCCAAAGAACAAAACATCCTTGAGCTGCTCCTAATGGCAGCTTCACCACGAAGCCCATGGGTTCCTTGCCTTGTGGCAGGCACAAGGGACCTGGGAGCAGCAACATGCCACCACAACCAGCACCCAACCTGCTCCCGTCTAAAGCACAGTGCACACAGGTCCAAAAGCAAAACTGATCTCTCGAGGACCTTCAGTTAAGACAATCTGGTTTGCAAAGCGATCTTATCCGAGACCCCAGTGGAAGCATCTGCCAGCGTGGAGCAGGTGTTGAACCGGGAAGCCCTGCAGGACATCAGGCTGGAGCTCTTCTTCTTGCGGTAGAAGCAGCTGCTGAGGTGGAACCAGAACTTGTCGTGGAGGGAGGCGTAGATGAAAGGGTTGTAGCAGGCAGAGCTCATGGCAATCAGGTGGCAGGAGACCTGGATGACGTTGATGTACCTCTTGTCCAGGATGGTGAACTCCTCGTCGATGTCTCTGATGAAGTTCACCACCTGGAGGGGCAGCCAGCAGACAGCAAAGCACACCACGGACACGGTGAGCACCCGAAAGGTCTTCTGCTTCGTTTTGGTCCATTTCTCTTGGCAGGGGTAGGCAGCGCCCGGGACCTTCCTCCTCCGCAGGTGGTAGGTGATGGCACAGAAGGAAACGGACACTGCCAGCAGCGGGAGCACGTAGGACAGGAGGAGCATCAAACACGAGTACAGCAGCCGCGCTCGCTCTTCGTGCTTCCAGAACTCCTCACAGATGATCATGTCGTGGCCGATGGTGTTGAGGTCCAAGTAGTGCGTGTGCAGCGAGGTGGGAATGGAGGCCACGACGGAGAGCAACCAAATGCAGGCCACAAGGCAGACGCAGGACCTGTGGCTGATCCTCCTGCGGATGGGGTACGCCACCACCACGTACCGGTCGATGGCAATGGCCGTGAGGGACAGCACGGACACGAAGACGGTGGCAGCCTGCATCAGGGTGACGAAGTAGCACATGGACATCCCAAAGAGCCATCCCCGTGCCTCGAAGGCGTAGGAGACGGTGAGGGGGACGCAGGCCAGGCACATGATGAAGTCGGCCACCGCCAGGTTCCCGATCAGGAAATTGGTGGTGCAGTGCAGCTTCTTGGTGAGGGCGATGAGGAGGATGAGGAAGAGGTTCCCCGTGCATGCCACTGCCACCAGCGTGGCATAGAGCGGGATGAAGAGCGGCTTGAGCTCCAGGAGGAGGTCCAGGCCGGTGAAGAGAGGGGCTGAGCCGTTGTGCCAGGAGTCGTTGGGCAGGCGGCTGTGAGCCATGGGGGTCTCCTGCCAGCACTGCTCCTCCACACCTAGAAACCAGGGATGGGAGCGTCAGCCCTGACCGCGGAAGGAGCCTGCTCTGGTTGTGCTTGTGGGCAGAAGAACCTGTCCCCAGGGTCCACCCAGGTCCTTCTGCCCTGCCCTGTACCGATGCACCAGCTGACTTACGAGATGTGGGACCTTTTAAGAGCAAAGGTGCCCGCGGCAGACTCAGCGGAGCTTCTGTAGGGATAGGCCGGGAATGAAGCGGTTAACCAGCACGGCACGGAGCTGCCGGCTTGAAGCAGCCGGGTGGGGATGCTCGGATCGGGTCGGGAAGAACCCCTGGAGCCGTGCTGGCCTGAAGCAGAACAAAGGGACTCCTGCAGCATCTTTTGCTTTCCATCTCCCCCCTCACCTCGTCCACCCCGACCGGCCGGCAGAAGGATGCTCTCCATCCCTGTCCCCCCCAATTCATCCCACCCGCTCCCACCATCCCCGTTCCCCCCGACTCATCCCGTCCCACCGCTGTTGTACCGGTCAGTTGTCGTTCCCCGGCTGGGTTCGGGATCCCCCGCGGGGTTCCCCGCAGCCCAGACCCGCTCCCGGCAGCGCAGGCGGCTGATGCCGAGCGTGTTTCAGCAGCAAACACACGGAGATGGAGAATCACCCCCAAACCCACCAGGACCCCCCCTCCCAGCAGCACCTGACCCGTCCCCCCGCGGCGAGTCAAAGCAGCCCTAATTAATTACTCCCTGTAATTAGCGGGGAGGGGTTATAGAGGGAGGGCTGCGCCGCTCACCCGCCCGGCCGGGCTCGGTGCCTCCGAGAGCCGCGGCTGTCCCCGGCAGCCGCTGGGTTTTGAAGGTTCTTTGTTGCCCCCGCTCCCGGCGCTGAGCTCCCCCCCGGCGGGCACAGGACGTTCCCCGCGTAGCGCTCGGTATTGCAGGTACAGCCCAGCCCCACGGGGCGCGGGGGGAGCCCCGGGGGCGGCGGACGTGGGGACCGCAGGCTCGGAGAGAAGGGGGGCGCTGGGGGAACGGGGCGGGAGGGCGCAGGGACCGCGCGGAGCTACCGGGCACCGGCAGCGGCCGCCCCGTCGGGGGTCCCAGCAAGGAGGGGATGAAGGCAGCCGTGGGGTGAGGGCAGCACCCATGGGGTGCCGGCACCCGGGGGGCTGAGGGCAGCCGTGAGGGGTGCTGGTGGCCGGTGGGTTTCGATGAACACCCAGCCACGGGGTGAGCGCCAGCCCTCGGGGGCCCGTGGTGTGGAGCACAGGCATGGGGTACAGCCTGTCCCCAAAGCCAAGCGGCTCCAGCCAAGGGGCTGGCAGTGGGGGACCCATCGCCATGGGGAGGGGGGATAAATGTGTCATTTTGCATGAAAAACTATTCCCCCCCCCCCGGCCGGGATCCCTGCCCTGCTTCCCACCCCACGGAATTGAGCAGAATGGCCCCAAACACCAACGGGAGGAAACAGCAACGGGGCTGCAGGTTACTGAATGCGAATCAGAAGACTGATTCCACGTGCAAGATCTTTTCATCTTCTCGTTCCCAGCTCACTTAAATAAGGGGGAATCAAAACTCACCATCAACAGGGCCATGGAAATTGCCAGCTCAGCCCTAGAAGTTCTGCAAAGTTACAACCTTTGGTGAGCAAAGGCTGCTCCTTTGTCTCATCCTGGTGGATGCGGGCTGGGGTTATTGAAGCTGGCTGGGAGCTCATCCCTGCCAAAGCATCAGCAGGAAGAAAATCATCTTTGTCTCCATCTCACAGCCTGGCCGAGAGCTGCTCTGGGTTTTAAACAGGAGAACAATCAGACAAGGGAAGCAGAAGGCTCTTAAAAGACCATTTGAGATGGGAGATAGATCTGAACATGACAGTAGAGTAATGAGTCGCTGGTACAGGGCACGTCCACCCCACATCCAGCTGCACCATGGCCAGGACAACCTGACAGCAGCACTGGGAGCTTCTCCCTCTGCACTTGTTATCCTGGAAAAGCCTTTTCTAACCTGATCTTTGCTGCTTCCAGACTCTGTGGGTAAGTAACTGTTACCCAAAGCTCATCTCACCCCACACAAGGGGTTCTGTCTCTGAACAGGCACAAGGGATGGGTTTGAAAGCTGTGACCCACCTGGTCTGTGAGCTGGTGATTGGGATTTTACTGGAAGTCCCTGGATCGGGTGGAAGCAGACAGTGCCTGTTCTCCCTGTGCAGCGACAGAATTGGCTCCCTGCCACACAGAGGGCAAAGAGCTGGTGTCTTTGCTGTGCTTGTAGGGATCCTCCTGCTCAGAGGAGCAGGCTTATGGGACAAATCAAGGTACATGGGGCAGGTGAGCTTCTCTCTCCTGTCCCTTGCACAGTCAGGTAGGTGTAACCAGCAGCAAAGGCCCTGTGTGTGTCTATCAGTGCAAGTTCAAAGCCCTCAGCTCTTTCTGTATCGCCATAATTCTTTCCCAGACCCTTTCCTGGTACTCCTGAGCTATTTCTAAAGGGGAAATAGTGAGAGCTACTCTCTGAGGTCCCTTCTCTAGAGGAAATGTTGGGTTATAGGACCAGGAACTGTGTTTCAGTACAGGTGTTTTGAATACATTTCTTTCTCATCTCACTTTAATGGGAACAGGCAAAATAATACAGAACATCTTCACAGTCACTGCTGATGACAAGACCTGACTGAGGAACAGCCTAGGTGCAGAGAGGCTGCACCCTCTTCTCCTTGTACCAGCCACTGCTGGTGGATGCTCCAAGGCATCTTTGCTCCAGCCTGACCTCAGAGGGGAGAGGTGCTCGCAGCACTGTATCTGTATAGGAAAGCTGCCTTAATTCTTCAGAGCTGAATTAAAAGATGACAAAAGCCAGCCTCCAACACGACACGAGACTTGCAAGTCTCGCGTCCCTGATGGTTGGGTGAGTCACTGTTTCTCATGTGTTACACCCAAGTGTTTGTTCTGACAGAGGATGATGAGCACAACTCCTGCGCAGCAGTCACAGGGCTGAAGAAGAACCAACAGTGCAGCAGCTGCCAGTGAGAGGGAACATTGGATGGAGGCCGGAGACGAGGCAGGACTGCCGAGAAGCTGCTCTTAAACATGTATGGTCACAAAGAAACGGCAGGAACACGGTGCGAATCCAACGTGTGTGACACCAGAACTGCCCCTCCAACCGCCGAGGCAGGACCTGCAGCTGCAGAAGGTGTGTGCTGCTTCCCTCTACCGACCCTCGGTGTTAGTGCGGGACAGAAAGCGAGGGTTAGGGAAGAACCGGTCTCACACAAGTACGTGATTACAGAGTCTTTGATTAGCAGCGGACAGTAATACCCTGCGGGGTTAAACAGGATGAAACCCAATGAAATAGAAGAATATATTTAAAGACAGGTAATTCTACACAAGTCTGTGATGCAAACAAGGTATTGGCAGCTTCCCTGGTTATCACTTGTGGTTTCTTAATACTGAATCTCACCTGACCCTCTTTTGGAGAGGCTGAAGGAGATAAAGAACAAGTACAAAACAATCAACAAGAGAAAAAAACCACCCCCCTTCCAATCTGTTCTGCAATACAGAGCTTGGCTGGTAAAACGGGATGTGGTGGGTGGGGGTTTACATAGAGAGGAATGTTGAACAGGCACAACAATGTCAACAATGTCGATGACACTTTCAATGCAACAATAGCTTCCTCTAGGGTTCCAAATTCCTGTAGGTGAAAAGTATCTGTCTTCCTCCAGGCACAGCTCCAGGCCAGCTGAGGCTTAAAGAGTGAAGATCTATGGGAAACACCACAATGGACTTGCAAGAAAGGAAACACACTGCCCAACTGAGTAATTTAAAAGGTACAAGACAAAACAGCTCAGTGGCTTGAGCTATTCTGTTCTGGACCATTATGTTTTCTGATGCTTCTGAACAACTGCTTTGCTTTTGTTTAATATGTCTCCTGGTGAATCACAACCAATTCAGACTGGAATGATTGATTGCTGCAGGCTGGCAGAAGATCAGAGTAAGAAAGATTCAGTTCTGTGTACACTGTGGCACAGGCCTCCCACTCCTGACCGTAACAAGGGGTGGTCACTGCCTCCGCAGGGCCAGAGCTGGGGTTTGAGTGCTGGGGTTATTTAAATGACTGATAATTGGCACTTTCCCCCCTTCTCCTGTTATCGCTATCACTGGGTACAACTTCAGCAGGGTCAGAGCAGGAGCTCTGTGTGTGGCTGGTGTGTATCTCACTGCTCTGCAGCTGGAGGGTCCTCCTCACTCTCCTGCTTCTCCGGCTGCGGCTCCGGAGGGATGAGGTACTGCACCTCCTCCGTGTTGATGGCCACTTTATCGGGCTGCAGCCATCGCTTCAGATGTTCCAGTGTGCTGAGGGGAAGCAAAGGCACAACAGTGAGATGGGAGAGCAACAGCACCCCCAGGCATGTACAACAAGGTGTCGGGAACATCCTCCCTGTGCATTTCTTCTGTAGGTATACCTGTCACCACCGACAAGGCCTATTGTGACAGATCCATGTGTCAGAGGAGCAAGGAGAACCTTTCATCCTACAAAGGCATTCTGCTGCAGTTGGGCTTTTAAACTGTGGTTAGAAAAGTTCTAGACTGATTTTTCTTGATTAGAAGAATCCTTAGTGGGAATCTCACCCTTAGCATTCCTGAAGCACCAGTCTGTAGGCAAGATTAGAGTTCAATTTCCAGCTTTCTGGGCTGGAAGTAAAAACCTTTTTTGGAAGTGTTAAAGCAAACTCCACAACTGCCTGTTTGTGATGAAGATTAGGAAATGGGGGGGGGGGGGGGACACACACAAAACCAAAGCAGGAAGCACATATAAAAATGTGTGACCATTACTAACACTGCAAGATTAAAAAAGAAAGAGGCAGCATGTGTACATTGTAGAATGGTAACCAAATGATGGATTATAGAATTGTAGAATAGTTAGGGTAGGAAAGGACCTTAAGATCATCCAGTTCCAACCACCCTGTCATGGGCAGGGACACCTCACACTAAACCATGGCACCCAAGGCTCTGTCCAACCTGGCCTTGAACACTGCCAGGGATGGAGCATTCACAACCTCCCTGGGCAACCCATTCCAGTGCCTCAGCACCCTCACAGGAAAGAATTTCCTCCTTAGATCCAATCTAAACTTCCCCTGTTTCAGTTTGAACCCGTTACCCCTTGTCCTGTCACTGCAGTCCCTAATGAAGAGTCCCTCCCCAGCATCCCTATAGGCCCCCTTCAGACACTGGAAGCTGCTCTGAGGTCTCCCCGCAGCCTTCTCTTCTCCAGGCTGAACAGCCCCAACTTTCTCAGCCTGTCTTCATACAGGAGGTGCTCCAGCCCCTGAGCATCCTCGTGGCCTCCTCTGGACTTGTTCCAACAGTTCCATGTCCTTTTTATGTTGAGGACACCAGAACTGCACACAATGCTCCAGGTGAGGTCTCACGAGAGCAGAGCAGAGGGGCAGGATCACCTCCTTGGACCTGCTGGTCACGCTACTCTTGATGCAACCCAGGATATATAATATATATATATAAATACATACATACCAGTATCTTTACTGTCTTACAGCCTATCACACAACTGGTTCAACCAGAACTGATCCACCCCATATTTGATTCAATGTGGCTATAACCCCAAAAGTTTAATGTTATAATTCTAAAATGTATGTGTTTGTGTGTATCCTCATCTTCTAGAAGTGTGATCCAAGTGCTGCCACAGCAAAATGAACTTGCTCTTGCTCTGTCACAAGAGCAGGATTTCACTGGGTAATGTCCTTGAAGTTATCTCTGTGTTTAAAAGTGAAGGTCTGTTTAATTATGTTAATGGGAGAGAATCAAACACTTTGGCATTGGGAGTGACCTTTAACTTCATTGTCAAATGCTGGGGAAGAAAATCCTTTCACTGATCACATCCTCAGCCTTTAAAAAGAGGAGGAAGAGCCTTTAAAAATAGTAGAAAGTCTACAAAAGCTTGGGTTTAAATATAAATGACACTGAAGTTAACTGGTCAAAGAAAGAATCTAAAAACTCCTGAATTATTTTTCATACTTAAACTCCCAAACAGCTTAAGTAGATTTCCTTCAAGGGAGGAAAATAATCCCTTTTCTGCTAGAAGCAATCATGACAAATGCCAGCTCAGAAAGGAGGAATATGGAGAGTGTTAGAAGTGACTGGGAATGTGAGATTGCTGAAAGAAAGAGCTCTCATCTTAATTCAGACGTCATCTGTAAAAGAGTAATGGGTGAGAGCAGAGGCACTGTAAGAGGGGCACAGAAAGGAGAGCTGCTGGAGAAATCTCATCTCAGGACTGGTACTAACCATGTAATGAACTTTACACCCGACTGGTGTCTGAACCAGTGCTTCACTGTGCCTTACAGAGGTGAAGGGAAGGGCCTGGGGTTCACTTTTAAAGGTAAGCCTTATAGAAAGTGATCTGAGACATGCTGGACACCCCCTCCTCTACTCCTTCCCTACCCCAAATGTGACAAGAGGAATTACCAAGTAGATTCCAGTTGTTTCTATGCTGGATCACCCCAGCCTGAGGGACGCAAAAACCAGTGAGCAGCACTGGAAGTTCCAACCCTATATGCTCTGGGTGTGGGGAGGGACTCTTCATTAGGGACTGCAGTGACAGGACAAGGGGTAACGGGATCAAACTGAAACAGGGGAAGTTTAGATTGGATCTAAGGAGGAAATTCTTTCCTGTGAGGGTGCTGAGGCACTGGAATGGGTTGCCCAGGGAGGTTGTGAATGCTCCATCCCTGGTGGTGTTCAAGGCCAGGCTGGACAGAGCCTTGGGTGCCATGGTTTAGTGTGAGGTGTCCCTGCCCATGGCAGGGGGTTGGAACTGGATGATCTTAAGGTCCTTTCCAACCCTAACCATTCTATGATTCTATGATGCAAACAGCAACTATCAGACTGGTTCAGAAAGCCCACGCAGTGACACGTTCTTTTGTCGTAAGTCCTGACTAAACCTTAGATTAGGTTTTAAGAACCCAAATCTGCTGCCCACACGGTGAGTGGTTATCCCTTCCCGTGTCCTTGCTCATTACCTCTCATCAGAGTCGTGCCCCTCTACATAGAATTCCGACTCAAACTTCTCCTGCAGGAACCTGTCCCAACATTCCTTCTTAGCCTGGGAGAGAGTGCGCAGCATGTCCTTAGAGGTCACCTCCTGAGACAAGCCTTTGATTCTCATCAGTCTTCGCTCTGTGAGGAGGCAAAGGAGGGGCCTTTGTTATCCTGGTTTGGTGAAAGGGAAGAAAAGAAGTATCTGGATTTCTGTATCAAGAAGTTAAACCAACTTTTCAAGCCGAAGTCCTGTTTCAAAAGTCATTTTCCCTCCTGCATTTCAAGTCTGTGTGACTAGTTCTTGTGTGTATACAGGATGGTGGTTTTTAGGTGATGTTTCTAAAGGAAATAAATGTTATGCAACCAATCAGCTCTGCCCATTTGTGAGTTTTATGAACTTGTCCACTTATTGCTCAGTTTCTATGAAATCACACGGAGGCTACAGATCATAGAATCCCAGCCTGCTTTGGGCTGGAAGGGACCTTAAAGCTCATCCAGTTCCAACCCCTGCCACAGGCAGGGACACCTTCCACTAGAACAGCTTGCTCCAAGCCCCCTCCAACCTGGCCTTGAACACTGCCAGGGATGGGGCATCTCACAGGCATTAAGGTCCCACAATTTCCACACAAATTGGCATGAAATCACACCAATTACACTGCGAATCCAAATAATGCTCAAACACAGCTTAAAAAATGCATGTGCAGCAGTATTATTAGTGGGTATCTCACAGCAGAATGTGGTGTTGGGAGTTTCGCAGCCACAGGGCATGATGAAAAGTGCCTCCTGACCTGACACAGGGTAACCCAGCTACACTACACAAAGCTACAAGCAAGTAAATGTCATTAATTCCTCTGGTCACAGATTCTCATTATAATGGTTTCCTCCTTGAATCAGGTCAGGTATCGACTTGTAATCACACTCCTTACTGAAAAGTGTAGCATCAGCAGTTGAACTGGGCTAGTTCACCTGTCCATGGCTCCCTGTTAAGCTCCCTGGAGCTGTCTTGTGGGGCAGAAAAGAGCTGTCACCGTCAGCCCCTGGCCCTGGCAGTTCAGATGTGAATTATCTGCCCAAGCACCCGGCCAGAGCTGTAGAGGAGCCAGCATTTCACAACCACTACCCTGGGCAGGTACAAACACAGAACTGGTTTATTTCTACTGACTTAGCCCGAATATCCAAGAGGAACAAGAGCTAAACACTGCAGCACTCGGCTGTGCTGGGATGTTTGCTCCAGAATACCTGTATCATCCCTCACATCAAGTGTTTCCCTCAGTTGTTGCACTGCTCACAGTCAATCTATGGCTTTATAGATAAGCAGGAATTGCGAGAAGCAATTGTGCAAAGATGGTCTGTGTCATCTGCCCTCTTAACAGCCAGATCCCAGCAGGCACGCTTTGGGAAGGCAGTTTTCCCCCTTCCTCCCCACCCAGATGCTACAAGACATCTCACAGCTGTGAGACCGCTCACCTCGGCCACGGAATCAGGCCGTAGCTGTCACCGGGCACCCAAGCAAACAGCCTTACCAGAGACACTCACCTAGGGATGCCAGATACACCTCTGAATCATGCAAGGGTGCCCAGGGCCTCGGGTTCGTTTGGGAAGAGCCACTGGATCCGCTGCCCTGGCCGCCTCCGTTGGGGTAGGAATCCATGAAGGAGTCTGTGAAAGCCTCGCTGGCATCCTTCTGCTCAGGATGGGGCAGGCATGAGCAGATCTCAGCCCAGAGGTCTTCACCGGACCTGGCGACCACGGAGTCAACGCTCTCGATCATCCTCATCGTGAAGGCCTGAGTCGAAGGGAATAAATCACGAACGCGCAGCAGCCACCCCTCACTTCAACCCCGCCTCCCTGTACCTCCCCGCACTGCCCAAACCGTGCCACCAGACCCCTCGGGGACCTCCGGTGCCACCGCGGACGCGGGGCCTCCTTCCACACAGCGGTGACAGGCTCCGGTGTGCTGCATTTAAGCCCGGGGCCTGAGGGACACCGCAGGCCGCACCGCCCGCAGCCACGGCACCGCGCTGCCGCCTGCCCCGGAGGCCCCTGCTCCCTGCGGACCGCTCCGTGGGGCTGCCCCGGCCTCTCCTGCTGGGGCACAGAGAGGACACGGAGGGGCCGCTCCCGCTATCGCCCTGCTCCCGCACCCGCCTCGGCCGCTGTCACCCGCCCGCACCGCAACCAGGGGTAAGCGACAACGGCTTCGCACCGCGCGTTGATCGGCGTCCAGCTCTGGCCAATCGCCGCGCTCCGCCGGCCCCAAGAGGTCGCCTATTCGCCAGCGACGCAGCGAGGGGCGGGGAATTGGTGGGACGCGTGACTGAGCGTGAAGCCGAGCGGCGCCATCTTTGCTAAGGGCGGAAGTGTTTCTGTGCGGGGCGGGCGGGTCAGCGGTGAGTCCCGGGGCCGGTGCGTGAGGGGCGGCCGTGACCGCGGGGCCTGGCGCGGAGGGGCCGCCCTTGGTCCGCTGCGGACCCGCGGCCGCGCCTCTGGGAGCCGCCTTCCCGGTGCTGCCGAGCCGGGGGTGGGAAGGGGTCTTGTGGCTCCGGTGTTCCCGTTGCGCTCCCGCCGCCGGCAGCTTTGGCCGCTCCGGCTCTGGCCACCCCGTGCCTGTACCCTCCTCCGGGCGCTCGCCCGTGTTACCGGGAGCCGGGCCTGGGGGGCTTCGGCGTTGTGAATGTGGGGCCGGTTGTTCCTCACAGCCCTTGGTGGAGGCGGCGGGGCCGGTTCTGGGGCTGACCGGCAGTAACGGGCCGGCTGTGGTGCGTCTCGGTCGGTGCGGGGAGCTCCCGCCGCGCTGCGGTGAGGGGCGGTTCCGGTGGGTTGCAGCTCCCTGTCTCCTCAGGCCTCTCGGTCTCCGTGGGATGCGCTGCCGGCCGCCCCGCGCCGCGCTCGCTCTCATGGGGCTGCTCTTCGCCAGGACGATGGCCTGGACGTCCAGCGGGAAGACGCACCCCGAGCTCGTCAACAACCTCTACAGTGAGTAAGGAGCGGGGTCCGCGGCAGCGCGGCCGGTGGGCTCAGCCAGGGCTCCGGTGTGAGGATGTGCGGTGCTCCGCAGGGTGCGCTGCACAGCCTGGGGGGGCTGCAGTTAATCAGTGCTTGCCCCAGTCTGTCTGTAATGGGAAACCCGGTGTTGTGCCAGGAGTTTGCCACCCAGGGGAACCTGGACAGGCTGCAGAGGTGGGGCTGTGAAAACCTCCTGAAGTTCAAGCTCAAGGTCCTGCCCGTGAGTCAGGGCAATCCCGGCACAAACACAGGCTGGGGGGAGATGGGATGGAGCAGCCTGAGAAGGACTTGGGGTGTTGGGGGAGGAAGAGCTTTTTGTGACCCTCGCATTTCCCTGCTGCCTAAAGTGGCCTTTCCCCCGAGAGTCCCCTCGGGATGAGGTGTGCAGGGCTGGTGGCGGTTTCCTCAGTCATCGCTCTTAGCTGTAGTTTGCTCCTGGAAACCTGAACCAGGGTCTCCGCTTTCAGCAGTGCAGGTGTGAGTCTGTGTGTGTCTGGTTACACTGCGCAGTCCCAGAGCCCAGGAGTGCTGGGGGTGTAAGTCACCGTCCTGTTTTCCTTCTTCTCCCAGAAAAAGGGATAATTAAATCCCAGCGAGTCTTTGATGTGCTGCTGGCTACTGACAGAGGTCACTACATCAAGTATTACCCATACATGGATTCTCCTCAATCTATCGGTGAGTAACTTGGGGCGATGTTACAGTGTGTCACCCTGGCTGTTCCTGGTCACCCCAAGTCCTGCATGGAGGTGACCTGGAGCACGTGGGAGCATGTGCCCCTTAGTTATTCCAGAGGAAGTTTTAAGTCCATGAAGTGCTTTCACGCAGCAAAAAGAGATGAGTAGTTTTCTATTTTCAAGGGAAAGTGGGGGAGAATGAAGGTGATTTGATTTAATTTAATCATAATTTCTTTATCACATACTTTTGTCACTGGTTTCCTTTCAGGATACAAGGCTACAATCAGTGCACCTCACATGGTAAGATGGAACTTTTCACTTTTAACCAAAATGGGGGAAATTGCTTGTTTGCCATTTCTCCTTTTATTTTTTTTTTAACACTCAAGTAGAAGCAGATCCCGTGGAGGTGGTTATCATGACTGTTTCTTTAAGCACTGTACATGTGAAGCTTTTTCTTTCTTGAGTTTGCCCCACACTCTTTAAATTGCTTTAACTATACATCTGACAGGAATTCAGTGCAACTGAGCCTAACCACTGATGTTGCTCATTTTTTGCACAAGGCCTCTTTTCCTGCTGCTTTTTCCCTCTTGCTTTCCTTCCGCATCTTATTCCTAAGCCTCTTCCTAAATGCTGATTTGCAAATGGATCTTGCCAATGAAACACTTGACGTTCAGTCTGTCAGACACGATGCCGGGTGTTTGAACTGGAGAAGAACAAGGGAAAGCTTTAGGGGAGGAAACCCAAGTGAGGTGTCTCCCACCTTCTCACACTTGTCATCCATGCAGCATGCCCATGCACTCGAGCTGCTGAAGGATCAGCTCGTGGAAGGCGCAAAAGCTCTGGATGTTGGGTCTGGAAGTGGATACCTCACAGCCTGCTTTGCCAGGATGGTAAGTTCCCTGGCTCGGTGTTTGGGATGGCAGCTTGGGATGCACATCCTTTCTGTGGGGAGAGGAGGAGGTGGGAGGAAGGGGTAGACTTAGAATCCCAGACTGGATTGAAGGGACCTTAAAGCTCAGCCAGTTCCAACCCCTGCCACGGGCAGGGACCCCTTCCACTGGAGCAGCTTGCTCCAAGCCCCTGTGTCCAACCTGGCCTTGAGCACTGCCAGGGATGGGGCAGCCACAGCTTCTCTGGGCACCCTGTGCCAGTGCCTCAGCACCCTCACAGGGAAGAACTTTCTCCTTATATCCAACCTGAACTTCCCCTCTTTCAATTTAAAGCCATTCCCCTTATCCTGTTACTAGAGTCCCCAGACCAGCACGTAGCAAAACTGAAGACTGTCGTCTTTGTAATCTTAATGGATAGGGTATCTGTTGTGACATGTTTCATATGTTAACCCAGTTTAGATGGAGAGGGGGTGTTAATCTACTGAGTAAATTCACTGCAGGTAGTGTTTAGTTCACTTCTGAGGTAGTCAAACTCTGCTTCTTTGTCTGCTGAGCTCCTCAAGTGACTTTCTGTGAAGTGTCAGAAAGCTGGAGGGGTACCTGTTCTCAGAAGGTTGGTTAATCAAGAACTGGCCCTGCCATGGAAGCTGCTACTCCTACGGAATAATAACTTGGAAGTGAAGGACTGCTAGGAATCACCATAGGCAGAGTCTGTGTATCCCTCAAATAGCTACTATAACTGGGACTACTCAGCCTTAAAACCAAGGAGCAGAGCATTTGAATCTCCTGTTCAGATACTGCTCTTGAGCTTCTTCCTGGGATTTCTCCAATCCCCCTATAACTTGCCCTGTAAAATACATCTCTGCCATACAGGAGGCATTAGGTTTTTGTCTGCTCTTCCTCTTCGCAGATAGGCCCAACAGGCAAAGCTGTGGGCATTGAGCACATTCAAGAGCTGGTACATGAATCCATCAGGAACGTCCAGGAGGATGATCCGACTTTGCTCAGTTCTGGCCGTGTAAAGCTTGTGGGTGAGCTCCCTGCTTCTCTCCCTGCTTGCACTCACCCTGCCTGCAGAGTTTGTCCAGTTTGTGTTGTGCTCAGCACAGTGTTGACAGAAAGTGCTGGCTAAGTAAGCACTGTGCCCTGTGGACCTGAACACTGTGGTGTAAATGAGGAGTAGTCAATGTTACAGGCAGTCTTACCCCTTCATTCTAAGTGTGTGGTGACTGTCTTAATTTAGTAAGAGATGCTCTTCAGAAGAGAGACTAAAACCCAGATGTGGTAGAGCCACTATCTGAATGGGTCTCCATGTTCTGTGGGGGGTTTTTTGGGGATAACGTAAGTCAGCTCCTCCTGTATCTAGAATCTCAAGCTTGCACAAAGCCCCTGGGTTACTAAAAGACCCTCCTGGCTTTGACTGTCCCTTATTCGAGCATGGCTCACTTCTAGAAATCTCTTCCCTGTTTAAACCGACACTATATTTTAAGCAGACAGGTCAGTGCTCTGATTTGGGAATTCAAATTGCCATCACAACCTCTTTATGAAGTTTCCATCATTAGATTTCAACTGAAAGGACAGAGGAAGGTTTACTTCTGCAAACGTCTTTCCTGCTTGCTTTTCCCTCCTGCAGTTGGCGATGGCAGGCAGGGATACCCTGAAGAAGCTCCTTATGATGCCATTCATGTTGGAGCAGCAGCTGCCACTGTACCAAAGGAGGTAGGAGTGATGCTCGTGTCTCTTGCTGTCAGCAGCTGTGGAAAACAGAGTAATTGGGGAACTACTGGATGTTTTTCTGTGCACTTTCTATGGGGCTGGCAACATGGCACCTTTCAGGGTGCCCACCTCTACAGTGTGGCTGGTTCCTGTTGTGGGCGCCTGGCTTTGGCTCTGCTGATTGTGGTTTCTCTGCTTGCAGTTGCTGAATGAGCTGAAGCCAGGCGGGCGGTTAATATTGCCCATTGGTCCCGAGGGGGCAAACCAAGTTCTGATGCAGTACGACAAGACCAGCGATGGGCAGATCATCGAAACGCAGTTGATGGGGGTGATCTACGTCCCTCTCACAGATAAGGAAAAGCAGTGGCCTCGGTAAAGATTTGCTCTCCTTTGAGGACCGTTTCTTCCCTCCTGTGAGCTTGCTCTCCTTGGCTGCTGGCTTTACTGACAGTCCTGGATCCCTAGCAGGTGCTGCTTGTAGAAAAGGAAAGGAAGAGGCTTGGCACAGCAGGAGAGTGGGGTGTATTTTCTGTTAGATGGGGCTTGCAGACTGCGGACTCGAGCTTCCCTTACTTCTGCTTTCTGGAGCCTTTCCTAAACTCCACGTCCGTGTTGATGTCCCTGAACCCAAGGCCACCATGAGTAACCGCTGGTTTTTCTTTGCCTCAGGGATGAATTCTGACAGCCGGATGGATATCTCTGACGTGACCTCAGAGCTCACGAGCGGCACCTGGGCCTGTGGCTGCTCGAGGTGGTTTTGCTTTCGAACGAAGCGGGCTCAGTGGAGGTGCCTGTGGAGGCAGGTTCTGAGGGGCGGAGGGAAGGGGTTCTCCAGGGGAGGCCCTCGGGGGCTCTCTGCTGCCAGCAGTGCGTCGGATAACTCGGCTCTCCTCCCCGATAAGCTGTAAATAACATCTGCTCCCAGGGAATTCCGAATGCAGAAGGGAATACTTAAACCTGCACTAAAAACACCGTTTAATATTGACTACTCTGCCTAACGCTTGAAGAAAACAAGGCATTATTACTGCTTCAGAGCAGCGACATACCCTGACGTGTCCGAGTTTAATGAGTTGTCAACGTTTAATCATGATTTGTCAAAGGTTAATTACGAGAGTGTGTTCTCACCCTGTCTTGCCTAAAGCGGTTTCAGCTCTGGTCACAGCACTGGCGGTTTGGGGTTACGCCAAACCCCGGGTTTTCCCTCTCTCCTCCCGCGGGCCGGCGGCGGGGCTGCGATGGGCCCTGGGGGCCGCTCCCCGGGGGCTCCAAGCGGGGCTGTCCCGGGGGACGAGCGCGGTCCCGCCGGGCCCTGCCTGAGGTAACGGCAAAGGCGGGGAGGGATGAAGCGGCGGGGCGTGGCCTGGCGGCGATTGGCTGCGCTGCCCGTTGCGTCACGGCGTGCTCCCGCTCGTCATGCGGCGCGCCGTCGCGGTGTGGGCAGCGCGGTTGGGGCCGGTGGCGCCGTTGCCTCCGCACGGCCCCGGCATGGCGGAACCGGCACCGGGCCAGGAGCAGCAGCCGGGCCCCGCGGGCAAGGAGGAAGCGGCGCCGGCCCCTAAGAAGCGGCGGCTGGCGGCCGGGGAGCGGTACGTGCCGCCGCCGCGGAAGCTGAGCACGGGGGTGAGCTTCGGAGCGGCGCACTTCGCCGAGACCTCTTACTACTTCGAGGGGGGGCTGCGCAAGGTGCGGCCCTACTACTTCGACTTCCGCACCTACTGCAAGGGCCGCTGGGTGGGCCGCAGCCTCCTGCACGTCTTCAGCACCGAGTTCCGCGCTCAGCCCCTCGCCTACTACCGCGCCGCCGCCCGCGCCGGCCGCCTGCGCCTCAACGAGGAGCCCGTGCGGGACCTGGACGTTGTGCTCAAGGTGGGCACCCCCGTTTGGTGTTAGGTAACACCCCCCCCCCCCCCCCCCGCCGTGGGGCTGGGGCACCCCCGGAGGCATCCCGGGGGTGAGCGTGGTCTGCCTGGCAATGAGCATCGCCCCAGGCAGAGCTGTGGAATAACCCCACGGTGGTGCTGAGTGCTAAGGTGTTCTGGGGGAATGGGGTCTCCCAGGGAATCCCTACCCCAGTGGGGTCATGAGCAAGCGGTCCAGTAGTGCCCCACGGCTCCCTGCTCAGACCCACAGGCATGGATCTAATGCTTAGGGTGGGTTATTGAACTCCAGTAGCGATAAGCACAATTGCGGTGCCAAGTTCTGTGTTCCAGGACAAAGGGGCTTTTGTTCCCCGCACCGCAGTGAGCCCCTATTGCATGTGGCCAGTGGAATGGCTGTACCAGCTGCATTCACACTAATTGCCCCTCTGTTCTACAGAATAACGACTTCCTCAGGAACACTGTCCATCGCCATGAGCCACCGGTCACTGCCCAGCCCATCCAGATCCTGGCCGAGGACCAGGAGGTGGTGGTCGTGGACAAACCCTCCTCCCTGCCTGTACACCCCTGCGGCAGGTTCCGTCACAACACCGTCATCTTCATCCTGGGCAAGGAGCACGGGCTGCAGGAGTTGCACACCATCCACCGCCTGGACCGCATGACCTCGGGAGTGCTCATGTTTGCCAAGACTGTGGAGGTGTCCAAGAGGATTGATGAGCAGGTTCGGGAGAGGCAGGTGAGGACAAAAGGCTGTGGAAGATTTGGGGATCTCCACACAGTATTTTCTTGAAAGAGGTTAGGTCCAAAGGCAGCTCATTTGGTTGAAACAAGCACAAGTTCCCAGACGAGCTTGTGCTCACGCTGCTGTTCTTATTGTGTTAAGCATGAGAAAAAGATGGAGTAAAAACCAAATTGATTTGAGTAGCATTAGGTTGAAAGGGATTTCCTTCCTGAGGGAATGTGCGGGGTCAGTACTCAAACAAATCCCCAGACTGAGTGGTTTGTAAGTTTGATTTGTAAGTGGGAATGTGGCAGTCATCCAACAGTTGTTCAATTTTAAACGTTTTGGAAGCTTTTCATTACTTTTCCAGTGGCTCCTGGCCCAAATAGAACTGTAACTGTACTGGCTCCCAGGATTTGCATCCAGGTTGTAAATGGAAGGCCACAGAGAAATGCTCTTGAATTTAATATGAGGAAAAACAGTATCATGGAATGGTTTGTGTTGGAAGGGGCCTTAAAGCTCTGCCAGCTCCAACCCCTGCCACGGGCCCGGACTCCTTCCACTGGAGCAGCTTGCTCCAAGCCCCTGTGTCCAACCTGGCCTTGAGCACTGCCAGGGATGGGGCAGCCACAGCTTCTCTGGGCACCCTGTGCCAGCGCCTCAGCACCCTCCCAGGGAAGAGCTTCTGCCTAAGAGCTCATCTCAGTCTCCCCTCGGGCAGGTTCAAGCCATTCCCCTTGGCCTGTCCCTCCAGGCCCTTGTCCCAAGCCCCTCTCCAGCTTTCCTGCAGCCCCTTTAGGCCCTGGTGCTGCTCTCAGGTCTCCCCTTCACATAGCAGAAGGGGAGAATCCCCTCCCTCGACCTGCTGCTCATGCTCTGGGGATGCAGCCCAGCACACAGGGGGGTCAGTACACCAGGCCCTTGTGTTGTTCGTTTCCCACCTAGTTGGGGAAAGTGCGAGGGAAATTTGGCTTTAAATAACTGATTTTTTTTTCCCCCCTTTCCTGTTGAATTGTAATAAAATGTTGGCAATGCACTACCTACAAATGTATTTCACTGAAGAGAAAGGGAGGAGCAGCTGGGGTGGGACTCGGGGGGTCATTGGGGTAGAGGTGGTCCCTGTTCTGTGAGTTCCTCTGTGTCCCTGCAGCTGGAGAAGGAGTACGTCTGCCGTGTGGTGGGGGAGTTCCCAGAGCACGAAGTGGTCTGTGAGGAGCCCATCCTGGTGGTGTCTTACAAAGTGGGAGTGTGTCGTGTGGACCCCAAAGGGAAATTCTGCAAAACCATCTTCCAGAGGCTCAGCTACAACGGGAAGAGCAGCGTGGTCAAGTGTCTGCCCCACACCGGCCGCACGCACCAGATCCGGGTCCATCTGCAGTTCTTGGGGCACCCTATAGTCAACGACCCCATCTACAACATGGACGCCTGGGGCCCTGACAGGGGCAAGGGCGGTAAGATAGATAAAACAGATGAAGAGCTCCTCAAGGCACTGGTAGAGGAGCATCGTTCCAAACAGAGCCTGGATATCTTGGGTATCATGGAGGAGGACTTGAACTCTGGTGCTGAAAGTAAAGACTGTGGTGGTTCAAGTGACTGCACAAAGCGTGTGCAGGCTGATCCCAGCAGTGGGAATTCCTGCCCTGCTGAGGATGCTCAGGATCCTGGGAGGGACACTCAGGATCCTGGGAGAAACGACACAGCAAGTTGTCCACTGAGCTCTGATGCCAACCTGGAAACACTTGAAAGCAAAGAACTGAGTTCATGTGACAATCAGGATGGGGAAGTGGGAGAAAAGGGTTCAGGAGAGAAGGACCCTTTGTGTGTGGAGTGTAAGATGATAAGGCGGGACCCATCTCCCAAGGAGCTGGTGATGTATCTACATGCCCTGCGCTACAAGGGCATGGGGTTTGAGTACTGCTCCAGGATGCCTGAGTGGGCAGCAGAAGACTGGGAGGAATGAGTGAGGATGTGGGATCTCTCTTGATGTTTCTGGCATGGAAAACATCTTGTAAAGACCTCAGATCTACTTTCTCAGTGTTGGTTGAGGTGAACAAGCTGCCTGTGGCTTGAGGCAGGGTGGGAAGGGCTACTGGGGCTGGAGAGCTGTCCTCATGCTGGAGAGGATGAGCAGAAGATGGGGCTACAACACACTTCTGGGTTTCTGGTGCCTGTTGGTGAACCGGCACTTCAGGGTAGCACACACTGCTTGGCACAGGCAGCTTTGCCTTTCACCTCCACATAACCTGGGGCTGCTGCTGATCATCCACACGGATATTAGTGCATGCACTGAACATCAGCAGGGATTGTTCTCCCGGCCTCCTGTGTTCTTGTAGCTGACACCACGAGCTGCTGGGCTGTTGTTTGCTGTGCTGGATGTCATACACAACACTACTCGTACTGTATTTTATTGTCAGACTGATTGTGAAACTCAAACCTTATCACTGGGAACATCCGGAGCGGAAAGCTGATCCATCTGGTGCTGTTCGTTACCAAGGTGGACTTGGCTTTGGAATTGCTCTTTCTGTACTCCTTTAGATAATTACTCAAAGTTAACTCTAGAGATGGAGCTCTTTATATTTGGCCGGGTTTTGGAGGTGCTAATCCCCAGATTTGTCTTTATAAGGAGACTGGTTAAGATGATTTTTGCCTTTCTGCTACCTCCCCTGTGACCTGTCTCCTGCTTTCTCAAACACATGTGGCTTCTCTTGAGATCCTGTCCACCTCTGTCCCTCACTGCAAACATACTTCAGCAGCATCCAAAGCAGGGTTCATGCTGCCGACTTCTGTTTATCCTGATTGTGTTTTATGATAAGGTACTACAGGCAGGAAGTGGGGAATTTTTAACGTCACTTCAATGTGACAGCTTTCAAGAAAAAAGCTGGTTTATGAAGCAGAAGACTTTTTAATATACATTTTATATTAATGTATGTCCAAGATGATAAATATCACTGTAGTTCTTGCTTTCTTCAGTGTTTATATGGTTGCTTCTTGGCTTCTGGGGTGGGGGGGATATGATGATAATTCTGCTGTCTCAGGTGCTTTGTAATCTTTTTCCCCTCTTTTCCATGTGTCACTGGGGTGACATCAGCTCCAGTGGGTGCTGCAGACAATCAGGACCTTTACTGTGTCATTTCAGGACTGTTTGCAGGCTGGTTTCTAGCCCCATTTCTCTGTATCCACCTCTCCACCCCTACCTGGGGCACAAGCATCTTGTTCTGTGCTTCCAAAATGTTAAAATTAACCTCTTGAAAGGTGAAGAAAGGAATCCAGAGGAGCTGATGCTGTTCAGCTGTATTGCGGGTATCAACTGGAACGTGGCCCAGTCTTGGGTGGCCTTTGAAGGCCCCAGGATGAGGATTTGTGTACCAAACCAGAATAAACCTTTGAGCTTCCAATAGCTCAAGGACACCAAGTGATTTCTTTGTCTCCTGGACCATCCAGCTGTTGTGTTGAGTATTCCCATCCAGGTTCACTCAGGCTTGAGCTTTGCTCTTCCGCATCCCACCGCGGCTCTCTTGTCATTGTAAGTTAACCACAGCTACTATTTTACTCCTGCCATCATGTGTGAAGGTCTAGTGCAGAGCTGCAGGAGCTCATTAAGCAAAAGGATAAAAAGCCCCCTGTGTTTGGGAGATGACAGCAAAAACTCATCCAGCTTTTTCATGCACTGAAATACGTATTTCAGATAGCTGTAAATGAAACTTGGGCACCTTCAGTGCATAGATAAGGGTGTCTGCTGTTGTTACAGCTGGAGACAAAGGGGAAAGGTAGTAACTGTAGGGACAGCAGTTTTAAATGAGGCTTTGGGGTGTCCCAGGTTCTGTTATCTGGGGGTTTTGAGGGTTCCCCCCCAAGAAACAAGCACCTGCAAGGGATTTTCCTGACTTGTGCCAGCAGATGGGGCTGGATGGCTGAAGGCCTGGAGCTGTGTTCCCTTGCTCTGGAGCTGTTCCCTTCTCTGGCTGTGCATAATGACTGCAGGAGCAGCTTTTAAGCGCACCACACCTCGACGGTAAAGAAACCCTGGGGCTTCAGTCTGCAAGATACCTTGGCCAATGCCACTTGAAGGCTGATTGCCACAAGGAGCCTCCACCCACTGCACCCACCTCATCTTCCATCAGTTCAGAGCTGGTGTCCACCCTGCACACGTGCACAAGAAGCGAGCAGTTGCTGATAGGGAAAGTGTGACCATTAGAGGTGACGTGTGGGAATTTGCCATCCAAGGTAGGGTCTGGGGTAAATTCCATGCCCTGGTTGTGGGGTGGGCATAAAGTTATCTATATAAAGCATGGGGTTATCTGTTCACAAAACATAGGTCTCAAGGCCTTCCTCTAGTACAGTTTTATTTTGGTCCTTTCATGCTCCAGCAAAGGCCCAGTAGAGTGTGGCTCTCACCAGGAGCCAAAGCACGCACCCATACACATGGACCCTCCTGGCAAGCCCTGCTGGGGATTGTACAGAGCCTTCCCCTCTGGTTGGGTAGGAAAGACTTGGAATTGTGCCCTAAAACATCACCAAGATGCCCATCTTCCATGTAATAACATTCTTCCAGCTGTTCTAACTGCTCTGTTACGGGTGCTGTTTGTGAGGCTGTAGGGTCATGATCTGGCCATTCTTTGCATTTAGACTAACTGTCCACAGGAATTTTTGAGTAATTAATTATATAACGTAAGCTTTATTAACATAAGCTTTATTACCTAAGTAATAAAAACCTAATACCTATAGGGGCTACAAGAAACCTGGAGAGGGGCTTTGGCTTAGGGGAATGGCTTTAACCTGCCCGAGGGGAGGCTGAGATGAGATCCACCCCCAACCCATGGCACTGAGGCCTCGTCTCCTCGGTGTGTGAACACTTGCAGGGCCGGTGCCTGCAGCCCTGCCCTGGGCAGCCTGTTCCAATGCCTGAGCACCCTCTGGGGCAGGAATTGTTCCTCAGCTCCATCTAAACCTGCCCTGGGGCAGCTTGAGGCCGTTTCCTCTTGTCCCATCCCTTGTTCCTTGGGAGCAGAGCCCAGCCCCTCCTGGCTCCATCCTCCTCTCAGGCACTTGGAGGCAGCCATCAGGTCCCCCCTGAGCCTTCTCTTCTCCACACTGAACCCCCCAGCTCCCTCAGCCCTTCCCCATCGCACTTGGGCTCCAAGAGAGCACTTCTGAGAGGGGGAAGGAGCCCGCCCCGCAGGCACGGCCGAGCTCTGGCAGCTCCACCAGTACCTCAGGGACCCAGACACCCAAGGTATGACCCCTAAATCCCCCGGGACACTGCCCTGGCCCCACACTTGGCGGTTCCCCCTGGGGAGTGGGCTTGCCCGTAGCCCCTGCCTCCCCTCAGCCCCACGGAACGCGGCCCTTGGGAGCTCGCCGGGGGCTGCGGGCGCTGAGCAGCGGCCCGGGCCCGTGAGGGACAGGGGGAAAACGAAATAATGGAGGAAAAAATAATTGTCGTCCGACGAGGATGGGATTCGAACCCACGCGTGCAGAGCACAATGGATTAGCAGTCCATCGCCTTAACCACTCGGCCACCTCGTCACGACAGGCGCTTTCCCAGCCCAACCTATAAGGAAATACGCCCACCGCCTCTGGCATCTTCTCCCGCCCGCCGCTCCCTCGCCGAGATGGCGCCGGTGGCGCGGCCCCTCTCCCGCACAACGCGGAGCGAAGCCTCCGCACAGGGACTGAGCAGCGCCACGCGGCCCGGCCGCTGTCGCCCCGGCCCCATCGCTGCGTTCGCGGGGCGCGCTCCTGAGAGGAAGCGCTGAAGTGACAGGCAGCGTGCTGGCCGCTGGGGGCCGCCATGTTGTACGGAGCCCTTGGCGCCGCCATGCTGTACGGCAGGCGCCGCTGTGTGTCGTCAGGACGGCGATTTGGCGCGAGGCGCAGGCGCGGCGGTTGGGTTTGAACGGCGGAGCGGCGGCCCGGGCGGCGGGAGCGGCTCGGGGCCGTGAGGGGCGCGGCAGCAGCGGCAGGTGAGAGCGGGCGAGGCCGGGGCCTGGCGGCGAGAGGCCGGGCCCGGGCAGCGCCTGAGGCCGCGGTCGTTGTGTGACGGCGAGCGGCGACGGGAGCGCGCGCGGGCTAAAAGGCGGGAGGAGCGGGCGGGTCCCGGTGTGTGTGAGGAGAGGGTCGGGGCCTGAGGAGATCTCATTGAGGGAGCGGGAGCCGTGAGGAGAATCGCGGCGTAAAGCGAGGGGCGAATGCAGGGGCGATCAGCGCGCAGGGATTCCCCCTTGGGAAAACAGCGCTGGCAGTGACGGCGAGGTTGAAATGAGCGTTTCGGCGGTCCTGAGGTAATGGTGCGTGAGGGGAACGGCTCCAGAGCGAAAAGGGATCGTAAAGAGGAAATAAACAGATTCTTACGCACTCTTAAAGGGGGAAGACCGAGGAGGGCTTGAATGGTGAAGGAGCTGAAAAAATCATGGAGTGACTCTTTGTGTTCACAGTGTGGAGTTAATTGTCAAATAGAAGAATAAAAAGAGGTGCTTTTTCATCAACAGAGTAACAAAGCGTCTCAGCTCAATGCCATATGGCCGTATGCTGTAGGTCAAAGATATGTAAAGTTGTAAAGATATTGGAGTGAGTGCAGAGGGGGCCATGGAGCTGCTGCGAGGGCTGGAGCCAGGCTGAGAGAGCTGGGCTGGGTCAGCCTAGAGAAGAGAAGGCTCCTGAAGGGGAGACTGAGAACAGCTCCCAGGCACAGGGGTACTGTGAGCAGGGATGACCGTGTGCTGCCTGGGGTCCTGCAAACCTGGAGCTCGTGACTGAAATGCAAAAGCTGAGCGGGTCTGTGCAGAGCTCTCTCTTCCCACTTCTCAAACTTCATTGTCAGTTTTACAGATCACTTAATCCTAGAGTGGTTTGGGTTGAAGGGACCTTAAAGCTCCTCCAGCTCCAACCCCTGCCACGGGCAGGGACCCCTTCCACTGGAGCAGCTTGCTCCAAGCCCCTGTGTCCAACCTGGCCTTGAACACTGCCAGGGATGGGGCAGCCACAGCTTCTCTGGGCACCCTGTGCCAGCACCTCAGCACCCTCACAGGGAAGAGCTTCTGCCTGAGAGCTCAGCTCAGTCTCCCCTCGGGCAGGTTCAAGCCATTCCCCTTGGCCTGTCCCTACAGGCCCTTGTCCCAAGCCCCTCTCCAGCTTTCCTGCAGCCCCTTTAGGCCCTGGAGCTGCTCTCAGGTCTCCCCTTCAGGAGCCTTCTCTTCAGGCTTCCCCAGCCCAGCTCTTTTGGCCTGGCTCCAGAGGAGAAGGTGACCAGGGTTTCTCTTACAATGTTACTTGCTAACGGTTAGCAAGGAGAGAATAAAGTGACATGATAAACTCTGTCAGACTGCTTATAGCTCTCCTGTAAGTGTGCTTGGTGGAGTTCTTGATGGAGGGATGTACGTAGATAAAGATCATTACTAATATCTAGGGAATGACACATCTGTTGGTCTTGTAGTGTTGATTCTGTGGTATATGGAATCATAGAACAGTCAGGGTTGGAAAGGACCTTAAGATCATCCAGTTCCAACCCCCTGCCATGGGCAGGGACACCTCACACTAAGCCATGGCACCCAAGGCTCTGTCCAACCTGGCCTTGAACACTGCCAGGGATGGAGCATTCACAACCTCCCTGGGCAACCCATTCCAGTGCCTCAGCACCCTCACAGGAAAGAATTTCCTCCTTAGATCCAATCTAAACTTCCCCTGTTTCAGTTTGAACCCGTTACCCCTTGTCCTGTCACTGCAGTCCCTAATGAAGAGTCCCTCCCCAGCATCCCTATAGGCCCCCTTCAGACACTGGAAGCTGCTGTGAGGTCTCCCCGCAGCCTTCTCTTCTCCAGGCTGAACAGCCCCAACTTTCTCAGCCTGTCTTCATACAGGAGCTGCTCCAGCCCTGAGGTCTCCCCGCAGCCTTCTCTTCTCCAGGCTGAACAGCCCCAACTTTCTCAGCCTGTCTTCATACAGGAGGTGCTCCAGCCCCTGAGCATCCTCGTGGCCTCCTCTGGACTTGTTCCAACAGTTCCATGTCCTTTTTATGTTGAGGACCCCAGAACTGCACACAATGCTCCAGGTGAGGTCTCACGAGAGCAGAGCAGAGGGGCAGGATCACCTCCTTGGACCTGCTGGTCGCGCTCTTCTTGATGCAGCCCAGGACACGGTTGGTTTCTGGGCTGCAAGCACAAACTGAAGCCGGTTCATGTTCATTTTCTCAAATATATTTTTGGTGGTGTTTGTCAGGTCCATGAGAGACTGAATTGCAAGGAATATTAACCTGGTGTTCAAAGCCCTGAGTTAGCTGTGTTTTACCAGAAACAGAAAGCAATAGAAAGTCTGTATCCTGTCAGTGTGGGTTAATTTACTTGATCCCCTTAGAAACCATGCAATAAGCTGTGTGGTTTTCTGTGCTAGTGGGAGTTATTGTCATTCACATAGAATATTTTTTGTGTGAGGGAAGGATTGACTAAAAAATTGTGTTGTGTAAGGTCTGATTTCCAACAGTTACTGGAATCTTGACTTTAAACAGAAGGACACCTCACAATAAAACTTGAACTGTGAGCACAGCTCTTTTACAGCGTGGTACAGAAAACATGGACTTGAGGCTTATTCTACTCCAGTGCATTTCTGTGACTGGAGAAGGATGGAGAGAAAAATGACAGCATCAAAGGCTCGCATCTCCTTGTGGGTTTATGCAGTTTTCTCACTGAAGTTTGTTAATGTTTTTCTATTGCAGTACCACATCCTTTAGAAATGGAGAAGGCTTATGCAGACCCTAACTTGGAAATGTAAGTTGAAACCTTGGAAGAATTTTATTGTGGTGTAAATATTGTTGTTGAGAAGCAAAACTTTTCTTAATCCCTGTGTGCATTTCAGTATCTCTCAAATGAAATGTGGTTTCCATTATGAAGAAAAGGAACAGGGGGTTTATTTGATCATGTGTAGGAAAGCACAGAGGGAACTTCATAGCAGCAGATTGGGCAGTGGCTGACCCTGGCGTTCATCTGCTGAGTTTTCCAAAGCTTGTTTTTGGGAACTACTCTTGGGATGAATGATCTATTCTAAACAAGCTTCTTTATTTAACAAGCCCACTTGTAAAAAGAATGGAGTGATCAATTTCTTAACCTTAAATACTGTTCAAGAGATACATCGTGGTTCAGGATTACGCTCTAACACCCTTTTCCCTTTCTTCCCTTGCAGTGACAACACAGAGAACATCCGAGGGAAGCGGCTGTCCTCTGTGAGTAACTTAAGGCATTTCTCAAAAGAAAACCACGTGAGTGATGGAAGGAAAGAAAGGGAAGCTACAAAGAGGAGCTGGATTTCTCCTCACAGCTGAAGTAGAGCATTGCAAAACCAAAGAGAGAGCCTATTAGATTGATACGGTCGACTAGGGCATTGGTGGCTCTCAGAAACTCTCCAGCCAATTCATCAGTCCTTGTAGTTGGAGCTGATCTTCTCAACTGTTGTATTTTCTTCTAGATTTTAAAGGCTCCACGAAATCCTCTGGATGATCTGGGAAATGGGAATGAATTAACACAGGTAGGTCTGTTATGTCCTTTCTCGCTGATGCTCTTCACACCTTCGCTTTGCTTCTCCACTTGTCAGTGATTGAACCGTGTCACTAGAATAATGCAGGTGTACAACCCCTGGTAATAACTGCTTGGGAGGATAATGTTTGGAATATTAAATATTGTAGGGAAACCATGGAGTTTTTCTTATACTTCTGTTTTACATCTGAATATTTCTTCAGTCAAGAAAAGAGGAATAAAAAGAGATCAACAGGTGTAGCTTGCTCCTGCTGTAGCCTTACTTGGATCCATCGCTTACAAACTGGTATAGTCAGTAAGAGGGATTTTAGATCTGAAAAATAATCAGCGTGCCAACTTATTTCAAGTAAAAGCTAAAAAGTGAATACTTTCTTCCAGAAATACAAGGGGAATACATTTCATGCTTATACATGTTTCTTAGGAATTGTAATTATAGGCCTGTTTGCTTTGGATGTCTTTCTAAATGCCAATTCTACCAGGGCATGTTCTATGGACTGAGGATCCAATTGCATCACACATTTATATGCGTTATCTGCTGCTGGTTACAGAACTTGAAAAGTCATTTTTTAGCATATAAGGCTTTCAGTGAAAAAGCCTCTCATAATTTCTCTAGACTGTGCAGTATTAGCCTGAAGTACTCATGCACAACACATCAATTTCAAACCTGGGCTGAGTATAAAGAGCAGCTCACAGTCTTCATCTCAACCTTAATGCCTGTTAACAGTGATGGACAGTTCTGCTAAGGAGCAACAGGAGACTGTCATTGACAGCACTCAGAACTGCTTGTGGAGCTGGCATCATTTTAAAGGAAATAAAGTGTTTTACAAGCTTTATTCACGTGGATATAACAATGTCAGTACTTTGTGTCTTCTTAAACAAGTGTTCCACTTTGCTGAGACTGAGCTATTTAGTTAGAGAAGCTTATTGCAGACAACTGCACAGCAGTGGGATGATGGATTAGCTTTCCAGCACATGTAATATTGCATCCTTACATCCCTTGCAACAATGCGTTACTATGGCCGTGTAGTCAGTGACACCATTTAAACATTTCTATAGGAAAATGGTGACATTCTTTCAGGAATCTTTCCATTTCTCCCATAAAGACAAACCATTATTGGTTTGGGTTTTTTTTCTTCAGTTCTTGTAATGGAAAACTAAAGGAAACCCCCCCACAATTCTCTTGCTAAACAACTGCTTCTGTTTTCCCATGTATGGCAGATGATATGCCAGATAAAAATCCTATGACTGGTGTTCTGCTTCTTGCATTTGGAACCAGGCAGTTCTCACAAAAAGATCTTTAGATGTTAATTCTTATGCAATGGGTGTCAGGAGGAGCTGGAGAACTATGAAGCTGCTTAAAGTAGTTTAAGGATGCTGGTATTATCTGTTGTATGTGTGGGACTTAGATTGTTGGGGTTTGGGGGTGGTTTTATTTTGTTGTTTCATGCAAAGCTATGCTTATTGCAGCTTATGGAGTCAGACCAGTTTTATGGGCATCAAACTGTTGTGTTCTTTATTGTCAGGATATCAACATAGAGAAACGGAGGAGGAACTCCCGCCGTGTCAGCTTTGCCAACACCATAAAGTAAGTCTGAGCTGAAGGCTGCAGATCTGCACCCTTTATTGAAGCATAAACTGCAGGCTGTATCCTGGCATCCCCTAGAACTGCCTGCACTGAGAATTCCCAAATGTATGAAAGCAGCAGACTGGTGACGGTTGTTACACTGAGTTGATTTTGAGACTTAAGAGAGGAGCCTTCATGATTTTCTCTTCCTAGCTGGAAAAAAAGCAGTTCAGTGAAATTAATATAATCAGGAATTTTTGTATCCCATTAAGTTTTTTAGTGATTTCCATCTTACTGATGGTAATGGCATCTTCTCACTAGAAAATGCAGTTAAGTTCAATACAATTCTGTTTTTTGATATCGCATTTCAGAACATACCATGTGGAAAAGCTTTAAGTTAGGGCTGGTTTGTTTTGGATTGGTTTAATTTGCTTTGAAACAGATGGGTTTGTATTTTCAAAAGCTGGTGCTGTTTTTGTTCTTAGCTGCAGAGTCTTCCAGCCAGATCTTAAGAATAACACAGCAGAGAAACAAAATACAGGTAAATCTCCTTCTTCTCCTCCTGACAGGGTTCACAGGCTATTAGTAACAGGATTTTAGCTTGAATTTAAGAAGTCAGGCCTGTCAGTCCCAGGAAAACAACAGTATGCTCAGCTGCTTGTCCTGGACGGGCTGAAAACCCGATAGTTACTGTGGACCTTGTGGCTCAGAAAAAGACTTATTTTTTTCAGACAAAATTCATTTCCATCAACACAAAACTGAGCAGAATGTTCTATTCATTCTGTCAAAAGATTGCCTAGCAAGAGTCTGAAAAGCTAATGCATTTCTCAAGTACTTGGCTTCTCTGAGGTTTTGCCACGATAAGAAGGCACTTAAGAGTGAGAACTTTAGAACATTCTGTTCTGTGTAGTTTACTCTTGCTCTGGATGTTTTATACAATAACGTAAGCTAGAAAAGACCTTTAAGATCATCAAGTGCCAGGCTGTACAGGGCTTAGAGCAACCTGCTCTAGTGGAAGGTGTGGGCAGAGGGTTGGAACTGAATGAGCTTTAAGGCCCGTTCCAATGCAAACCATTCCATTATCCAAGTCCAGCCATGATCGTGCTTCTCATTGCAATGTTATCATTTTCTTGGTTTTTTAGAGTGTGCAGAAGATGCAGAGAATGATGCCTTGAATGAGTAAGTTAAAAAGAATAATTCCATGACTATAGAGCTCTGTCCTGCAAATACATTTCTTCACATGATATGCAAAATATTACCTCTGAAGGAAGTGCAGTGTGTCTAGATGGAAAACTGGTCAGTGCTATTGGTGAAAGAAGGGATGCAGGGAGGAAAAGGATTCAGCTGTGTCATCACTCACAGAAAGATGTTAATTTCTGAAAAATTGAATCATTATTCCTTGAAACTTTCTTTGAAAGCTGATTGCTTGGGAATGTTTCCCAGGAAAAACCTGTTTCCATACCTGCTAGACAGAGTCTTTGCTATTTCTTACCGTGAGTTTTTCCCTCAGAGGCAGGTGAAGTGTTAGTCTAGCGTCAAAGTTTTTACCTAAGTAAAACTCGATGGGATTTTAAAAATCAAGAGGTAAGTGAAGGAACAGATTTATCAGAGAATTTTATCATCCTGTGATAAATCTGATTTAAACAGGTTGAGACACTGTCTATGGGTGAAGAATTCTATGGGGGATTACTTATGCTTAAAATACATAGCAAGGAAACAACTTATGTACAGCTATAGTTAACTCATGTTTTTAATAGTATCAACCCAAGATAGTAACACATATATGTGTGTGTGTACATGCATATATCTATATACACGTATATGTAAATCTATATAATATGTATAAATAAAAATAAACCCCAGTACTCTAGCTAAGGTTTCTTGGTCTTGAAAGAGCAGTCAATAGAGCAGTGGAGAGCAGACTGCATTATAAGTTAGACAAAAGACCACACAAGCTGGACACTGTATCTGGCTTTTTGTTTTACAGCAAAATGATTCCAGGCGTTAGGAACACAGCTTCAATTTCCCAAAGAGAAAGGAATAACTAAAAGTGGAAGGTCTGAGTTAAAAGTAAAGAATTCATCTCTCCTCTTTTTTCACTTGTCACTGAGGAATTAAAATGCCACCTGCATGTTGACCAATGGCTGAGATAAGAGAAACTCTGTGGAAAATAAGATTTCAGCTCACAAATGGTGTTGGTGTCTGCTGCCAGCCCTGTCTGAGCTGTGCAGCAGAATTCTCTGCTTGTCAGTATGTTGCTGAAGGTTTCTGGTGGTAAATCCTGGGCTCACAGAATGAGTGGGGTTGGAAGGGGCCTTAAAGAAAATCCTCTAACAAACTGTTTACCTCCCCCACCTTTTGTAGAAATGAAGAACCTGAGGCTGTTCCCTGTGAGATCACTGGTGAGTTTGGAGATAGATTTAATAACAAAATTACTGTCTTTAGTTAAAACTCTTCACTCTGAATAATTTCATCATCTCTAACAGGTGATGGTTGCATGAGCAGGCTTTGTCCCATGAAGGTGTTGCCAACATTGTACTGTAGAAGTCTGGGTGGCTCTTCACACACTGCAAGGAGTACTGCACATGTAACTTTTCAGGATATAATTAGGCTTAACTGTACTTACTTCGTGGTACTTGTAAAATGAGTGCCCAGCTCTTCAGCTCAGTGGATAAAATAATAAGAAAATAGTAAGAAAACAACAAATGAAGTATTCCCTCTTCTTTCAACAGGGATGAACACTTTGCTTCATGCCCCTATCCAGGCACTGGTGCAGCAGACTGAGGTATGTGAAGAGTTTAATTTGGGTTTGGTGCTAAAAATGTCAGTGTCCAAAATATATTCCAATAATTTGTGTAGTAAAGATGAAAAATGTAACTCAAGTGCATGAGAAGCTGGGCAAGGTTTTCACCTGCATTTAGAGGGGGGAAAGGTGGAAATCACAAGATCCATAAGACTGATCCCTGTGACTCTGTAATTGTTCCATGCTTACCAAGATATGTCTAGATAGGAAGTCATTGCCTAAGAGTAAAACTAAGACATATTCTTTCCAAAAAAAGCCATTTAAATATGGTATGCTCTAAGAATTAAGCTGTCCTTTCCTTGAATGTGTTCTTGCGTACCAAGGAGGACCCAAACCAATTGTTCTTTCCCCAAAAAGATGTAAAGCTCAAGCTCTAACCTTAGTACTGCATCAATTGACTGTTGTTTTAAAGAGAACAAACCATTGTATCACTGGGTTTAAGTGTCAGTAACTTATTTCTTCCTCTCGTTTGTTTTTGGTTGGGTTTTTTCCAGTGGTATGATGCAGACGATGCCACTCAAAGACAAAACAGGCACAACGCCACCTTCATCTTTTCAGAGGAGAATGAAATGGATATGACAGCCAGTCACACCGCCGTCATCACACGTAACCTGAAGAACAACCAGGCTGACAACACTGAGAAAATAGATATCAAATCCTTTCTGGCAGGGTTAAACTCTAACAGTGGGAAGGCAGAAGGGAGCAAAGAATTCCAGTGTTTCTCTGATCCTACAAGCCATTTGTGTCCACCTTCAGAACAGAAAGAAGATGCTGCCACTGTAAAAAAAATAGACTTCAATGATTTTTTGATGAGCCTGAAGTCAAACGAGAAGACCCTCAGCCCTGTGGAGGGCCCTGAGAAAGAGAATGTTTTCTTTATCCCTTCTCAAGTCCCAGAAGCTGTGGCACCATCATCAGTGGAATTTGCATGTTCCCATGAGCCACTGGACACCTGCAACATGACCAAAGTCTTTAGAGAGGAAGATGGTGGGATGGAAGTGACCAAATGCCAGGGATCTTTTGTCAAAGCCACGTTTTCTTCTCAAGCTCCACCACAGCAATTACAGTGTGAGGATGTCACCAAGGCCTTTGCAGATGATGGGATGGATATGACAACCAGTCACACTGCAAAGGTGTCTTTTCCCTCCACCAATGTTGGGAATCAAAGTCTAAACTTCCGAAAGGACTTCCCATCCACAGAGCTGGACAATTCCACGTTAAAGAGACCATCTCATCAGCACTTAATTGTTCAGCAGGACACTCAGCTTTGTACAGACAGAAAACCACTTCAAGACAGGCGAGATCCCACCATGCTGCCACCTGCTAAACAAGAGGCCAGAGCAGTGGGCACCATCCCAGGAACTGTTTCTTCTGAGACTGTCTTCCGAGGTGATAAAACCATTGATGTGTCTAAATGTGAGGACATGGAAATAACTGGGAATTACACAGATGTCATCTGTAGTGACAGTACCAAAGAAACGAACAGTTCACATCTTAAAGCTTTTGAAAAGCCAGTTAATGCAAACACTGTTCTGGCAGAACACAGCCATGTGGCACATGATGGTAGGGACATGGCAAAGAGCCTGACAGCTTCAGATCATGATGCTCCTGTGTTGTATAAAACCAGCGCACTTGAAGTGCCCTCAGGCTCGGATGAGCTAATCAAGAAAGTGTCCCAGGATCATGGGAATGCTTCAGCGAATGCTGGCTTCGATCCCTGTACAAATCCAGCATCCCGTGGGGTTCCCAAAAGCAGACTCCAGCACAGGCTAGGGAACTCGCAGCTTGTTTCCATGCCAGGTGAGAAGACAGTGATATTCTCGGGGGAAGACATGGACCTGACCAAGGCTTGTGTTGTCAAGGATGGAGAGAATGCTGCAAGCGAATCTCCCACTGGAGTGTTCACCTCTGTCCCTTGCAAACCTCATTTTCTTGGTAACAGATCAACGTGTCCCAGTTCAAATGAGCAGGAAGAAATGGAAATAACCAAGTGCCATGCTGTTGTCATTGATGATCACGGCAAGAAGATAACTGCAGAAGCAAAACAAATGCATTGTAAAATAATTCCAAGAAAGAACCAGAACACAAACGTCAGTGAAGGTGCAAATTATTCCGATATGGACAAGGAAAATTGTGAGGTGATCAGTACCAATGGGAACGTTAAAAGAAGCCAGGCTGGGAAATTGGATACTGTGGATCTTGAGATGGTTGAGAAGCAGCTTGGAAAACCAAACTTTCAAGCAAGTGGTGCAGGTTCCTGTGCAAAGACTGTGTGTCCATTGCAGCAGCAAAAGAGAGAAGTCCCTGAGAGCAGTGTCACCAAATCCTGTGCATTTGTGTCTTTGCAAACTCAAAAGGTTATGGCACAGCCTTTGGGAAAAAGCCTTCTAAATGCTTCCGTTTCCAGCACAAATGACAGAATAGGCACATTTTCAGGTGAACAAAACAGCAACATGACTAAAACTCATCCTCCTGCCTTTGCTGCTGCTCCTCTGAATGCAGTAGAAGAACATGGGAATAATCATAACTACAGTAAAGTGTTATCCCAGCCACTGCAGAACCAGACCTCCCAGTGCTCCACCAGTCCTGGTGTACAGGTCATGAGTCAGACAGCAGCAGCAGAGCGTGTGGCTTTGAAAATGAGCACCAGTAATCAAACTGTTACTCCTTTGGCTCCAAATGGTTCATTTATTCCCAGTAATGAGCCTGCTCCCTCTGGAATGAAAGGGAATGAACAGCGTGGAACGGCATTAGGACTAAACGCAAGTGGCCAAAGCTCAGGCAAGCAGGAGAAAGGTTCTAGGAGAGATTTTGCAGTGGGTAAAACAGTTTCTTCTGAGGAGGCTTTTAAAAGTCCCCACGGAGCTGGTGGCCTGTGCTTGAGGGGGGCTGAGGAGCTAGTTGCGGCCACTGCCTCTGAGCTACACATGGGACATGCCCAAGTGCCTTCGTTCTTTGAGAAGTCAGTTGTGTTTCCCTCTGGTGAAAACATGGACTTGACAGGAAACATCACTGCTGCTTTATCAGCAGGAAAAGCAGTACCTGGATTGAGTGTTCAGGATGAAAACAAAATAATGTCCTTAAGTAAAGGGGTCACAATGACAGTGAATCCTCAGGAGCAGCCTGTGTGTGATGTGCACTCCTTGGTAGCTGGCAAGAGAACATTAACCATGGGTGGTTTAAAACATCTGCCTCTTCCAGATGACACCATATTCTTAGAAGATGCTGACATGGACATCACCAGGAGCCACACAGTGTCAGCAGACAACAAAGTAACTGTGCAGCTTAGAAGTTCCAATGATGACCCATCTTTAATTGCTGGAGATGAAACTTGTGTTTTTACCTACAATAATGATATGGAAATAAGCAGACTGGCTACTGCTGCAATTGATAAACCTATGGAAAAGGCTGGGTCTCTAGGAATACTTAACACAGCTAAAAAGACTGGAAGGAAAAGCTTGAAGGGAACAGCAGGGGAAAAGACTGTTTTGTTTTCACTGAATGATGACAATAATGACATGGATATCACAGAGAGCCATACAGCTGCCATAGGCCATGAAATGGTCTTGCAGAATGAGTCAGGGCTTCAATCCCTCTCTTCAGCTCATCCCATTAAAACTGCTGTGTTCACATGCAGTCAGGCTGACACGGACACTGTCAGGTCTTGCTCTGCTGATAGAATTGCTGCAAAAGTTGCATGTGATGATAAATCAAAGCAGGATAAGGTGGTTGGAGACCAAGTGCTTTCAAATGGTGAAGCTACTGTGTTTGCTCTGGGTGATACGGACATCACTAGAACCCATCATGTAGCTTTGGAAGAGGATCCCCTGCCAGGTAGGCAGCTCCGTGGGGCTGTTCCTGTGACTCCCACAGTGATGATCACAAGTAACCAGGCTGAGATGGAAGTAACTGAGTCTCACCCTGTTGATCAAAGTGTTGCAAGAGGCTTTTGTGAGGACAGACCGAAAATGGCCCAACAGCTCAGACAGGAGGCTGTGGTAGGTTCCAGAACTGTCATTTTCACTTTGGCTGAGGACATGGAGTTTACTAAAGCTCAGACAGCAGTGATGCATGGTGAGATGGTGCTGTGCAGAGAGTCCATCCCAGCCAGGTCTGCAGCTCCTGCTGATAAAACCATTGTGTACGCCCACAACCAGGATGATATGGAAATAACTGCATCCCACACTGTTGCTGTTAATAACAATATCAGTGGATTGGACCAGGAGGCATCACAGAAGAGCACTCAGCAAGCAGACTTGCATTGTGGCTTGTCTTCTTGCAGAGGTGAAACAGATTCCTCACATCCAGGAGACCTGAATGGTGAGTGTCATCCAAAATCTGAGGATGAGCCCAGCATTTCCTCTGCTGCATCATCAGCCTCAGTGTTCCCAAACAAGAAAGGAGCTATCCCAGTCCCCAGTGGTACACCACCAAATCCTGTGTGTTCTGTCTCACCTCCAGAAGAGACCATGGGAGTAGAGGCACCACAGGATGTAGACCTTCCCACAGATAATTCTGTCCCTGTGAGCAGGGAGCAGGATCTCATTCCACCAGAAACCCTGAACTCAAAGGGAAAATCTTCCAAACTTCCAAGTAAGGGTCCCACGGATTGTGGGGAGGGAAGTGGTGATCTGGCATCCCATGTTTCACTTCCCAATCCACCAGATGCATGTAGTTCAAAGGGAAACCAAGGACTAGAAGAGGATTCATGTAGAGGTGAAGATGTAGTTACAGACTTGGGCTTGGCTGGAGCAAATCTTGTTACTGTCTCTAACAAGGAGTCAGAGGAAAACCAGGGGCTGTCAGCTGAAGGGGAGCCACCACCAAAAGACTTTCACATCAACTCTGACCAAACAAAGCAACCTGTGGTCAGTGACGGTCCAAGAGATCGAGCAGACCCCACTCGTTCCTCTGACTTCTCAGGTATCTTAAATATTTGTTCAAAACTGAGGAATATTAGAAGGAAATCTGCAGTTTTCCCTGTTTCTGAAACTGCTCTTTCTGTCCAGTTGCCCAGTTCCTCAGCTCAGCCAGAGGACACTTTGAGGGTAGGGAAAAATACTCTAAATGAACCAAGTAACACCAAAGAACAGGAGGACACATGCCTTGAATCTGGAGCTGCTCCCACAGGTGCACATTTAGGTGTGGCCTTAAAGGCTCCATACCAAGGAATAAATGTCCCTCTGGCTATCTTCCAGCCTAAGTTACCCAGCAGAAGGAATCCTTCTGTTTCTAGTGGCCAAGACACAAATACAAAGTCCTCAGACAAAAGAGAAGCACCAGTTGCAGAAGTAACCACTGGTGAAACCCCACGTAACAAGAAGCCTGTGTGGCAGAACTTCAGCCCCTCTCAGTTTATAGCAGAAGAATTTCTTCCTGTCTGCCTGGAAGAAATGGATTCAAATGAATCTGAAAGCTCTGAGCTCGTGGAAAATAACTGCAATGAGATAAGCAAAACCCCAGTCTCCCATGATGAAAAGAATCAAACTGAAGAGACAAAACCTTGCAATACAAAAAGAGCTTTGGAACAAGATGAGGAGCATCCTCAAAGTCCAAAGAAGACCAAGAGGGATGAAAACTTGCATGGTAAAGCCTCTCAACACCTGCAGGTGAGTTGACTCATTCATTGTAAGGGTACAGTGGGCACTAATAGGGCTTTTGCTACACCCCAAAGTTGAAACATCAGTTGGTAGGTTTCCTTTTTCTCTTAACCTCAATACTCCCCATCCTCTGACCTAAACTATTTACTAGTTGTCACTTTGCCATAGCGATAGTGATATAGTGATATATAGAGTGACTTAGATATAGTGATAGAGTAACTGAAGCAACTATTTAGCATCCAAAGATGGATGTTGAGTTTAAATCAGCTTTTTTAGATAGCACAAATAGGGATTCAATCCAGAAAATATGTGCAAATATGGAACATTGATCTGAAACATTCATCTGACCTTATAAATAAGTTTGTCATCATCAGTAGAAACTTTCTAATTCTGAAAGCTGGAGGAGTCTTCTTGGACTGCAAAATGAAGGAAGGATTTGGCAGCTTTACTTCCTAAATGTCACTGTAGGAAATAACTTGTCTGGCCACACTGCTCTACCATGATGATCAGATATCAGATGTACCCATGCTAAAAATGAAACAATTATGAATGTCAGGAAACATCTACAATGTTTCCTGATCAACTTCTGGTTTATATACCTCTTTGTTTCTTTTAAACTTGCTGACATTAGGTGACTCTTGGTGCTGTGTCTCAAAGCCAAGCAGAAGTTCCTGAAGGTGAAGATCCTCCAAATCTCTCAGCTAAAAGCCCTGATTGTACCCATGCCAGCACCAGCAGCTCCCTGGATTCTGTTAAGGCTGACACAGAACTAACAAGTAAGATTCCCTTTGTGGTACCAGTCCCAAACCTTGTGTTGTTCATGCTTCATCAAGGAAGAGCCCCACCAGTAGTACATGTTTTAATCCCAGGTTGGATGGGGCTTTGAGCAGCCTGCTGTAGTGGAAGGTGTCCCTGTCCATGGCAGGGGGTTGAAACTGGATGAGCTTTAAGGTCCCTTCTAACCCAGACCACTCTGGGATTCTTTAATCCAATTTGGGAATGCCCATGGCACAGCTGCCAGCCAGGTACCGTGCCTTTATGCTGGCTGACAGTCCAAGCTGTTCAAGGAGAACCAAGATGGGAAGACAAAGGAGCAGAATTTAGGTCCAGCTTTGATTTCAAAGGCCAGTTGGGCTGATGAGACTGTTCAGTTTCCTTAGCAAAGCCCCAGCTCAAACTGCTGGCCCAAAAATGATTTTAAGCTGGTTCCATGCAGAATGAGTCTGCACCCCTTGGTGCTGTGCTCTTGGAAAGAGACTCCTCAGAGTGCATTGCAGGGGCAGGCTCTAGGCAGATTCACCCCCAGGTTTAATTACCTGATACCCAACAGTGAGGCAGAAATCTGTTGGTCATTTGATAAGGGATATTTCACCTCTGCTTTCAAAACCAATCTGATTTTGGCTTCATGCAGCCTTATCCAGCAGAAGTTGGGCTCTTTCCTTTGAATGAGAAACAAGCCCTGTGAACTCGAGTGCAATGGTTTCCCCTTGAAAGCTGCTGGCAGCTCAGATGCTCTTTGGTCTCAGGCTGCACAGGATTACCTCTGTGAATGGTTGGAGTTTCCTTCTCAGCCTTAGTACTCTTTAGTATGTCACATTTGGCTTTCCTCTCACAGAAGGTGAACTGTTACTTCTCAGCCACTGTGACACACATTTTATGTTACATTAGATTCTTCATCCAGACCTCCTTATGTGCCCCAAGTAGTTGTTTCCTCAGGTACTTCATTCAGCACTGGAAACACACACATAAAGGTCAAAACTCTACATTAATATTGCTGTTTATCCCTAGAGTTAATGAGCCTAAGATTCCTATTTCTGTAAGAACATTATTAACCCCAGCAATGTGCCCCTCTCCTTGTTCCTTGGTTAGTCCAGCGGAGCAGTCGCATGGAGTCTCAGCTTCTCAATGACAGCATCTGTGAGGATAACTTACGGGAGGTATGTAAATGGCTGAATGAGTCCAACTTCTTGTCCTAACAGGAAAAAACTTGTGTGTGTATGTGCAAATAAGTGTTCTCACTTGGAAAGTGTGCTCATCTATGGGTTTTCCCTAATCTTCACAGAAATTTCAGAGTGGTGTTATCACAGTTGGGGAGTTCCTTACACTGATTCAAGTCCACGTTCCAATTCAGAAGCCTCGGCGGAGCCATATTCCAGCCAGTGTGAGTATCCATTGATGTCCATCACATCATTGACCTTAAAGGCACCTTATTTCATATAAGCTTTCTTAAGATGAGTGTTTCAGACGTGGGCATTTGTACACATTTTGCAGCCAAATCAATGTCCAGTAGGATGCTGGGGCTGGTCTCTGGTGTCTGGCTGGATTTCACAAATGTAATGTGAAATGGGTAATGTGAGGTGAATGACCTCCTTAGTTTTCTTTATACGAAGAAAAAAGTTTCCCATTTCAGAAACAGAGGGAGTTTGTTAGAAAGATTGCAGTGTGTAGCATTCATATTCATAAAGAAGAGATTCAGAGCAGCCCTGTGGAGAAGGATTTGGGGGTGCTGGTTGATGAGAAAATGGACATGAGCTGGCTTCAGTGTGCGCTCACAGCCTAGAAACCAACCGTGTCCTGGGCTGCATCCAAAGCAGCGTGACCAGCAGGTCCAAGGAGGTGATCCTGCCCCTCTGCTCTGCTCTCGTGAGACCTCACCTGGAGCATTGTATGCAGTTCTGGGGTCCTCAACATAAAAAGGACATGGAACTGTTGGAACAAGTCCAGAGGAGGCCACGAGGATGCTCAGGGGCTGGAGCAGCTCCTGTATGAAGATAGGCTGAGAAAGTTGGGGCTGTTCAGCCTGGAGAAGAGAAGGCTGCGGGGAGACCTCAGAGCAGCTTCCGGTATCTGAAGGGGGCCTATAGGGATGCTGGGGAGGGACTCTTCATTAGGGACTGCAGTGACAGGACAAGGGGTAACGGGTTCAAACTGAAACAGGGGAAGTTTAGATTGGATCTAAGGAGGAAATTCTTTCCTGTGAGGGTGGTGAGGCACTGGAATGGGTTGCCCAGGGAAGTTGTGAATGCTCCATCCCTGGCAGTGTTGAAAGCCAGGTTGGAGGAGGCCTTGGGTGCCATGGTTTACTGTGAGGTGTTCCTGCCCATGGCAGGGGGTTGGAACTGGACGATCTTAAGGTCCTTTCCAACCCTAACTATTCTATGATTCTATATACATAGGGATTTAGTTCAAATCCTTCCATTTCCTGCTGCTTCCTACAGTTTCTGCCAGCACAGTGGAGGATGCACTGGGGCATTTTGACACTAGTTTGGGAGTTTGTTCAATGCCAGTACTTTATTTTAGAGTGCTGGGAACTTTTCAACAGTCTGTTCAAAGTTAAGTTTAAGTTCTATTGAGATTTGATCTTCCTTCTGCTGAATGGGTGGTGTGACACCCTTTTTGATAGAATTGTTAATATGTCTTTGTGATAAGAAGTGTAAGAGTGAGGTAGTTACTAGATACGAAGAGGTGTGGTCAAGATCATATTCTTCACATGGACAGTAGTATATCTGTGAAAATTCATTCTTGTGAAATTCATTCTAGGACTCAGACTTTTAGAACACTGGCTCCTGTATAACCAAGTCTTACTGCTGTAAGATGTCGCATTGTCAGGGCAAATACATCAGTAGAATATTCATATTAGAAATGGAGATGTCTTCTGGGAACTGAGGACTGCAGCTGTGGGCCTTGTTTTGTTCGTCTGCAGAAAGCCAGAGTGCACAACTGATTACGTGAGGGGAGCGCACACAGCAGTGGGGTGTTCTGCCTTGCTTCATGCAAGAGACTTCATCAGGGACTGTCGTGATAGGGCACCGGGTGATGGGTTCAAACTGAAACACAGACTGAAACAGGGGAAGCTCAGGTTAGATTAAGGCAGAAGCTCTTCCCTGTGAGGGTGCTGAGGCGCTGGCACAGGGTGCCCAGAGAAGCTGTGGCTGCCCCATCCCTGGCAGTGTTCAAGGCCAGGTTGGACACAGGGGCTTGGAGCAAGCTGCTCCAGTGGAAGGGGTCCCTGCCCGTGGCAGGGGTTGGAGCTGGACGAGCTTTAAGGTCCCTTCCAACCCAAACCAGGCTGGGTTTCTGTGCCAACTGAATAAAATGCCTGTGTGTCAGCTTAGGAAATGCTGTAAAGTAAAAAGTGTCTGTTTTAGAGTTCTTTAAAACTGTCACAACAAAAGAAAAAATGATTTAAAAGAATCACAACTAAATTAATATCATTTGTGTTGACTAAATTGCCTTTTTTTCCCTCTTGCACAAAAGTAAAGATTCCAGGCCTTTTGCTGCTTTCTGTACATGAATTGGAAGTTACTGTTTCTGACAAATACACATCTCTTTTTCCTGTTTCTTCATACTTCTCCCCTGTTCCCCTCAGGTTGCAGTCAGTGCAGCTCCTACCCCCCAAGACCTCATGTACAATCAGTATGTGCATCGCCCCAAGCTGCGTATTTATGAAGAAGATTGCCAGGCCCTTTCTCAGCTGATAGAGGAGTAAGTGGGGTTTATAGTCATAAAGTATATTAGTCATTTTATTTTTTCACCTCTGCTTGCATGCAGAGTGGCCTGAAGAAAGCTAATGCATTATATACAGGAGAAATAAAGAATGCTACGTGACCTGCTTTGTGCTGGTAGGCAGTTTATTGCAGGTTTAGGGGGCATAGGGCTAATCCTGGGGAAGAGCTGTGGTTGTGGAGATACTGAAGGTTGTGTTTTTCCTCAAGTAATTGATCTTTCAATAATAGAGTGTTTCAGTTGCATGTCAGAAGAGTTAAACTTGTAAAATTGTATCCAAAATGATCAAACATAGAAAGCAGAATCATAACGGGTCACAATCTGTTGTTAGTTCCAATATCCCAGTGTTTACTACATTGAAATACTGTTATCACAATTTATTTCCTTATCTGAAGGACGCTTCTGGTGCATTCTGCCTTTTACAGTTTCTATACAAAATCAAGTTTTATGATAGAATTTAAAATCAGTACTAAGATTTTTGATTGTTCAGAACCTCTTTGGCACCACTTCCTTATTCTTTGGCTCCCCACCTCCTGTTCAGACTTGCCCTCAACCAAAAGACTATAGGAAATGAGCTTTGAGTTGTGTGCCAGAGTTTATCAAGCGTGGCCCCCATTTAATCAAGGCTTTTGAGGGTCTCTCCAAGCTGTGAAACCCAACTAAATGATATTATTTACACGTCCATGTTTTAATTAGAACAAGGGAATTGATTGTACAAATACCAATGTGCTGCTTCATGGGCTCAGTGCAGTTGCATCAAGACTTTATTTCAACTGTGGTTTTCCCCATATTTCAGGTTAAAACCATGTGCAAATGTCCAGGATCAGCTCCTGGTGAATGTGAATAAGACTTTGTGGGAAGTAATGAGAACCTGTTCTGATGAAGAGGTAACGTTGCTTCTGCATGAAGAGATAATGATGTTGCTTCTTCCATACTGAAGAAATAAGGTCAATTTTTATGTACTCAAATAAACTAAGAACCAGAATGGTCACAGAATAACAGTAGGCAGGTAGGTGATGCATGGCAAAGTATTTTATGAATGGAAAACTGCTATGAGGACTTCCAGTAGGTCAGAAGAATGCAAGGATATGTGCCCTTTGAAATATATTAAAGGGAATATGCTGGTATAAAACAATGAAACTTAGTAATTTAAGTAGATAATTCAGGTCAGTTGAGGGCAGAACAGAGAAGATAGAGTTTAGATGGGCTTAAGTGCATTTTGGAAGGAAAGAATGAACTGCTCTCATTGTAGAGTCTCTACTCCATTAGTGGAGCAGAATAATCTATTAATTGCTTATTTAGTTCAGAAAGACACCCGATGTTGCAGGATGTATAAGGAACAGGAAATATGTGTCATTACACAAAAGCAAAACCACATTCAGGTTTTGGATTGCAACAGTGGTGTCTCATGCCAAAACAAAAGGTGAGGCCAGAGGGTGTGTAGAGGAGAATGGTAATGACTATGGGCACAAGCACCCAAAGAAACCTCTCAAACAGCCGGGTGAGAGACACCCAGTGTATGTAACGAAGGTGCTCTGGGTACAAGCATCTCTTTAGTTGTTTGGCTCCCTCTTTGAGTAAAGATCTTGTTGGATCTTTGCAAAAAGCATCAATTACTTTAGGAGGCAACTGTACTTGAACTAACAGGAAGTGTCCAGGCTTCAATCTGATTTAATTTGCAAGTGTCATGTCATCCTGCTTCTGGAGAAACAGGATATTGGGAGGAGCAGAGAAGGGAAAGAGTCTAAAGGGTTGATGGAATAATCTGCTGTGGCACATTCCCATTCACTTTCTCTTCTGTATTTCCCATTCATTGCAGCTGAAGAGCTTTGGAGCAGAAATGAACAAAATGAAATCCTACTTCACCAAGGAGAGCAAAATCTTGGGTCACAACCAGAAGGTGACTTTGTACAGCAAATTGCTGCAGAGTGCACAGGTAATATGTGTTCAGCTTTAAAGAAAGGAACCTCTACCATATTTTATCTGTCTTTGGCAAGTGTAGGAGCCAAATTATTGTATGTAACTGCACTGTTGTGAAAGTTCCTTATTAAACACACTTCCTTTTTATTTATGTGCAAATATGAAGCACAAAGGGAGAGTGACTTTCTTGCACTTAGACTATAGGAACCTTCTGCCCAAGGGTTTTGGCAATTAAAGTAACAGTGAAAAATGCGAGTGTTCGAGGAAATGGCCCCAGAAATAAGCCCTGTATACTGTAGTCATGTCAGTATTAGTAACTTACAAAGCAAAGCGGAAGTAATGCACTGTGGTATTGGAAATTTGCAGGTGTTAAAAGCTCTAGGAATGTATTTACTTCCCTCATAAGCAAAATCATGAGAAAGATGCAGTGTTAAGTATCTAGTGCTACCATGGCTACTGCCGTAGTGTTTGTTGGGCTGCCTCTTCCTTCTAACAACAGGATATATTAGCTTCTTTAATTAGTTTCTTAGCAAGCAAAGATCCACGTGGTGGTCCCAGAAGCCAATTCAGCTTTTTAAATGTGATTTATTTGAGCACACTTATCCCATCTTAGGAACAACGTGGGAAGCTCCAGTGCAGAATAGAGCAGGTGGATGGATTGCTGAAGGAAGCAGAGAGCTGTCTTGTTGCTCTGGGAGCAGGTATGTGTTTGCAGTCCCTGCCCCATGTGCTGGGGTCTGGTTCTCTGCAGAGCTGCTCTTCGGTGGTCACCTCTGTTCACACAAGCTGCAGTCAGTCCTTGGCACTGCTGCATATAGATGCTCTGCGTATTTTCCCTTCTTTTCTTCCAGCTGAATTTTCTTCTAATGCCTTAACTAGAAATCAACAAATAAAATGGAATCTAAATATTGGTCTGGCACTTCTGATACTTCTTTCCCACAGATTCTGACTGGGATGAAGGGGAAGCAGGCTGTGATGGCAGTGATGAAATGGCAGAAGGGAAAAACCTACGGGAAGGTAATGGTACCAGCAGATGGCACTTTCTGGTTTGGTTTATAACTGGAGCGAGTGAAACTCAATCCCCACATGATATATTAACTCTGATATGGATGCAAACGCTACTGCTTCCTTTTCTGCACTGGATACACCTCATTACATAGATGCTAAAGTATGAAAAGGACTGGTTTTCCCTGGAAAAACGGAGTTTAGACCTTGGTATAGTGTGACTTGAGTAGTGTGTACTGACCATCACATTCAGCACTTCAATTGTTGAATAATTACTAACCTTTGTTGACCACACATCTGTATCCAGGAGTAACAGCCATCAAGTTGAGACCTTTCATGTTGTTAAGGACAGTGACTGCACAGCAAGTGTTTGTGGCTCTTCTCTCAGAGATGTTTTCCCTTTTCTCTTAGAACTGGAAAACCTCAAGGCCCAAGAAGAACAACTTCAAAGGTAAAATGTCAAAGAGGAGCTAGAGACCTCAAATAAGATGTCCACATTCAGGTTTTTGAGGGTTGGTGGTTTTCAACTGATGTGCTACTTCTCACGTGGTTGGTTTGTCTGTGCAGAGAACTGTCAGAACTGGAGACTGAGAATGAGCAAGTGGTGGCTGAGATGAACCAGTTAAAGAAGAAAGAAAAAAGCTGTCAGGAAATCCTGGAGAGATATGAGTAAGGAAAAGACCTTTGGGGTTTACTTTTATCAGATAGTTCTGAGGCCTCATATTTGTGTATAAATGGGTTTGGGTTTGCTTTTCCTTGTTATTTGATTTGGGAATCTCTGGATGCACACGTCCTTGCAGCAGTAAAGCCTCAGTGAACTTCCAGGTTTCACTAGAAAGCACTGGCTTTCTAGTCACAACTCTGCAGTCACACTCTACATTTAGTCTTTCTATGTCTAGCTCTCCTCATCTTTCATAAAGAGCATTTATGTAAAATGCACAGTGTTATGTTGTGTTCCTCACAGAGTCCTACATTCTGTTGCAAAGTGAAGATTTTGTTGGTATATTGTTGGTATATACAGATGCCAGAGGGGAGATTGAGATGAGCTCTTAGGCAGAAGCTCTTCCTTGTGAGGGTGCTGAGGCGCTGGCACAGGGTGCCCAGAGAAGCTGCAGCTGTCCCATCCCTGGCAGTGTTCAAGGCCAGGTTGGACACAGGGGCTTGGAGCAAGCTGCTCTAATGGAAGGGGTCCCTGCCCGTGGCAGGGGGTTGGAACTGGATGAGCTTTAAGGTCCTTTCCAACACAAACCACTCTGGGATCCTATGATATTAGGTGGTCAAAGCTGCAAGTGGGCTTAATACTCTGATCTTTGTCCTTCAGGTAATTGTGCTGGCTGGTTGGTTGACACTCGGGGTGATGGTGTTTTCTTCCCCCTCTTTTTAGCTTCACTGAGTGGCAGATAACAGAGTGGAGTGAACAGCGTGCAGTCTTTAGTTTTCTTTATGACTCTATTGAACTCACAGTGGTGTTTGGAACCCCCACAGGTAAGTCCCAACATTGCCAGGCTTCAGTCTTATAAGTTTGAAAGATTCAATAGTTAAACAACAGAAAGCTCAAGTTTCTGTATTTGAGAAGATCTGCTGAAAGGAAAGAAAACCTGCTACAGCAGGACTGTGTGAGCTAAGGGAAGTGGCTTTGAATATGTTTATCAGTGGTTTCTACGAGAATTCAGAAAGCACGAAATGAATGGCTGTTTCTGAAGAGGAAGGGCTGTAACTCCACCAGAACTAAGCATGGAAATGACTGTTGTTTGGGTTTTATCCTTTCCTTCTCAGATGGTGATGTTTTTGGTGAAGATCCTTCCAGAAAGATAGTTAGCCTGAACTTTGAATACTTCTTGGATGGTAAGATTCTGTTGAGTAGCTTCAGTGTAGCTGCCTTGATAATCTCTGAATCTGTGATGTATCTGCTCCTGCATTACTGCATGGCTTTTAAAGATCTCTGCCAACGTGTTTTTCTTTTTCACAGAGGAAAAAGCCCCACCTCCCTCATGTTTAGTCCAAAGACTCATCTTCCAGTTCATCGAAAGTCGGGGCTCTTGGCAGGAGAAGTGTCCCACACTGTACTACTTGCCCCAGGTAATGTTCCTGCAGAGAAATTTTCCAGTAAGACTGGAAAAACCTTAACTCCTTTCTGTCACAGAGAATGGGGCTGATACTGAGAACCAAAACCTCTTCTTGAATGCTTAATCCATGCAAATCAAAATCTGGTTCACGAGATACAAGGGGAAGTACCTGTGAAGGCAAGAGCACTAAAAGCTGTGGTTTCTTCCTTGTTTGCTGCTTTAATGCCTGCCTCTCTTGGTGACTTCTTAAAATCCTTTTCTCCTGCTAGTAGAAAAGAAAGAATTGCGCTGAATGCCATTCTGCTCCCTAAAAATGAATGGTTGGAAGTGCCAAGCCAAATCCTGCGTGTCTGTGTATCCCTGTTGGCAAAGCTGAAGGGAGAAGCTTAAGGCGAAGGATGTGTATTTGTGGTTATGCTTGTGCCATTTCACCTTCCCATCCAAACTGAGAGAGCAGTTAAACTACTACTGGGGTATGCTTTCTAGGATAAACCATGTTTAAGTGTCACACAGACCACCAGCCTGAGTGCAATGGGATTGCTTTTCTGGTTGCCCACTTAGGCTCTCCATGACATCTCTTTGGTGGTGAATCGTTGCAAGATCTTGGGAGAGGAGATGGAATATCTGGAGAGATGGGGTGGCAAGTTCAATCTTCTGAAGACAGAGATCAGTGACACAAAGTGAGTAACTTCAGATGAACCTCACCTTCAGAGACTGTTCCTAGATAATCAGAAACAAAACACTGAACTATTTTCAATGGGTTTTCTTGAAGTTGAGATTTTATGCAACTGGTTTTAAAACCAATCTAATATATTTTAATACAATTACACTATAGGTCCTTTCCAACCCTAACTATTCTATGATTCTATAATATCCAAATACATGGAAATGAAGATGTTCTTGGATTCAGCCACTTCGTTACCATTGTGTAACCTCTCCTTCTTTGCCATTTCCCTGTTTGACTTGGCTCTGTCCTGTAAATCTCTAGGCCAGAGTGTAGCAATGCAAAGGAACCAGAGACAAGAGTTTACCTGTGCCTTAGTGCTTTGCTTCTTTTAATCTTCTGTTTGCTTCCTCCGAGCAGAATCAATCACTGGAGGATGGCTGCACCTAGACTCAAGTTTATTTTCTTTAGTCTTCATTTTCTTGTACTGTTTCCCAATTCTGTGGCATGTCCTGGTGGAACAAGATAAACACTACTTCACCTTATCTGTCTACTACTAGTGTATTTCCTTAAGTAAGAAGTGCCTTGTTTGCCGTGCTCTGCATACCTCGGTGCTGCCCCCATTGGTTATTCTCGTTCTGTGGTGTCCTTTGCAAAAGCGGTGCTCTAAATGCCACAAACCCCATTAAAGCTCTTAGTTAAGACAGAAAACAAGTACCAGGGCAGCCCGTGCCCAGGGAGTTGCAGACTGTGGGAGATCTACCTGGGAAGGACCTTTGTTCTGCTTGTAGTTTTATCCCAAAGCATCTGCTTCCTGGGCATTGTGTCCTTGGCCATGGTCTTATTCACAATAAACTTCAACTCTGGCCTTCCCGCATGTTGTCACAGACAGGAGGACTGTGCTAGGCAGAAATCTGGGCTGATTTAAATGGGTTGGATTCATGAAACCATCTTACAATTATGGAACTGGAGGTAAAACGGTCCTACTGCAAACTGCAGGAAACTTTAGCTACCTGGGAATGGTTTATGTTAACTGGAAAGCATGTTTGTTATTATTACTCTATATTCTCCCATCATTTTTGAAGGGTTCTGTGAATGATGTATTAGCCTTTTCTGTGAGCTTAGTTGTGTGATAACGAGTGCTGATACTATTAGAGTGGAAAGGTTCTTTTAACCTTATTTATGAAGTTACTGTTGGTCTGTTCTGGATCTCTTTAGAAGTTACTGAGCTTGTTGCATCAGTTACATCTGTTTTCACTTCTGGAACCTAGTTCTTGGGTATTTAATCCTGATCTTTGTGTTTCTTTTGCAGGGTGAAGCTTTTGTTCTCTGCTTCAAAAGTTTTTGCCAAGTTTGGGTTGACCCTGTCTCTATCTGCCACCTACCCCTCTGCTCCACTGCCTTTTACTGTCCAAAACCAAGTTGGGAATATTGGGTGAGTTGCACAGAAGGTACCAACCCACACGACTTCAGTGTCAAAGCTGGGGAAGGGGATTAAATCCTCTGTGTCCTCTCAAACACATGATATTCTTCTCTTCCCCAGGGAGGAGGAGATTTCTGCTGTTGTCTCCAAGGTACCAGTTGGTTATCACTATCTGCGGAGAATAGTCAGCTCCATTCACCAGAGCTTGCTCCAGGACCCCAGGCGATTCCCTGGATCCACTGGCAGGACTGAGGAAGTCAGACTGGATATTCTTTGATTTCAGTGTTGGGAGTTCAAGCTGTCTCTCCCTAGAACAAGAGTGCTGTTAGCTTTACCTACTCAGCTCTTAACTACTCTTGTTGACATCCAGGGTGCTTGGTGGAGGGTACAAGTTTTATCAAAGCAGAGGACTCTAAAGAGGAGAAAGGAATTTCTAATGTCTTGGATAAACCCAATCTGCTTTTTACCTTCTTCCAGTTACCAGGGGTCTTGGCTTCCTTATATAGTCCATCCTAGTATGGATGTTCGCCTGACATAGGATGTTAATTTTGTTCTGGGTTGATTTACAAAGCACTTGTTTAAACCAATTATGAGTATTTTCTAAATTAACATGGCTGGAATTTCCATTATCATTCTTCACTCTGGTGTGGCCGTTCAACAGAGCCCATCATGTTTGACTTCTATTCCCTCCCAAAAGACAGCAGCTACAGTCCTGCTTCTGATTAACAAATACATGTAATAACTGACCGGGTAGCCAAAGGCAGAAATACTCTTGGCATGAAGACTAAAGACCCTTAGGCTTGACCATGGACTTGGTGGTGCAACAGACTGGAAGCTGCTGGGATCCATCAGCATCTTGGACCCTTGTTCTGACGCTCTTTGTCCAGCACAGTCTCTGCGGGTTCCAGTACGTTGTCTGAGTTTGGAATGTGTTTGTTTTAGTGTGGAGATGGAGCTGTTTAAGTTCAGGTGGATCTAACACCATGTGCAGCCTCCAGTGCTGCTGTATATATTTTGTATATTGTGTAGGAATGGATCTGACCCCAAGGGAGTGTATCATGTAGAAGTGCCTCCAGTTCTCAGCTGCCCCTTCTGGAGGCAGGAGCAAATCTTGGTGTCTGTAAAATATGTTCTCGTTTGTTTGTGTTTATCTATTTTTGCCTCCTTTTACAGATTTTCCTTCCATTTGGAAGGTGGAGGTTCATTAAACATTTGAATTATTGCTCATCCTTGTGATTCGTGGCTGCTCTGTTTAAACTTGTGACTGGAAATCTGCCTGTTCCTAGTGCAATAGTTTTGTTGGCTATTTGGAAGGACTTAATATAACTTGGCTTTTGTTTGATTTGGGTTTGGGGGGTTTGGTTTTGTTTCCGTTGCCTTTCCTAGTGTTGGCTTATCTATGGTGTGGCTTTTGAAGAAGAATTTGCTTTGTTTAACTAGAAAAATAGTGCTTAAGCTGCAAATAACTTGGGAATTGTACCTGGACTTTTCCATTTCCTAAGGTCGTTGTAACCAGGGGATGGTGCTGCAGCAGCATGTCATGAGCATGGTTCGTTTGGGCTTTTCTGTCCCTCTGGTTTAGTCTTCTTTCAGCATCTCCACAGGCCAAAGGAACTGATAACGCTGAAGACTGAGGTGAGGTTTTGGTGGAATTTATTGACTCAAAGGAGCAGGTGAAACAAAGCCAAGCCAAGTGTTTGCAGGAGAAAAAGGGGATCAGGCAGAAAGGGAGCGGTCCCAGGCTTAGATTTAATTTGCATTTGCCTTTGACGTGCTTATTTAAACATCTCTTGGGGGTTAGGACTTAAAGATCACAACATCTGTCATCGATAGGGGGTTAGGACTTAAAGATCACAACATCTGTCATTGATAGGGGGTTAGGACTTACAGATCACAACATCTGTCATCGATAGGGGTTAGGACTTATAGATCACAACATCTGCCATCAATAGGGGGTTAGGATTTAAGATCACAACATCTGCCATCGATAGGGGTTAGGACTTACAGATCACAACATCTGCCATCGATAGGGGTTAGGACTTACAGATCACAACATCTGCCATCGATAGGGCCTGGTTGATAGCAGCTGTCTGCGTTGCTGTTAACAGATACAACGTATTTACAAAACCTCTATTATTTGGTAACCAAGTTCTGTTGAGAATGGTCGTAAGGAGCATCACACCCAGGGAACAACCCTCCTCCTCTTCCTCCTCCTCCTCCTCCCTGTACCCGCTGTTGCCCCCATTCCATCCTCCCAGGCCCCACGCAATGTGATGCCCCTGGCGGGGGCGCTGCGGCCCCTTTAAGGAGCCCCGGGGAGGGGCGGGGCTTTGCGTGGTGCGCTCCGTCACGTGACGCCGTGGCGGGCTCTTCCGAACCGGCGGTGGCGGCGGCGGCTGCGACCTCAGCGGCCGGAGCTGCTCCGGGACCGGCCCAGGCCCAGGCCCAGGCCCAGGCCCGCGGGTGAGAGCCCCCGCGGCCGCCTCTTCCCCTCCCGCCTCGGCCTTCCCCTTCCCCTTCCCCTCCGCTCCGCCGCCCTTCCCGGCGGGGCCGCGGGCGAGGGAGGCCTGGGCGGGCTGAGGAGCGCGGCGCGGGCTTCTGAGGGGAAACGGGGGGGAGGTGGCGGAGGAGGAGCGAGGGCCGGCGGGGGAAGGGAGGCCCGGTCCGGCTGCCCGCGGGGGTGGTCTCGGGGGTGCGGGGTGACCGGCAGCGGGACGGGGCCTGGCACTGCGGGCAGGCGGAGGGGGCTCGCTTTGGACCAGGGCCTGTAGGGACAGGCCAAGGGGAATGGCTTGAACCTGCCCGAGGGGAGACTGAGCTGAGCTCTTAGGCAGAAGCTCTTCCCTGTGAGGGTGCTGAGGCGCTGGCACAGGGTGCCCAGAGAAGCTGTGGCTGCCCCATCCCTGGCAGTGCTCAAGGCCAGGTTGGACACAGGGGCTTGGAGCAAGCTGCTCCAGTGGAAGGGGTCCCTGTCTGTGGCAGGGGTTGGAGCTGGATGAGTTTAAGGTCCCTTCCAACCCAACCCAGGCTGGGATTCTGTGATCCTCAAACGTGGCCATGTCACTTACTGCTAAAATGAGATACTGCTAATACCAAATGAATTCTGTTATATTCTCAGTCCTGCGGAGCTCTTATTCCTCAGCAAGTAACACAAGAGTTGTTTGGGGGGGTTGGTAATAATGTTTAATACTACCTAAGAAAGCACACAAGAGATTCCCGCTCATACCCCAGCCTAAGAGATATGGGAGGGGACAAAACCATTACCTCCTGCTTTGGATGACCCGTGAACATGCTCCGAAGCACTTTGCACATCTTGTTTAGATAGTGCTGCTGCTTCTCAAAGTGGTGTGGTCTCTCCTAGTGGGGCTTGACTGAGCGCGCCAGGCCATGGCCATGCAGATGCCCTTGGAAGCGAATGTGGATACTTCAGCAGAGGAAGAGAGCTTTGGGCCTCAGCTCATTGCTCGCCTAGAGGTGGGTCAGGGTTGGCTCCAGAGTAAGTTCTCAAGGAATCTGTTAGTCGTTTTCCTTAAACACCAATTGTATCTGAAATTGTGTGGCTAAGTTCTTGTGTTCTGTCAGAAAAAACCCAAACCAAGTCTCTCAGCATGTTAACAGCTGTGCCTTACGTTACTTTGCCTTGCTCCATACCCTTTCCTGATGTGTCTTGGTCACTTCTGTGATCTATTAAACCAGAGAATAGAATCTTCTGCCCATTCTCTGCGTTTACATGGTTAATATCCAAACGTTACACTAGTAAAAGGTTCTTGGTTTTTTGATTCTTTGCGTATTGAGTGAGTAGGGAGGTAACCTTCAGAATCTGACTTGTAATAATAGGGTTTGATCCAGACCTGCTGGAGCCAATTGAGGGCATTCAGTGGAAGTTAGATGAAGGAATCTGTGTCTCAGTGTGTCCTTTTTATCTCCCCTCCCTTTAGCAATGTGGCATAAATGCGAACGATGTGAAGAAATTGGAAGAAGCTGGATTTCACACAGTTGAGGCTGTTGCTTATGCACCAAAGAAGGAGCTACTAAACATCAAAGGCATCAGTGAAGCCAAAGCTGACAAAATCTTGGTAAGGAATTATGGAAAAGCTTTAACCCAAGATAGTGAAGAAGTTTTATTTCTACTGGCTTAAAGCGGTGTAGTGATTTTGGAAGGTCACCATTAATGATACACTGAGAGGGGCAGTAAAGGTGATGAGAGGTACGATGTGACTTTTGATGAGAAGAGACAAAAAACACAAAGACCAGCCTCAGGAAGCGAAGAGGGGGGGACTGCTGGAAAGGTCTGTGAGAATCACAGAGGGTATGGAGAGTGTGCCTGAGATGACTGCCATTTCTAGTTCAGTATTCCTCATGATAAGGCAGCTTATGATAAGCCTCAAGCAAAGGAAGTACTTTTAAACACAGGACGCCATCACTTCCATCTCTGGCAGTGTTCAAGGCCAGCTTGGATGGGGCTTGGAGCAACCTGCTCTAGTGGAAGGTATTGCTTCCCATGGCTGGAACTGGAAGAGCTTTAAGGCCCCTTCCAATCCAAACCAGTCTGGGATTCTAAGTTATGGAACTGTCCCAGTACAGCTGCTGCTCTTGAGTGTGTTAATGGTGCACCTTGGACAGGTATTCACCCTCAGACAAGGGGTTTCCTTCCAGGACTGAGAGGGAAGTCAGAGTTATTGATCTTGTATCTTCTAGTCCAGAACATGGAGTTCCTGCCACACTAGTTCTCATTTATCAGAATCTGACCCAGCACAGTGTTGAACTCCAGTTCTTTCCTTGCTGTGCATGTTCAGTCAGTGTTTAGGAGCACAGCATTCCTAACTGGGCTGTATGCCCACCCTCTGTGTTTCAGGTTTCCCAGGGACAGAACTGAACTGAAAGTGTGGGGGCTGAGGAGGGAAACGTCCCAGAAAATACCCAACTGGATGTTAATGCTTTGTCTTTGAGCAGAATTTCAGTTCTGTTGGTCTGTGAAATACAATGTACACAGGAAACTATATAGGGGCTTCTCCACAAAACAGAACATTACAGTATTCATTACTAGAGGGGGGAAACAAATGGGGTGGACTCTCCTTTCACTGCTGGGTTTGGTTTCCTTCAGGCTGAAGCAGCTAAACTGGTTCCCATGGGTTTCACCACAGCAACAGAATTCCACCAGCGAAGGTCAGAGATCATCCAGATCACCACTGGCTCCAAAGAACTTGATAAACTTCTTCAAGGTAAAAGCTTTAGTTCTCTCTGCTGGTTAACCTCAGTTAGCTGTCAGGGTTTTTTTCCCTATGAATATGATCCTTGCACAAAAACACGTAAAACACACGAAGTTTGGATTAAAAAATCTCAAGTACCATTCTCTTCTATCACAAATTATTTTGTTTTAAAAGCTGCAGAAATAGCTTTAAATCCTTTTAACCATGATGCAGTACCCGGAGTCGTTCATCTTGGATGTTTCTCATTTATTCTGGTCTATGACCTATTTCAAGAAAGCAAAACCAGGGATCAGCTTCTCCCTGTTCCTGCTTGTAATCAAAAATCAAACCAAGTTGCTTCAGCTTTTTCAGCATCTTCCCCATTCCACAAACCTAAAGTTCTTATCTGCACGTGAACAAACCTCAGGGTGAAATCCATTTTTTCCAGTTAGACTCCTGAATCTTTTAACCAAAGCAAGTGTTGAACTGAGTCTTTAAATGTAATACTTTATACATGGTCTGTGTTTGAAATATATGACCTGTAAAAAATTCTTCTTTCCCCCTCAGGAGGGATAGAAACAGGATCCATCACAGAGCTATTTGGGGAGTTTCGTACTGGGAAAACACAGCTGTGTCATACCCTAGCAGTAACCTGTCAGGTGAGTGCTCCACTTTATTTCAGTCGAGTATTCAGCACACACAGCTCTTGGTTACTTTCTATTTTGTGCACTTTTCTCACCCGGTACAAATGTGATGCATATAAAGAGCTGCAAAGAAGGTGTGTCCAGCACCCTTGGTTGTACCTGCAGCTTTCTGGGAGCTTTTGCTTTATGCTTATCCTGCTTCTAGGATTGCTTCAGCAGCAGTTAAGTTTGTGATGTTTTTAACCTGTGTTTTACATGGTCTGTAGCTGCTTTTTTGCCCTCTCCTCAGTGTTCTGACAACAGCTTTTAACACATCAGACTCATAGCATGATTCTAGGTCTTAAATACAGGGAAGCATTTGATCTCTCATTTGATTCAGGTGCTCTAGACACAAACAGCAGATCAGTTTGGAGTAATGTTTTATATGATCCTCATTTAAACAAGGAATAGTGTTTATTACTTTCTAGAGGTTGCTGTTTCATCAATTTTAGAGGCTTTGGGCTTAATTTGCTCATTTATTTGATGCCCTGATGTACCTAAACCTACCAGCCCCAAGTTAAGTGCCTGTCCTCTTATGCAGGTGTTGGAGACTGGAAACAGGAACCTTCCTCCTCACTTTTCCCAGATAAATGTGACTTCAGTTACAATATCTTGGTGTGTTGCTTATTGTGTGATACCAGTTGAGAGCATAAGGTAGTGACTGGCTTATTTGTTGACACAATTTCATGTTCTTCCATTTGCTTTTCCTTCAGCTTCCCATTGACCGGGGGGGTGGTGAAGGAAAAGCCATGTACATTGACACAGAGGGGACCTTCCGTCCTGAGCGCCTTCTTGCTGTGGCTGAAAGGTCTGTACCCACAGCTGGGGGTGAGCTGCTGTTGAAGGAATACATTTACTCATGGAATAACTTAGTTGTTAAGGATCACTGTGTAAAAATCAGCCCATCTCCTCACATTCACAGTGCTGCTGGAGTAGAACTCCAGCCCCTTTCCTGTGTTCCAGTTGTCTGCTCCGTGCAAGCTGGACCTCTTCACTACTTGTGCTTTATCAACAGAGGTTCTAGTTCTAGTCCCACTGTCCCCTGGAATATGCTGTCTTCACTTCTCATTCGTGTCTCTTTCAAACTGAGTTTTACTGTTAGTGAAACACAAGGCACAGGTTTTCCTTAAAATTATCAATAGCATTACCTTGAAGCAAAGATCCTTTTGTAAACAGGTTATTGCAAGAGCAGCTGGAAAGTTCTTGCTAGGGCATATGAGAGCATCCATTAAGTGGTTGAAAAGCTGCTTTTTCTCCTCCAGCCTCTATCTCAGAATGGTTTGATGCCAATTGGAAAGTAAAACTTAATTACCCAAATAATTCTGCTGCCTGCACAGAGGTTCTGGTTAGATTCAGAAGCCTGAAGTAGGGGCTCTCTGCATGAACATAAGAGCTACTTCTGCCCTGGTGATTCTTCAGACTCCTTCTGTGGGGCCTAATGTCTGATGTTCTACTTGGCTGTTGTTCCTAGGCAGGAAAACAGTCTTTAACAACATTTTCTGATCCTTCTCTTTCCTCACCAAGTTCAAACTTCAAACTTGGGGTTCAAACTGAAACAGGGGAAGTTTAGATTGGATCTAAGGAGGAAATTTTTTCCTGTGAGGGTGCTGAGGCACTGGAATGGGTTGCCCAGGGAGGTTGTGAATGCTCCATCCCTGGCAGTGTTCAAGGCCAGGTTGGACAGAGCCTTGGGTGCCATGGTTTAGTGTGAGGTGTCCCTGCCCATGGCAGGGGGTTGGAACTGGATGATCTTAAGGTCCTTTCCAACCCTAACTGTTCTATGATTCTAAGTTGTGTGGCATTTTTTGTGTCTGCTTTTATCTCTAAGGCTCTTCCAGGAATGTGAGGTTTTATTCCAGTCCTTAGGTAAACCCACTAGCTAACACCTAGTCAAGAAGCTGCCACTTAAGGAGTTTATCTGTGTCCTGCTTTCTGCAGGTATGGCTTGTCAGGCAGTGATGTCCTGGATAACGTGGCGTACGCTCGAGGCTTTAACACAGACCACCAGACCCAGCTGCTCTACCAGGCCTCTGCTATGATGGCTGAATCACGGTAATGGTACCCAGTTGGATGGAGTGAGTTCTGTGCCAGCCCATCATCACCCTGTAAGGCCACCTGTAGATGATGCCCAAGTGCAGAAGTGTAGGTGACCTGATTGTGAAATGTCAGAGTCATTTATTAACCTCAGTGTTACAGATCGAGTCAGTGTTAAAGATCATCCTTCTGCTCACTGTCAGCCTGAGGAGCTTCCATCCACGTGGTGGCTGCAGCCGTGCAACGTGCTGGGCACCAGCTCCAGCAGAGGCGTTACTGAGGCCTGGAAATGTTGGTGACCTCACCTGGAGCATTGTGTGCAGTTCTGGTGTCATCAACATAAAAAGGACATGGAACTGTTGGAACAAGTCCAGAGGAGGCCACGAGGATGCTCAGGGGCTGGAGCACCTCCTGTATGAAGACAGGCTGAGAAAGTTGGGGCTGTTCAGCCTGGAGAAGAGAAGGCTGCGGGGAGACCTCAGAGCAGCTTCCAGTGTCTGAAGGGGGCCTATAGGGATGCTGGGGAGGGACTCTTCATTAGGGACTGCAGTGACAGGACAAGGGGTAACGGGTTCAAACTGAAACAGGGGAAGTTTAGATTGGATCTAAGGAGGAAATTCTTTCCTGTGAGGGTGCTGAGGCACTGGAATGGGTTGCCCAGGGAGGTTGTGAATGCTCCATCCCTGGCAGTGTTCAAGGCCAGGTTGGACAGAGCCTTGGGTGCCATGGTTTAGAGTGAGGTGTCCCTGCCCATGGCAGGGGGTTGGAACTGGATGATTTTAAGGTCCTTTCCAGCCCAAACCATCCCATGGTTCTAACCTTGTCCTGGTCCCCTGCAGGTACGCGCTGCTGATAGTGGACAGTGCCACGGCCCTGTACCGCACCGACTACTCGGGCCGCGGGGAGCTCTCCGCCAGGCAGATGCATCTGGCCCGCTTCCTGCGGATGCTGCTGCGCCTCGCGGATGAGGTAACCGGGAACCGGCCGCAGCCTCTGCGGGGTGATGGGTTTCCTTTCTCTTGTGAAGCTTAGCAGCGTCCTGCAGACGGCTGGCAAAGAACCACGGAATCCACCAAAGGAAAAGAGCTTCAAGCTCATCCAGTCCAAACGTTCCCCAGCACTGCCACGGCCACCACTGACCCATGGCACTGAGGGCATCATCTACACAGTGTGTGAACACTTGCAGGGCCGGTGCCTGCAGCCCTGCCCTGGGCAGCCTGTTCCAATGCCTGAGCACCCTCTGGGGCAGGAATTGTTCCTCAGCTCCATCTAAACCTGCCCTGGTGCAGCTTGAGGCCGTTTCCTCTTGTCCCATCCCTTGTTCCTTGGGAGCAGAGCCCAGCCACTCCTGGCTCCATCCTCCTCTCAGGCAGTTGTAGGCAGCCATTCAGGTCCCCCCTGAGCCTTCTCTTCTCCACACTGAACCCCCCAGCTCCCTCAGCCCTTCCCCATCACACTTGGGCTCCAAGCCCTGCACCAGCTCCATTGCCCTTCTCTGGCCCTGCTCCAGCACCTCAAGGTCTCCCCTGTAGTGAGGGGCCCACAACTGAACACAGGATTTGAGGTGCAGCCTCACCAGTCCCCAGCACAGGGGCACTATCCCTGCCCTGGTCCTGCTGCCACACTGGTGCTGGTACAGGCCAGCATGCTGGGGGCTTCTTGGCTGTCTGGGCACAACCTGCTCACGTTCAGCTCCAGCAATGAGCACCCCCAGCTCCTTTTTCATGAGCAGTTTCCAGCTGCTCTTCCCCAAGCCTGGAGCATTGCAGGGGGTTGTTGTGGCCTAAGTGCAGGACCCAGCCCTGCCCACTCAGGGTCTGCTTCCACAGCAGAGTGGGCACGGACAGCAGCACGTGGGGGGGTTTGGGGGCTGATTTTTGTCCTTTGGCAGATCAGTTGATTTCAGGTGTTGCTTCTCTCCCTGCAGTTTGGAGTGGCCGTTGTGATCACCAACCAAGTGGTAGCACAAGTAGATGGAGCTGCCATGTTTGCTGCAGATCCCAAAAAGCCTATTGGAGGGAATATCATAGCACACGCTTCCACCACCAGGTGAGAGGAGAGAGGAGCATCTTCCATTCACTTTACTGGGGAAGATTCTATGATCCTGCCTACATACCTTTAAATCCTGGTTTCAGCACAGTCTGTCAATGGCCAGCCCAGCTTGTTTCTTGACAGCTGAGTGCCACTGAGCCCTCATTAATCTGCACAAGCATGACCATTGCCAGAGGCTCTTGCAGCTCTGCACCGTGCTCTCTCCATGTACTAACACAGGCTTTTAATGGTTTGCCTGATGCAGACTGCACATCCTTACCTGCTTTGTCTCCTCCCTCCCAGGCTGTATCTGCGGAAAGGCCGAGGTGAAACCAGGATATGTAAAATCTACGACTCCCCTTGTCTTCCCGAGGCTGAAGCAATGTTTGCTATCAATGCTGATGGAGTGGGAGATGCTAAAGACTGAAAGTCTCATTCCCTTCCCCCCGTAACCCATGGCCGGGTGTCTTAAAAGGCTCCTTCCTTTGTGGCACCTTACAGATGTTTTCCCTGTTCTGCTGCTGGGTAGAGGCTGGCAGAGGGACCCGTTTTATTTCAGCACTGAAGTCCACAGCAAATACACTGCGAGGCCCAGCTGGAGGTGTTGCTTGGAGGAGTTCTACCCTTTGGTCATGTGCTCATTAAGGTGGTTTCCTGTGGAGGACCACAGCCCTTGTGTGTTCCTCACGGCTCTTGCTCCAGCTGGAGGCTCCCAGAGGCAAAAGCACAGTGAAATCTAAGAGTGCGTGGCCGTAGCTCGTAACTTGGTGAATTTGGAGTAGCGGTGGTGGGTTTGGCAAATGAGACAAGTGGTGACTTCCATTCTTCACGGATGGCTTTCCTCGTCAAGGGTGGGTTTCCACAACACGAGCCCCTGGTGGGACTGGTGATGAGCACGGTCCCTGCTCGCTGTTGATTTTGTTCGGGGTGCTGCCTTTGGGAGCTGTTCATTTACGTTTCGATTCTGTATTTTTGTATTTCGTTCATTCTCTGTGGAAATCTGCTTTTAATAAAAAGGACCGTGAACCCACTGCCACAGCACAGGCTCCTGGGGTCCAGCCCTGCCTTAGTTCAGGCAGAGGTGGGGTTTGAAAATTGAAGAAAACTGAGGAAAGCTGAAAAAATTAAGAAAATGGAAGAAAAACTGAAAAAAAATGAAGAAAATGGAAGGGGGAAAGGAAAGGAGAAGAGAAAAATAACAAGAAAAAAGAAAATAAGAAAAAGAAAAGGAAATTAAAGAAAATTGCAGAAAAATTAAAGGAAAGAGAAAGAGGAGATGAGAGGAGAAAAGGGGAGTGGAAGGGAGGAGTGGGGAGAGGAGGGGAAAACAGAGGAGTAGAGAGGAAAGGAGATGGAGGAGAGGAAGAGACAGGGGAGAGGGAGAGGAGAGGAGAGGGAAGAGAGCAGGGCAAAATTAAAGAGCTTCTATTTTAGTTCTAAGTTGATGCACCATGTCTGTATCTCTGTATGCATGTCTTTGTCTGTGCCTAGTTCCATGTGTTCACATTTATGCTTACACATTTACAGGTATAGGTTCATGTGCTCCCCTTCCATGCTCCTGTTTGCATTCACATTACATTGGTTCCTGTGTCTCTCTTGACACATGTCCATACTAACCCCCAGCTGAGGTGCAGGTGAGCGCAGGCACAGGCCTGGAGGCTGGGGCAGGGCCAGAGGGTCCCATCACTGCTCCGAGGGGAAATGAATCTATCATCTATCTATCTATCTATCTATCTATCTATCTATCTATCTATCTATCATCTATCTATCTATCTATCATCTATCATCTATCTATCATCTATTTATCATCTACCATCTATCATCTATTTATCCATCTATCATCTATCAATCTATATCTACATTTAAAATTATGTATCTTTTCTATACATATATTAAAATACATTGCTATATATAAAATTACAGAAATATGTAACGAAATTAAAGCTTTTCAAATGAGGCAGGAGCTGCCTTTTCCTCCCTTAAACACGAAACATGGAAAAGAAACCCCCTTTTCTGGAGAGATGGTTTTCCTTTTCAAATAGCTTCATTATTAATAGCTGAACTAATTATTAATAGCTGAACTGCTCACTAATAGCTGAACTAATCACTAATAGCTGGATTAATGATCACTGCTTGCTTTCAATGGCTTTCCCTGGGCAGGTGTTTCCCTTGCAGCTCCCTCAGCCCAGCAGGAAGCGTCTGCAGGGAAACGGGGCTCGATGGGAACATCACAGCGTGAAGCCTCCTGTCTGTGGGGAGCCACTGGAGGGGCAAGGAGGGGGCCCCCTCCTCTCCCCTCTCCTCATACAACCAACCCCTTTGTCACTTCTGGGGCACCCAATTGAGCTGCCGCTGCTTCACAGGTGGGTGCTCCCTGTAGCGCATCAAACCTGGATTGGGGCAGCTCCTCCCTGCATCCCAGCCTGGCCTCACCGCCACACCCGGCTGAGGTGATGCTCAGGACCAAGGGCTGCTGCGGCTCAGGTAGCATCCAGCACCTGATCCACCAAACCCCCTCCCCTGAAACCCAAACCCCAGGGAAAAGCCGCAGTGTGGGGCCAGGCTCTCACAAACCGGGAGTGCTGAGGGAGATGGAGCTTGGGGCGGAGATGGAACTCGGAGCGTCAACGGGGCCATGGGCCCGCAAGGTTTGGGGAGGGCACAAGGCTATTTTGGGGGGGAATAAGTGATTCCACCAAGGCCCCAGCCCCTGATGAACTCTGGCTCCCAGTTACTGCTCTGCCTTTCCATGGTGCAGCCTGGAGCTGGGCAGGGAGCCCAGCACATCCCCGCTTTTCCACACCCCTCACCTGGGAAGGGTTGGAGCTTGTTTGCTCCACCTTTCCCCTTCAGTGTGACGCTCACCACGTAAAACCCCACCGGGTTAACCGACACGTGCAAGGGACTAAAGAGGGTCAAGAAGCGCTTTACTCTTGCAGCAGTTTCCTTCACGCTTTGCATACATTACACAGCATGGCAAACGTAACAGACATCAGTGTGTGGATAGCTGCCAACTGGGGTGCAAGGGGATATCAAGGAAGCCTTGCTGAATACATAGGGAACTCTTGGAGCACAGGTCTTGCTCCCCCATCCGCGTCAGTGTGCAGCAGCTTCCTGCTGCTGTTTGGTACCAGGAGCTGGCAGAGGCAGTGGCAGTCGTTGGCTTCACCTTCCTGCTGCCCCCTCCTTGGTCAGGACCATCCCAGGGAAGCATCACTTTTGGCACAGAACATCTCTGTGCCTGTACCCATGAGTCATTGATAAATAAGCTCTTCTCAAACTACATTATCACATCCAACCCAAAGCAGCACAGATCGGAGGGACAGAAGTTCTCAACCTCACGTGAGTGGGGTAACATCACTGGGAGGGAGCAAGGCCTGCACTTTCAAACGTGATTACTTCACTGCTCTGACAAAAGCTATGCACCTCTTGGAAATAAAGCTTGTGTTGGGAAGGAAAGCTCTTTGGTCCCCAGTAATAGCTCCCTAGAGCACGCGGGGCTGGTCTGCCCCAGGGGTAAACCAGGAAGGTAGTTCAGGCATGGCTGGGAGGGACTGATGGGCTTGGGACACCATCATGTTCTTCCCAAGGAACTCGCTCACTGGCAGTCACTGCTGTCTGGGGTTTTTGGTTACAGCCTTTCTTCAGTCACAGTTTCAGGGCCCATTTGACTCCCCAGGCTGAGGGCAGTGAGAGCATCCACAGCCTCCAGCGCAGCATCACCACCAAGCAGAGCCTTGGAATGAGACCTCACCCAAGCATGAGCACAGGAGGGCTGGAGTCAGGTCTGATCCAATCACTCCACGTTCGTAAGGAGGAGAGAAAAGAGGAATCTGAAGGACAGTTTGGCCCAAGCCTTCCTCAGGCACCAGCTGAGGCCTCAGGTGCAGGCTGTGGGGTAGAGCTGGTGATATAAAACCTATGTGTAGATGTAAACAGGTACAGACTTGTGTGCATTTTTATATCACAAAGTATCTCACATACATCTATACTACATGGAACCACAACGGATTTTATACCCCAGATTCTACCTACAAACACAATTTGACCTTCTGTAGGAGTCTGAAAACCCACCGTGGTCAGTGCTGTAAGAAGGAAACAAGACACAATTTGATCCCATTACATCCCACCACGAGCTCCTCCTGGTGAGGCTGCTGCGTGGCTCCTCCTGCGAACTCCAGTGGCTTCTCCATGAAGGGAACGTCGGGATCATGGAACCCCTGACTGGGATTTTCCTGTCTCTGCAGTACCAAGTGGGGTGACTTTTCCACATTCACTCTTCCCAGGCGGAGCGCATCTCTTCAAGGTCTCTCTCACTCTCTGCATCCTGGAAATGCAAGAAGAGAACAGGTAAATACACAGCCCCACTGAAACGATGGAACAGAGCATTTCCCTTTTCTTCTCCAAGCCCACACAAGGTTTTAAGGACACCCCCAGCCTTACCCCTTCCTCCTAATGCCTCTTTTTTCCTCTCTCACCTGCATGTATTTCTCTCTCCACACCCACATCTCTGAAGCTTACTTCAGTTTTCCAGGTACCAAAGAGGGTTTCTCTCAGGTTTCCTCGCTGCCTCGCTCAGACTGGAACCCCTTTGCTTTTCCTTCCCAGCGTGATGGGAGCTGTTTGACTGATGAAGAGAAGTAACACTTGCAAAGACCCAACACAGCCACTTAAGCACTGGCTTCTTACTCGACTCCCACTTGTAATGTCGGGGCAGAGGAGAGGATGAACTGCTCAGGACCCCCCTGCCTGCAGCTTTCTCCTGGTCCTTCCTGATTTTCACCTCAGTGCTTTTATGCTTGACCACGTCTCCAACACACATTTCTTGTGTGTTTTCTGGGGGAAAATCCTCCTTCTATTCCTCAGCCACAGCGTTTTAACCCTGTCCACAGAGATGTCCAAGCAGCACACGAGGCAGGGCTGGGCTGCCTCCTTCCTAAGAAGGGAATGAATTCCACTCCCTGGTCCAGCAGCCCCGGCCAAGCGCCTTGTGCAATAGCGGGCAGTGCCCTGCAGGGGGCAGCGCAGCCCCGCCAGCTCCCTGCCAGCTCCGCTCCCAGCATCTCCCTCCTGCTCTTCCCCTGCCGGAATTTCAGCACAAAACTTTGCTGTAGTGACCCAAAAAACCATCACGGCCTCAAAAACCGGAGGTGCACGAAAATGCTGCGCATTCCATGTACTCACGGAATCCCCGAGGGGTCTGGGTGGGAAGGAACCTTAAAGCTCACCCAGTCCCAGTTAACTCATCTCAGTCTCCCCTCGGGCAGGTTAAAGCCATTCCCCTTGGCCCTGTCCCTACAGGCCCTGGGCCAAAGCCCCTTCCCCAGGTTTCTTGTAGGCTCTTTTAGGTACTGTAGCAGGTAATACCTGCTCCAGCCCTAGGACCACCACTCAGCTCAGGCATCCCCCTCTGAACTGAGCTGCCCAGGCAAAAGGAATGAACCCTCTGCAGAACCCACGGACTGGGACAGGTACCACAGCAGTCAGCAGCTCTGGAGATGCTCCGGTGCCGAACACATGCTGCGTGTTCAGATGCGGCCATAACCAAACCTGTGCGTAAGGGAGGCCTTGCACACTGGGGGCTGGACTAAACCCGCATCAGACACACTCAGCTGCTCAGGATTCATTACTTTAGAACCATAGAATCACAGAACAGTCAGGGTTGGAAAGGACCTTAAGATCATCCAGTTCCAACCCCCTGCCATGGGCAGGAACACCTCACACTAAACCATGGCACCCAAGGCTCTGTCCAACCTGGCCTTGAACACCGCCAGGGATGGAGCATTCACAACCTCCCTGGGCAACCCATTCCAGTGCCTCAGCACCCTCACAGGAGAGAATTTCCTCCTTAGATCCAATCTAAACTTCCCCTGTTTCAGTTTGAACCCGTTACCCCTTGTCCTGTCACTGCAGTCCCTAATGAAGAGTCCCTCCCCAGCATCCCTATAGGCCCCCTTCAGACACTGGAAGCTGCTCTGAGGTCTCCCCGCAGCCTTCTCTTCTCCAGGCTGAACAGCCCCAACTTCCTCAGCCTGTCTTCATACAGGAGCTGCTGAATCTCTTTAGGCACTGAGCTCACGAGCCGCAAGAGCGACCACACTAAGGAAGAAAACACTTTAAACCCCGGGCTTGCACGCTGGGAACAGTTCTATGACCCTATTTCTGTAACCCCTTTCTCCCTGCTCAGCAGCAGGCGGTTACTGGGCCCGCTACCTCTTTTGTGTTAACTGGCAGCTCGGAAGCAAGGTCCATCCAGAGAACGGCTGCAGCCTTGTTCCCCAGGTCCCTGTAGCACTGAGGAGAAAAGAAACACCCACGTGAGAAGAGCTCACCAGCAAAAACCAGGCAGCAAACGTAACCCAGCCATTACGAGCCCCGGTAATCGACAGAGCTGTTCCTCCTCTGACCTAGCTGCAGCGTGTGCTTTCGGGCTTCTGGCACGTCCTGCAGTAGCCTTTGTCCACAGCTCATTACAATCACAGCAGACTATGGGGTTTTGCTTGGTTTGGTTGATTTTGTGTTGTTTTGGGCAAGAAGATTGCTTTTTGGTTGCAGATTTTAAGGTGTCCCTCTGATTTTGACTATTTTTGAAGCTCTATTTTCATTTCCACATAGCCCCTGCTCCTCACAGTGCCCCACCATAAAACCTCTGTACTGAGAGCAGGTCAAAGAGCTCATTCCCCAGGCTGGTAGGCCTGAGGTCACTGCACTGTGCCACTGAATGCTTACAGGTCTGACAGGTCTCACCATCACAGAATCCCAGAGCATTTGGGTTGGAAGAGACCTTAGAGCTCATCCAGTTCCAAGCCCTGCTCACACACAGCGAGCTGCAATGGGTCAAAGACAACATCCAGCTGGTGTAAAGGCCACTACAGCTCTTGCTGGGCTTTCCTCCTCCATCACCTTTATCTTCCCTTAACAAGATGCTTATTGGGATGCAAGCTCTGCATCGAGAGCCCAGTCATAGCGTGCTCTGGACCAAGCAGATCCCACCACTCGCACGCTACCCTGGTAAAACTCCCATTCTTTGGGACACTGGGAATGTCACAGACAACGACTGCAGCTCCTCCTCCTACACCCCCTCTGCCCAGTATTTCTGAAGCTATTTGAGCTTTAAGTATTTCTGGACTCCAGCTGGAGGAATTAAGCAGCAACTTTAACGTTTCAAGAGTTCAAACCCAGTTATTCCCTCCATGCCAACAAAGATCTTTGGAGCACCAGCTCCAGGCACTCGTGGTGCATTTAATCACCACTCAAGACTCCCACTTGTATTGGTAAACCACGAGACACACTTTACCCTTTACTCTTCCCCAAGATTCCCTGCGTACCCCATGGAAGTCCATGGTGCTGGTGGGATTAAACCTCCAGGCTGTGGCCTTCACGTTACCAGGGACACTTCACATAGAATTAGATGGGTTAAAAGCCAAGCAGGATGCTCCGTTGGGCAAAAGCCTCCCTGAATTCCAATGCCCCTGCACTAAATGATTTGGCCTATTATAATCTTATAAAATCTTGCAGTAATTTACACATGCTCAGCACTTTACAGCCAAAGACCACTGTGTAATACAAGTATTTCTCAGCTTAGGAGCATATATGATATGACTGATCTAAAGGAAGCCACAAGTGACTGCTTACCTTGGAAATGTACATTCTTCCTGCCTTGGAATATCCCGGGCTCAGCTCCTCAACCTGCAACGAAGAGAGGGGAGGGTGCAACAGGCAGACATTAGGGTATGCAAAGGACACAGTGAATGCTTAGAGCAGTCTTAGTGCACCTCTTAAACCCAGATGACTAACCCTACTGTTGGAGCTACCTAGCTCAGCATCAGAACTGACTGGCTGGGTCAGCAAAGCTTCTGTGAGTCTATGAATAAGAGGACAAACACCCCCCCCATTCCCTCATTCAGAGCAGGATTCCTACGAGCAGGAAGTACTCCTAAGAATTTCTTCCTAGAAACAGAATTATAGTGGAGCATTTATCACTTCCCTGGCCCCCCTGTGCCAGCGCCTCACCACTCGCACAGTAAAGAGCTTCTTCTTAGATCTAAGCTGAACTTCCCTGTTTCAGTTTGAACCCATCACCCCTTGGCCTATCGCTATGAAGAGCCCCTCTCTGACGTCCCTGCAGGCCCCTTCAGGTAGGCTGGAAGCTGCTCTGAGCCATTCTTCTCCAAACTCCATGAGCAAGGAGCCCCTGAAAGCCTAAAGCAGCTGTCTGCCCAAGTTTGAGATGGAGAGGTTGGACCTAACCTGCCTTTCAATAAAACATTCTGAGAGACACTGGAATGACAGAACACATCTAGGGGAGTGCTGCCAGGGATGAGCTCAAGCAGACCCCTGGAAGAGCACAAACCCATATGCATTTCAAGCAGTGAATCACTGCGCCATGCAGCCTTTCAAAGGAAAACCAAAACCCCTTCAAAACAATTCAGAACCTTTTGGGTTTGGTTGTGAGCCCCTCAAAATCACCTTCTTCTGTCTGGTTATTCTACAACAAGGTTTTGCTTGCACCAGCTCTTCCTCCAGTTTTATAGGATCAGGGAATGGTTTGGGTTGAAGGGAGCTTAAAGCTCCTCCAGCTTAGTGGACCCCTTCCACTAGAGCCGCTTGCTCCAAGCCCCTGTGTCCTTGAGTACTGCCTGGGATGGGGCAGCCACAGCTTCTCCGGGCGCCCTGGGAGTGATGGGTTTAAGCAGGATACGTGTACCCCAGCTCCCCCCTTGTGGCTGCCTCTGCCAGGGCAGGGGGCCCCTGGTTAGGAGGTCTCCTTACCCGTAAGAAGTTCTGCAGCGCGTCCTGTACCGTGGCTGTCGGAGGAGCCTCAAACAGAGCAGAAGCTGTCTTCTTCTCAAGCCATCCCAGGTGTGAAACCTGCCAGAACAGGGAGATGAAACCATGAAACCCCCTGGAGAGCCAGCATACACAGAAGGACAGACAAGGAATTATCCAGGTCCCTGGAGCTGGCCCATTCTCCTTTCAGAAAGCCAAAGATGCTGGTAGCGTTGGCAGATTCTGGACGAGCCTCCGAGTCCAACCACAGGGTTAAACCTGACTTGATTTCCTTGTCCTGAGTCAGCTTTTGCAGTTCCATACGTCAGCTGCCACGTGCATAATGGTCAACATTAGATTTGTCTCTACAATTGATTTACTACAGATGTGAAACAGCACGGGTGGTCCAAAACTACCACTGCACCAGCCCCTGGCAGCTCTCCCCATGCTGGACTTAGAATCAGTCAGGGTTGGAAAGGACCTTAAGATCATCCAGATCCAACCCCCTGCCATGGGCAGGGACACCTCACACTAAACCATGGCACCCAAGGCTCTGTCCAACCTGGTCTTGAACACTGCCAGGGATGGAGCATTCACAACCTCCCTGGGCAACCCATTCCAGTGCCTCAGCACCCTCACAGGAAAGAATTTCCTCCTTAGATCCAATCTAAACTTCCCCTGTTTCAGTTTGAACCCGTTACCCCTTGTCCTGTCACTGCAGTCCCTAATGAAGAGTCCCTCCCCAGCATCCCTATAGGCCCCCTTCAGTCACTGGAAGGTGCTCTGAGGTCTCCCCGCAGCCTTCTCTTCTCCAGGCTGAACAGCCCCAACTTTCTCAGCCTGTCTGTGAGCTTTTATACCTTCAGAGGTTTCTGAATGCAGTGTTTAACACTGCCCATCACTGGAGTGTTTTGCTTGGTACTGCCTCAGCACTGAAGAGTTTCCAGCTCCCACACAAGTGCAACTCCCAAACTACTTCTTCAAGCAACTACAGCATTTCCACACCGTACTTTCTGATACAGCATCTGAGCTCGGAGCTAAGAGTGCCCTCAGTCCTTATGGAGGCTGGTTTGAATCCATTCACACAGGGAATTCAATTCCAAGGAGGAAGGAAACAGCAGGAAGCAGTACAGAACTATTTTACCTGGTAACACCACCTCCCCAGAAGATAGTAAGACTGTGGATCCTCTGGTTTCAGTTCAATTGCTTTATCGATGTGTTCCTATGGAAAATCACCACCAACACACATTACATTTTTGCTATGATCAAATACAGTATCCACAAGAGCAGACAAAACCGTGTGGAAAGTGGAAAAGGAGAAGCAGGGGTTGGAACTGGATGAACTTAAGGTCCCTTCCAGCCCAATCCATTCAATGATTCCACATCCACGATTCAAGTGTCAGTGATCAATAACATCACAGCTACGAGATCCCAGGTTTTCTGAAAATAGGCTCAGGGAACCCAGAAACACAGCATTTTACCAGCCTCAGAGACAAGAATTCCTACACACAACAGGATGAAGCTGCCCTGCAAGCGTGCTCACAGGCAGCTGCTGCGGAAGAGCTGGTGCTGTACTTCATTACCACATGGTAACCTCCTGTTTCAAGCTCCCTGCCTCATCATGGAGGTACATTCTGTTTGCAAGACTTCTAGGCTTCCTTTTTCTGAGATTCAAGTGTGGGACTGTGCAGAGGCAGAGCAGCCACCTCCTCATACACTGCTGGAATCACCTTCTTCAGCCCAAACCCCCCACCCACAGAATCAGTTTGAGACCCATCTCTTCCCCAATAAGAGCTGGAGCCAATTTTCCTACCTTTCTGTTACAGAAGTGAGTATGGTTCAGCACTTGCACAGCACCCAGCAGGTCCCTTCTACTCACCTTAAACACATACCCAGTTTGAATGCGCTTCTGGATGCTCTCATGTTCTGACAGCTGCCCACAGAGAATAGCATACCTACACAGGGGAGACATTGCAGCAAATCAGTTTAAATGTACATTTACATCCCACTGATATCTTCGGAAGGAAGGTACCTATGGGCATTAAGGCTGCACTGGGGAAACCAAGGAACACTCCACACCTTTTTCAGGGAAGGGTCTATGTGCAAGTGTTCAGTGCCAAGAAGGTATTAGCTTGAAGGATGCCAGCAAGTCAACAGGAGTGGCTTGGTGTGACACAAACTCATTGCTGTCAGGCTGAGGAGCCTTCCTTCTACCTATGACAGGAGCTTCTACACCCTAAAGTTCTTCACTTAGCAGTGAAGCTGTCAGAACACAAAGCAATGACGAGTAAGGGCTACAGCAGCGAGAGCCAGGACTACGGAAAGCTCTATGCTAACTACGGCACACAACACCCCGTCTACAGCACAGCAGTTGGCTACTCAGAGGGAAAATACCATGGAAACCTACCCACATCCTGCAGCCTGGCAGGGCCACCAAGCTTGGGAAACAAAAGAACACGTTTTCAGCATTACAAGTGCAAGGCCAGTTAGCTTTGTGTAGCAAGAGACCCTAAACTGTGACCCCGAGAAGCCCAGTCCCTACCAAACGGGCTCTCTGATGAGCTGTGAAAGTTAAGGAAGGTTCATTGTCAGTGGATTTGCACCCTCCCATCTCACCCCCTTGCCCCACAGCAGCTCCAACCCCCTCCCTCCCTGCACTGCACCCAGGAAACAGCAGATCATAGGGAGGTGCAAGGGCACCGCTGCTAAAGAGAACACAGGATCCCACGTGGGATCCCAGGTGAGACCTGTGGGAATGGAGGCAGCTCCCCGCTGTGCTCAGAGCCTGGCATGGCTGGAATGGATGGACAAATGAATACCACAAGCCTTGTCCTTACAAAAATAAAGCTGAAAAGAAAGATGCAAAGAGACCTCCCTGGAGGTCACTGCATCCGCACCCCAGCGCTGCTGGCTCCTCTCACCACACTGTATCCCAAAGCATCCCTGCTCATGTTAAGCGATGTCCATGCAGGAATTTGCCAGAAGACTTTTGAATCTTCAGTGTCACTAAAAACCCCACAGATGGAGTCACACCTCATGGCTCTGCCTGAACTAAATGCTCAAGGTGTGAGTTGCTATACAAAGAAGTGCATCTCCTAAACACTGTCATATTTGTTGTTAAGCCTCATGCCTTTAACATGTTTTGCGTGTGAAAAAGCACTGGTTCAGCTTTACAACTCCTATTTTCCATGACAATGGCAAAGATCACCAGATCAATGTGTTAACTGGGTAAAATCCTTTCCTCCCGCTGAAGAAGTTCAGAGCTGCTCTGTCACAACGTGCTGCTTGCAGAGGATGAAGTAAGTGTTTCTATGGGCTGCTCCAGTTCTGTTTCACAACTGGCATCAGCCTGTGCTAAACATCCCTCCCTACATGACTGGGGTTTAGAAACAGAAGCTAATAAAAGGCCTGTTTCCTAAGATCACAAGATACAATACTCCTGTACAGTAAGTCATGTAGCCCTCTTTAATGTATAGAATCCCAGCCTGGTTTGGGTTGGAAGGGACCTTAAAGCTCCTCCAGCTCCAACCCCTGCCATGGGCAGGGACCCCTTCCACTGGAGCAGCTTGCTCCAAGCCCCTGTGTCCAACCTGGCCTTGAACACTGCCAGGGATGGGGCAGCCACAGCTTCTCTGGGCACCCTGTGCCAGGTCTGTGACTCTGTGACTGATTCAGGTCCTGACCTCCTGTCCTCACTCAGCAGCACCAATGTGGTTTCCTGCTTCCATCCCTTCTGCTCGTTTAGCTTGGCTTACCTGAGCTATTTATTCTAATCCATTTGGGAAATGCCTTGGAATGAGTGTCACAGGAGGCTCTGTGGAGCTGCAGGACTGACAAGCAGTAAGAGATTAACAGCAGTGAGTTAGGGAAGAGGATTTTCACCTGTAAACACCACGTAACCTCTGGAGCTCTGTTCAAATCAATGTCCCAGCAGTTACCAAACCCTTTTATTATGACTTCACTTGACTAATTATTAACCAGAACCACTCATTACACTGCAGACACTGGTCAAACTGCAAGTTCCCATTGGAATCTCAGCCCAGCCAGGATTTCCCCATTTACCAGTAAATCAGCTCATGGAAGCAGACCCCACCAGATGAGAGACAGCTTTGAAGACAGCTCATTTCTGATGGTGCCCTTTGGCTGCCTCCATCACAGCAGGACATGCACATGGAATCCAGCTCCACGGCCAGGGTGGTTTGCCAGCCCAAACACATCTCTCTTAACTGTGTCAAAGGCTTGGTAGCTGAGGATGCTGCTGCTCCTTCCTGCATGGGACAACCAGTAAACTCAAAAGGAGGGGAATAAAGGGAGGAGGGAAAAGAAATGGGGAGAAGCAGCTATTTTGCTGGACACATGGTTCTCCCTGAAGTAATATGGCAACTGGGAGCAAACCTCTGCAAAAAGCTCTCTGCAGGCTTCCTGTGACTGCTCTGGGTGAGTCTGGCCATGACTTCAGCCTTACACAAGTGCAGGGGCCTCACGTGAGTTTGACTCATGAGCAGCATCCACAAGAGCCACTGTTAGAGCAACACGAGCATTACCTCACTGCCATCCAAATGATACCCTCGTGTCTGCCCGGAAGTCTTCACTGCTTTAGAGGAAAACTGCTTTCCTTTTTCCAACTGAAACAATCCTGTTTGGGGGGGGTGTGTGTATCACCTATTGCACAACTTATGGCTCACGTCTCCCAAGTAAGACCTTGCACCACTGGAGCCAACAACAAGATGCAACAGAAGCAATTCACAGTGACTCCTGCTGCTCTCCAAGAGCAGCCAAATCCTGCTGCCCAAATCCAGCAAAGCCCCCACTTTCCAAGCGTGATCAGCTCCACTTTGGCCAAGATACACCAAGATGAAAGCAAGAGCCCAACACACACAAAGACGTCATTCCAGTACCAGCTCCGGTTTGAGGCAGAGGATCACTCAACATTCAGTCCTGGGAACATACTCAGGTTCAAAGGAGACCTGGCAAATGATGTTCATGATGTTAGCTCCTAAGGAGTTCACTCAGGCACGTGGCTAAAACCAGAGTTAATTTTCATTAGTGACTTAAGCCAAAATGCAAATGACTGGCACAGCAAAGAAAGGCTGGAACACCCCCTTGTGTACCAGCACTGAAATCCCCTTTCCTTCATGCTAAACCAGTTAAAATCTTCTTTGGCAGCCTCAGCTGGGACACACACTGCGTCTTCAGCTTTGCTCACTGTCTGTGTTGGGTTTATCTGCTGAAGATCTGGGGTCTGCCTTGGGAGGCAGCAGGAAAGGACCATATGTGTTCTCTTTGCAGAACAAGATGTATTCATCCCCAGAGAGGTCTGAAGATACAAGTGGTATTTACTGTGTAGAACACACTAGTTTTATGGAGTGACCTCATGCCTGTTTAAACCTCTGGTTTTACTCAGAAGATGCAGTTCCAGCTGTTCTCCCAGGAGCTACCAGCAAAGAGGAGGGATATCCATCCCTGCTGAGGTTCCTTCTGTCCCTGCTCATACTCTTGAGCACTTCCTTTTCCTTGACTCCTCTCTGGTGTTCCCACTCTCAAGGCCTGCGTGGCTCAGGACATGGAACAGGATTCCAGCACCCCTGATGAGGGGAGGGACCCTCCTCAGTCACGGATGCTCTCAGGCAGCTCCAGCTACATGCTGTTTCTCCTCCTCTAACTTCAGAACTATTTGCCATATAGATCCTTCTGCCCCTAGTGCATACTGAGAGTAACTCCCGTGTTTAATCCACCCACTGAAGAGAAACGCTCAGCTCTTAAACCCAGACACAGCTCCAAATCGGCCAGATCTGGGCAGCACAACACAAAGAGTTAAATCCTAAAGTACTGCCAGCTGTGGACATTAAAGCTCTTTTCAAGTCATACCTGGAACGCCACCACTTTACAAAGAACTGGTATCTACCCACAGCCAGGCAGATGCACCAGCACAATGTGCCCTCAACACCAGAGGGATGTGGAGCTGTTGGAGCGAGGCCAGAGGAGGCCACCGAGCTGCTGCGAGGGCTGGAGCAGCTCTGCTCTGGAGCCAGGCTGAGAGAGCTGGGCTGGGGCAGCCTGGACAAGAGAAGGCTCCTGAAGGGGAGACCTGAGAGCAGCTCCAGTGCCTGAAGGGGCTGCAGGGAACCTGGAGAGGGGCTTGGGACAAGGGCCTGTAGGGACAGGCCAAGGGGAATGGCTTGAACCTGCCCGAGGGGAGACTGAGCTGAGCTCTTAGGCAGAAGCTCTTCCCTGGGAGGGTGCTGAGGCGCTGGCACAGGGTGCCCAGAGAAGCTGTGGCTGCCCCATCCCTGGCAGTGCTCAAGGCCAGGTTGGACACAGGGGCTTGGAGCAAGCTGCTCCAGTGGAAGGGGTCCCTGCCCGTGGCAGGGGTTTGGGACTGGATGAGCTTTAAGCTCCCTTCCAACCCAAACCAGGCTGGGATTCTATGAAGTTAAAAGGGCTGATGCACAATTCAGTGGCTACCGAGTGTGCAAGATGCTTCTCCAACGTGACAGGCTCTTTAGAAGAGAAGGCACATTTCGGAGGTTCATCCAACCCACGAACATATCCTTCTCCTGCTTCTCTATAACATACAGAATATCACCAGGAGAGCCAAAGCTTATTATGCCTTCTGCAGTGACAGCTTCAGCAGTCAGAAAACAGCACTGGATTTCCAATGGGAAATACCCAATTCAAACGAAAGCTGCTAAAGCAGCACCTGCAAAATTTCCCCCCAGTGGAGCTCTGAAATCCCTCACTGCTCTGGCTGCACCTCCACTATTTCTTTAACAAGAGGAGCAGCAGCCAAGGCAAACACACAGCTCACTATCCCTGCCTGATCCCTAAAGCTGCTGTACGTGCTTGAGTTGTGCCGCAAACAGCCCCACTGCACCGACAGGGAACTCTGATGAGGCCACAACTGCTGCTCTCACTTCATCTGTGAAGTCTAAGCAGCAAACCACACAGCTCTGTGCAACGACTGAGGCTTCTTCTACCCACCCCTAAACGCAAGCAAGAACAGACTTAGAAACCTGAACAAGTGTTTGCTCTGTGCTCCTCTTCATGAGCTGAAACCAGCTCAGGCAGCAACCACTTCAATTGGACATAATACCTGTTCAGAGACCTTTCACAATCAAGGCAGTGAATGACTCTGTCTAAATCAGAAGTAAGAATCAGGTAAGATAAGAGAGGAGAACATTAAGAACACTCAGTATCATTCCAATCAGCCTACAGCACACAAGTGTATCCTAAAGGCAGTAAATACTCCAGATCCCCAGCACAGCTCTCCCATGTTCCTGTATTCCTCCCAGGAAAGGAGAGCTGAGAGCAGCCCCAGCACACCAGAGCTGACTGCTCTGCCCAGCCCACAGCTCTGCAGCAACGGGGCCCCTGGCACCCACTGACCTCCATGAAGCAAGTGACTACAATAAGAGCCTTGTACCAAGCCCCATGTTGGGACAACCCTTGAGGTCCAAAGGGCTCTCCCTCACATGTGAGCAGCTCCCAAAGCCAGTCCAGACACAGTCCCAGACCTTCAGTGGTTTTCTGTCATTCTAGAAACCATCCACTATGGAGCTGCCAGAGCCTTCAAACCAGCCAGCCACAAAACACCCCAGCTGGTCACGCTCCCCAGAGCACTGCCACTGCCAGCACTCACACATCCCTCTTGTTCACAACCTTGCTTCCTTCATTTGGTGCTTTACAATGTCAGTGATTACTGCAGTAACCAGAAGGGACTGAAAGAGGGGAAGTTTTACTTGCATTGACGACTGCATGTGAAGTATCTTCTGTCCTGCTCGACAAGCAGCACACCTCAGAGCAAATCAACAGGGAATGACTGAGCAACAGGAGCAAATCACACAGCAAAGGGAGCAATGAGCAAGCACAAGAACCAGCACAACTGCATCACAGGTAATCCATAAGCATAAGTGGCAACTGACAGGATAGAAAATTACAGTCAACATGAAATGAGGAAAAATGCAGCCCTTATAATACCTGCACGAGGCTTCACACAGCCCTATCACAGAGGGGAGATGTTAAAATCACTTGGGATATTTCTATTAAAATGCCCATTTAGGATGTTGTGGAAGAGAGAAAGACAATGTTCATGACTGTATGTGGAAGTAAGAACGAAAAGGATCATCACATTAGCATCACACAGCCTTGCTGCTCCCACAGCTTGTGCTCTGCAGGGAATTCCTATACTGAAGTCTGAAAAAGGAGATGGGAGAAAAATACAGGGAAGGTAACACGGGGGATGAAAGATAATAAACTCATTCCCCATGAAATGGCATTTGGAACCATGTTTTATCCTACATTTTTCACATATATATATGTGTGTGTATGCGTGTGTACATACGTACGTGTATGTATGTACCTTTCCAGGCATCTTTTCCTGAGCAATAGTGGTTTTCTCCAGGTAAATTCAATCAACATAAGAAAAGCCTGCAATTAAAACAGCTTGTGGCTCATTGTAACCATCCCATGAGCCACACGGAGCTGGAAAGGGAATAATTTCCTGTTCTATTTACAGCAGAAATCATTATTTCTGTGACTGGTAAAGGTAGTTACATATTCCCTTCCCATTCCAGGCCTCCCACATGCTGCTCTGCTGTTTCCTTCCTCCAGCTGCCCTTTCTGCAGCTGCTCTCTCGAGTTACAAGCAAGATGGAGATGAGCAGAAGCCTCTCCCCTGGCTGGACAAGAAATGGGTCCCACAGGACAGGAACTGCACCCTCTTGCACCAAAACTGCTGTGGCAATCGGTGGGCACAGGGTGCAACACAGGCACCGAGGACATCCCAGCTCCAGAGGCTTGGGGTTTTCTACTGCAGACCCGTGACTAAACACCCCCTAACACCCACTGCTTCTGCCCCCTGTAAATGCTGAATTCCAAAGCTGAACTATCAATATTATACCCTGCAAAATACAAAAGATCCAGCATTTGTGGCTTACACACTTCAAGACTCAACGTGACAACTAAAACCCCATTGCCTCAAAATGTTAAGGCAGCAAAGGCACACACCAAAATCTGCTGGAGATGGGTCACCCTGTCTGTCCCAGTATTCCTCCTTCTTATCAAATGGAGAACAGCAATTCATTCCCAAGAGCTAGAATACACAGTCTGTTCAAGATGCTAAAGGCATTTGTTTGGATGCCAGCAGTCCAAACCAAGCCTCCAAATACCTAACACTCATCTCCTAAGAGTGCAGTTCTTACATGGTGAGGATACCCAGCACCCTGTTCTCCCGGTGATTTCCACTAAACAATAATCATTTCTCTTTTATTCTATTCTATGTGTTGTGAGCCCTCCACAGCAACTGCTGATGAACACCATTCATTGAGGAGCTCACCAGACCACCACAAAAGGATGTTCCTTTACCTCTACAGATATCTAAGCCCCTCTCCAAACCCTCTCCTGGGGTGTTTTTAAGCAAGGAGAAGAATCCTTTCAGCCCCTACCTGAGTCCCAACCCAAGCCTGGTCACTCAGGCTGCTGAATGAGGAAGGTACCCCCCCCCCTTGCCTACCTCCTGCCGAGACCCTCACCACCAACAGACTTTACACGAACATGGAACACCCTGCTTGGCTGAAGTGCAGATCAATTCATCATTTATCATGGCAAAAACATGAACTATCTTTACAAAGAAAGAGCCATCTGCTGCTGTCTCAGTTCGCCTCAAAGCCAGAGTGCTCTGCTGAGTGACAAACAGCATCCCCACGCAGAGCACAGCAGTGCAGGCAAGCAGACACTCTTCAGTAGGCTATAAAAGGCTGTTTGAAAAGAATAATGTTCCTCCTTACTCCAGAATGAAGATGAATACAGAACATGGGCACAGCACTGAGCCCACGCTCACAGGCCTAGCTCACTGAGGCAAATACATCATCTCTTGACATAAAGCAAGCATCTCTTGACATAAAGCAAGCATCTCTTGACATAAAGCAAGCATCTCTTGACATAAAGCAAGCATCTCTTGACATAAAGCAAGCATCTGTGATACTGTGATCTCTTGACATAAAGCAAGCATCTCTGCAGCAGAGCACTATCAAAATGGCAGTAACTGAATGAACCCCAACAAATTAACCCACAAATACTGGAGGAACACAAAGGGAAAACCTCATTCATATTTAATATATAACTCTCAAGACTCTGTGCAGCTAGCTACAAGCTTGCTTTTGGGGGCTGTACACATTGCTCTACAGGGGGCTGAAAAGGAGCCAAAGGAAACAAGGCTCGTGGAAGGAAATAAGCAGAGCCCCATCACAGCAAGCTCTCCAACTCAAGGAACAGCTTCCTGCAAGTTATCTGTGTGAAACACATCCCTTGGCAGCCCATCCACACCCTGCAGGGAACAGGCTGCTCTGAGAGCTGTTCCCCAGGCTCTGCACAACCAGAAGCACTGCTGGTGGAGTTCCACATACTTCTGTGCCAATGTGCTTGCAGCATCCCACACAGGCACAGCCCTAAAGCTGGCTGCTGTGCAAAGCATCCCCTTCCACCTTTGGAAAGGGAAGCTGCATGATTCCCAGGAAAGCTGCTAACCAAACTGCCCTTCACCTTTTCAAAATACACGTGCTTCAGCTGCTGGAAGGACCTGGAGCTCTTGGAGGGAGTCCAGAGGAGGCCAAGGAGCTGCTGCGAGGGCTGGAGCAGCTCTGCCATGGAGCCAGGCTGAGAGAGCTGGGCTGGGGCAGCCTGGACAAGAGAAGGCTCCTGAAGGGGAGACCTGAGAGCAGCTCCAGTGCCTAAAGGGGCTGCAGGGAACCTGGAGAGGGGCTTGGGACAAGGGCCTGTAGGGACAGGCCAAGGGGAATGGCTTGAACCTGCCCAAGGGGAGACTGAGATGAGCTCTTAGGCAGAAGCTCTTCGCTGGGAGGGTGCTGAGGCGCTGGCACAGGGTGCCCAGAGAAGCTGTGGCTGCCCCATCCCTGGCAGTGCTCAAGGCCAGGCTGGACACAGGGGCTTGGAGCAAGCTGCTCCAGTGGAAGAGGTCCCTGCTCGTGGCAGGGGCTGGAGCTGGAGGAGCTTTAAGGTCCCTTCCAACACAAACCAGTCTTGATTCTATGATTTTATGAAGGAGCCCAAAGAATCTGCAGTTTAGCCTGCTAAATTTAGCATGGGGAACACCACATGGAGCTCACTGTACTTATCAATCCCAAACTCATCCTGTCAATAGCTTGTTTCTCCAAGCCTCATCTGAAGTTCATCCTTCACTATGGAAGTACATCAACTTGTTAGGTGCAGCCTCACAAAAGCCTTGGCACAATCTGTTCTGAGCATCCAAAGAACTGGCCATGCTGTCTCAGAGAGACATTCAGAATTGAACTGGTACAAGCAAAGTCTATGACTATAATAAGAACCAAACCAGTCTGTCAACCCTGACTCCAGTTAACCAAAGCTATTCAAGATGGCTTACAGAAAGTACCACTGATGTACCAATGGCAGCTCCAAGGCCTTATCCTGTGGTCCTTAAAAGCAAGCAGGAAGAAGTTACATACCACTGGTGGCACTCAGCACTTTGGTCCCCTTTCTGTAAGGCGATTTCCAGCTCTTCTTTGCCTGCAAGTAAGTGGTCAGAGGTCAGAAATGCAGCTGCTTGCTCTGAGGCTCTCAGAGTACACCAATACAATGGCATCAAAGTCATATCTATTAATTCTATCATACAGCTGCCTTGAAAACGTCCCATAGGGAATTTCATCCTCTTGCAGTGCGAGGGAACACCCCAGACCACTCAAACCAGCCATGCAAATACACAGTGCAGTGGCCAGCTGCACTGACCTGTCAAGATGGTTTTACCTCCTTTGGAAGCACACCTACAGCAAAGCCACCTTCCACACCACAGTAAGAGAAGTTCAGTAGAGCTTGCAGTGGCTTGCTCTGATGCATGTAACAGCCTCAGATCTGGGACATGCCCCACGTTCCCCTCTCTCCTCCAAGAACAAGCCCAGTCTCAAAAAGCTGAAAACTAAGCACTGTTATCAGAATAAAACTTAAAATTTCATCTTTTAAATGGCTACAGCAATTCCCAGAAAAGAATAATTCTATTAGATACACTAATAGAACTATATTTAGTCATGTGCATAACAGGACAGAAATTACTTAGAACATTATCTTCTGTTTCAGATCTAAACTGTAACAGGGATGATGATTTTGTTTTATTCTGACCCACCTACAATCTCGCAAACAAACCACATCCAAGAGTGAAGAAGAACAAGGGAACTAAACTAAACTGATTCCTCTGAGTAACTGCACATTTAAAACGACTTTTTTATACCTGCCATGCAGTATTAAATGTGCTACAGCAGAAACTGATTTATCTTAATACCACAGCCTGGAGAAGGCTCTGGGGAGACCTTTTAACAGCCTTCCAGTGCCTAAAGGGGCTACAGGAAACCTGGAGAGGGGCTTGGGCCAAGGGCCTGTAGGGACAGGCCAAGGGGAATGGCTTGAACCTGCCTGAGGGGAGACTGAGCTGAGCTCTTAGGCAGAAGCTCTTCCCTGGGAGGGTGCTGAGGCACTGGCACAGGGTGCCCAGAGAAGCTGTGGCTGCCCCATCCCTGGCAGTGCTCAAGGCCAGGTTGGACACAGGGGCTTGGAGCAAGCTGCTCCAGTGGAAGGGGTCCCTGCCTGTGGCAGGGGGTGGAGCTGGAGGAGCTTTGAGGTCCCTTCCCACACAACCCAATCTGGGATTCTAAGATACGGATAAAAGGTTTGAGAAACAAACCTGAAGAACAGGTTACAGGGAAAACAAGCGCACGACAGGGTTTGCAAGCGCAGGGTTTGTACCTCCGAGGTGTCACATCAGCTTTGAGCATCCCCATCCCTCTGCCTCAAGCACCCCACTCCTCACCATCAGCTGCGTAGGATCTCTTCTCATCTGCGTCGTCTGTGAGCTCACACATATCACTGTGTGCCCGGGCCAGGCGCCACAGGAAGTCCTTCTGCTCCGCGTACTGCAGTGAAAGCACAAACGTTACGTGTAGAGATCCATTCTGCCACTGAGCGAGGAAAAACAAGGGGGGGCACATCCTGGAAGTCACACAGATGAGTCCTGACACACTGAAAGGCCCCAGGTCTACAAGAACGAGAACAGCACCACAAAAACCCAAGCTGGGTGACACAATCTCACAATGCGACACTGCTGGTACAGGTCTAACTGTTGCTGCCCTCTTGCAAGTAACCCTCCACTTAAAGGCTATACTGAGGTCAGGTCTCCAGCAGCTCCACTAACAACACAGAGGGCAAAAAAATCACCCTAAAGCTCACCTCTTGATTAAATATCACAAATTCAACCTTATGTCTTCCATGCTTCAGCGCCCACTCCAGCAGCTCCCCATCCTGCCCTGTTCTGAAACCTGGGTCAGTACTGGAGGTGTTCTCCTAAATTTGAAGCATGCATGTTCAGACAAATTCAAATTTACTCAAAAAAAAAAAAAAAAAGGGTTGAAGATGAAAACACAACCACCAACAGTCTGCTTTCTTTTGTGACAATACTGGGAATAAACTGAAGTGGGAGCATCACCAGAAAGAAGCACACAGGAGGACGTGAGAAGCCCACAGGCCTGTCACTGCTTCCTGCTGGGAAGGAAAAAACCCAGCTTACTTGAAACAAGAACCAATAAAGTTCTTTGTTATTTCTCCCTTTCATTCCTTCTGAAAATACAGAAGCCAAAAGGTTCTGCTCTTTAGAAAGCTGGTAACACAAACGTTTCCTTTGCTGGCTGTGCAGTACTTCAGTAAACCCCAACCAGGGCTGCCAGAGGGGCTGCAGCAGGCATGGACATGCCTGCACTGGTGCTGGAGCACACAGAGCGGATGGAGCCAGGAGGGGCTGGGCTCTGCTCCCAAGGAACAAGGGATGGGACAAGAGGAAACGGCCTCAAGCTGCACCAGGGCAGGTTTAGATGGAGCTGAGGAACAATTCCTGCCCCAGAGGGTGCTCAGGCATTGGAACAGGCTGCCCAGGGCAGGGCTGCAGGCACCGGCCCTGCAAGTGCTCACACAGCGTGGAGACGAGGCCTCAGTGCCATGGGGCAGTGGTGGCCTTGGCAGGGCTGGGGTAAGGGTTGGACTGGATGAGCTTGAAGGGCTTTTCCAACCTGGTTGGTTCTGTGACCCTATGAACAGCCACAGCCAGCCACAGTTCAATGCTGACTGCAGATGCTGTGCGTGGGCAGAGATACAAGCAGCAACCCGCACCATCACTGCCCCTGCTGTGCTCCCACACCTCAGCACCAGCTTTCACCAAACCAGGGGATCAATTCACACAGAATTCCCAGCCTGGTTTGTGTTGGAAAGGACCTTAAGATCTCCCACTCCCAACCCCCTGCCACAGGCAGGGACCCCTTCCACTGGAGCAGCTTGCTCCAAGCCCCTGTGTCCAACCTGGCCTTGAACACTGCCAGGGGATGGGGCAGCCACAGCTTCTCTGGGCACCCTGTGCCAGCGCCTCAGCACCCTCACAGGGAAGACCAGGTACGTCCCCTACGTGATAGAAAAAGACCCACTCTTTAAGGTGGCACACTCCAGGCTTTTAATCTCATTAACTAATGAACACCTAAGTGTCACCTAACCCTTCTGCTTGAATATGCAATTTACTTATTTCATGAACCACCACACATGCTGGGCAGTCCTTGGCAAGGCCAAGCTTCCTGAACATAGACTGAGCCACTGCACATGCAACAAGATAAAGGTCCTCAAAACATCTGCTCACTGTATACACCCAGCACTATGGTTTTACACGTGCACTGTGCTCACGCAGGGAAAGCAACGACACGATGAGACAGAGTTCCAAGACAGAATGCGACTGGGAACTGGCTGCTGAAGCCTGAACAATTGTGGCCCTCAGCCCACTCCCCAGTCGCTCCTGAGGAGGGGGCCACTGGAAGCTGGCCCAGCTGCTGGGCAGGACCTGGACCCTGCTAAGAAATACAATGTCCTCTTCCTCTTCAGCTGAAATCACTGCTGAGAACACAAAAGGCAACCCTTACCGCCAGCTTATTGTTGAGCAGCAGCTGGAACCCCTCTCTCTTCTCCTGCTCATCTCCGCTGTGCAAGCGGTCAGCCTGCTGCAGGAGCTGCTCCAGCCCTTCCTCCAGGAAGGAATCCAGGGCTAAATGGGTTTCCTCCTCGTTGACAAGATCCAGGGAATCCCGTCGTGCAGTTCTCACTGTTTCACAGCTCACTTCATCTTCCCCTTCCTCGCTGTCCTTCTCAGACTCCCGGTCGTAATCGGACTCGGCGTTGGCTGTGCTGTACCTTTGAGATAAACCACCACAATGCAGGATCAGCTTGAGGAGATGCTCTGCAGCCTGTGACAGGCTCATACACCTGGGATGGGGAAAACAACCCTTCCTAACAGAGGAAGAGGAGTACCTTAGCTCATCCTGGAGAACGCTTTACAGTCCAGTGTCACAAATAACAACCAATCACTGTTCCTCATGTAATTCACACAACCTCAACAAAATGAAGAGGTTGACCCAAGAAGTTAAGCAGAACTCGCTCACAAGCACCCACATCTCACGTGCACACCCTAACAGCTTCTCTTAGGCCTTCTCACCTCAATGTAAAACACTTCAACCAAGAACAGAGCCAGGCCAATTCAGTTCAGTGTGTGGATCATAAAAGAGAAGTTCAACTGAAAATCCAACACGCTCATCCACGTGGAACACACAACCTCATGTTTTCAGCTCATTCCAGGGAATTTCAGACACAATAGCTGTTCTGGCAGGATCTGCTACCTCCAGCATCTTGTCTGAATGCTCAATATGAAACAGCTTGTTCACACTGACATGAAGAGGTGCAAAACAGTAGGAGAGTGAGCACAGCTATTTCACATGAGCAAGAAACCCAGGAAGGAGAGAGCAAACGAGCCACAGAAAGACAGCACATGTACAGAACCCCAGGCAATGATAAGCTGCTCAATTAGGCAAAGGAACCAGGATAAAGCTAAGATCAAAGCTTCCCAAAGTGGGTAAAATTAAGCTCCCCAGAGTCATGAACAGGCACATAAGCTGGAAATTTAAACCACCATTATATATGATTGATACCACTGCCGCAGGCTGTCTACTTACAGAACTGGTTTCTTTTTAAAGGAGACTCTGTCCCACTCACCTTTATCTGCAAGTTTTAACTGCAGAATAAGCACAAGTCAGCCAGCAACTTAAGCAAGTGCACTTTTACATTGGTATTTTCCTGGTTCATCTGCATAGGAAGCTCTCTTCCTGAAGCAGGCTACTTCAAATCCCATCAGTGATTAACTCTAGGGGATGTCTGCCATTGTTACCCAACCAAACTGTGCCCAAGCCAATTTCACAAGTCCTGCTGGAATTCAAAGTCTGGGGGCATTTGGTTATGAACCTCACTTTCTTCCTGGAGAGGGAAACTAGATTGATTAACAGAAATAGGTACTGAGTTTCACTTACTAACACCTTTGCAGAGTTCTGTTTGGATTGTGAGTAATGTGGGATATACACATATGTATAAAAACACAGATTTAAATATTTAAGATTTATAATATATGTAAAAATATATAAATATATTTTTATATATAAATAAATATATATTAATTATTTAATTATATATAATTATATATAAATAAATATATATTTCTATATATAATATATATACACTCAAATATATATACTATATATAAATATATATTATAGTATATATAATATATTCTGTTATTACAATTACATATTACACTATATATAATAAATATTATCTATAGAATATATAAAAATATATATTTATATATTCTATATATAGTATATTTTATATATTAAATATAATTATAACATAATTATTATTATAATAAAGTATATAATATACACTATAAATATAATTATATATATTTTCATATATATATATATTGTGTGTGTATATATATATTGTGCATATAAATAAAGGACCAAAAGCTGCTCTCCCTTTTGTCCAAGCTGAATTTCTCCTCGAAGGGAGAGCCTAATGCTCTGGGCATGAAGCTGCCTTTGCCTGGAGACAAAGATATGTGACCCAAGTGGCCTATCTGAAGACAGCAGCCACAGTAGTTTGGCCACACACAGATAACAAGACACATCTGGCTATCAAAGCTTCAGCTTTCTGAGAACCATCAATAATGCTCAAGCATCTCCCTCTCTGGCAGAGGGTAAATGAACACCCTCACTGCCCACAGTCCCCAACCCTCATCCATAAACTTAAAGCCACACATTTTGTACTGAAACATTTCAAGAGAAGAAATAAAGGAAAAGTCAGGCTTACCCCTGTGAAGCCAGGAAATCAAGGGCCATGCTGCAGATTATGTAGGCAGCACTAAATCCATGGACAATGCAGCTGCATGGTGGTAGGTGACACTGGCATGGCTCCATTTCAGATTTAAAACCTCACTTCTTGGTATTTTCTTATGGTATTACTAGTTCTCTGGACCACCTCATTTTGATACTTAAACTCCTCAGACTCTTATGTCCCATCCTAACCCACCGTGCAGCACAGTTGCGACACCGTATAACTCCATCTGACTGGCAGCTGCAAAGATTCCAGTGCTTCAGCTAGAAAACACTTTGCACATCGAAGGCTCCTGACACACAACAAGGTCTTGAAACCAGGCTCAACATGTGGCTCCTATAGCTTTTTCCTCCACCACCAAAGTGTGTTTCCTCCGGGACAGCTCAGACAAGATGCTGCCAGTTTAAAAGGAAAAGTAATGCTGTATGTAACCTCATAAACACAGAGTTTTCAGAAAGATCGAGGGATTTAGATGCTAGCAGCCTGTCATCCTGCATTTATGATGATGGAAAGCTCTCAATGCTTTAGTAAGTGGAGGCCTCTGGTGAGCACTCATCCTCATGAAAGCTAAGCCTACGACCTGGAACAAAATGCCCATGGGAAGAGGACACAAAGAGGCTCAAAAGGCCAACGTGGTGCTAGAGCAAGGCAGGGAATTAAGCATCCAAGACCTCTGGGCTCCTGAAAGCTCAAGACGACTCCTGTGACTTGTATATGAAACAGAGAAGATGCTTGTGCCTGTGTGGTTTATGAAGTAAAGCTGAAACCCGAGCTCCTCTTTCTGTACTGCACTGAAGGAATAGGATTGCCAGAAATGAATACACAGCTGGAATTCAGCTCTTGGGAACAGGCTCATTCTTCCTCCCAGAGGCTGCTAATTCCAAAATTCACATTTCCCACCTTGATTTTCCACTAGAAAATGTCAGTATTTACATCTCTAAAAGACAGCATTGCATAACAAAGGCAGTTGGTCCTGAGGAGACTATTATACCTACTGGTATAGGACAGATGCCAGAGCACGAAATTATATACTATTCAATTTGGGGGTTTATAATCATAGGACAGCTGCTTATCCACTAATTCTCCACCTTGGTCATTGAACTCTGCACCTCTGACTTGCTGTTGGCCCCTATCGTGATTTAAAACTTTCTCATGACCACACAACACCACGGGCTGGTACCTGCTGGCAAAGCCCATCCTTTCGAACAACCTTTACAAAGTCCACTGCCACCCTGATGACTCAATGTATCTGTTATCAGCTACACAGCAAAGTCCTGTCTTCAGCTCCAGCTCCATCACTGTAAGACGTTGTGCAGCCCCGTTACCTATTACACCACCGTGAATCACTTGTTCCCTAAATCTGCTTTCGTACAACACCCACTCCAGCTGAACGAAGCCCTTCTAGAGCTGAATGAGCTCACAGCAGCTCTTTCCTGCTTCACCACTTCCAGTTACTAGAGATAAAACACCAAAGTGACGTGTGTCCTGGCAGTCACAACACCTGTTCCCCTGCAGTGAGCGCGCTCTGCTCCAGAGGCTGCTGCAGCAAGGGCTGCTTTGTCCCCACTGAAAAAGCCCTGCTGCCAAGTGCCAGCCTGCACCAGCTCACTGGTCACTCAGCTGCTAACGGACAGCACATCAGGCCCAAATCCTGCCTGCCTTGCCCTGTGCTGTAATTACCTTCATTCTTTACATCACATCCACTTCAACTCCCCTGGGAAAATGGACATGGCCATGAACAAGTCCAGTGCTGCATGTTTTGGAGCATACTCACACACCTCAGGAGCTCTAGAATCCATCTGATGAATACACAGCAGTGCTTCAGCAGAAAGGCAGCATTCACATCTGTTTAGGCAACAGACCTCAATATCTATCTACTATGACACCAATTTCACCTATACTGTGATTTTTACCAATGTTCTTGATCTACACAGTACTCTTCACCTCTTATTAAATGACAAGAACTTCAGCAACACAACAGTGAAGTAAGTGTGACACACCGAGAAGGATCCGTAAGTCCCCTAGCTAAAGACATTCACATAGAACCACAGAGTGGTTTGGGTTGGAAAGGACCTTAAAGCTCCTCCAGCTCCAACCCCTGCCACAGGCAGGGACCCCTTCCACTGGAGCAGCTTGCTCCAAGCCCCTGTGTCCAACCTGGCCTTGAGCACTGCCAGGGATGGGGCAGCCACAGCTTCTCTGGGCACCCTGTGCCAGCGCCTCAGCACCCTCCCAGGGAAGAGCTTCTGCCTAAGAGCTCAGCTCAGTCTCCCCTCGGGCAGGTTCAAGCCATTCCCCTTGGCCTGGCCCTACAGGCCCTTGTCCCAAGCCCCTCTCCAGCTTTCCTGCAGCCCCTTCAGGCACTGGCGCTGCTCTAAGGTCTCCCCTTCAGGAGCCTTCTCTTCTCCAGGCTGAAGATTTTAGTGAACTGGAATAGAGCATTCCAGACACTCCAAAATATATTCTTGCCTGGAAATGCTATTTCTAAACTCTCACTCAAGCCCCAGGCTGGATTTCTACTTCCCTTCTTTCTAAAAGCTTCCCTCATCCAATTATTGCTGAAGAAAAAGCCTCAAAACCTATATTTGATTGGGCTTTTTCCTTCCCCTGCTTCTCTCAGTCAGGACTGCTGCACTTCTCTCAATCTGGCCCTGGCAGCAGCAGTTACTGCAATAAAAGCAAATAAAACCAGGATGACAGATGTTTAGTGAGGAAAAAGATCCCTTCCTCCATGTTAGAAACGGCACAGATGTAACTGGGCACCCCAGTCTGTGAGAGCTGCTCCTGCCCTGCTGCTGTGCTCACCCTCCTTCACTTTCCCCATCGTCCGTGTTGGCTGCTCCCGAGCTGGCTGTGAAGTAAATGGAACTGGAGCACGTGGAATCACTTCTTTCTCTGGGAAAGGGAAAGCGCCTCCGGCGAGAAACCTTCTGGGTTTCTTCCAGGTGGGACCTAAGAGGAAGGCAGAAAGAGAAGCAAACGATCATTAGGCAGGGACATGAGTGCTGGTTCACTTCCTTCTCCTCTGGAGCAGATTCCACCCACTTCACTTTACAGGCAACACATTCACGAGGTGACTTACTCCTGCTTGCACAAACATCCTGCAACCACACAGCAAGTCACATCCTACAGCGAGCACACACTGAGCACAGCCTTGGTCCAGATACAACCCATACGTGCCATCCACATACAGTGATACCTAAAGGGGCTGCAGGAAACCTGGAGAGGGGCTTGGGACAAGGGCCTGTAGGGACAGGCCAAGGGGAATGGCTTGAACCTGCCCGAGGGGAGACTGAGATGAGCTCTTAGGCAGAAGCTCTTCCCTGGGAGGGTGCTGAGGCGCTGGCACAGGGTGCCCAGAGAAGCTGTGGCTGCCCCATCCCTGGCAGTGCTCAAGGCCAGGTTGGACACAGGGGCTTGGAGCAAGCTGCTCCAGTGGAAGGGGTCCCTGCCCATGGCAGGGGCTGGAACCACTCTGTGATTCTGTATCACACCCACTGCCCTGATTTCACCAGGGAACAGGCGAAGGAATCCTCAAACACCCTGCAGCACAGCACCTTTTATTCTGGATCAAAAGTTCCTACAGTCAGCAGCAGGGAGAAGACAGCAATAGCAAGAAGCAAACATTCACACAACAAGAAACCTTCCCAGTTCAGAACAAGAAGCCAGTGTCACTACTTGATATTCTGTAAGAAAAAAGCCAACCATGACTGAATACACAGGTTTTTTTCCATTAATCTCACAGGATGTCAAGACATAATAATCCCAGTGGAAACCAGAAAGACACTTCCTCCTCTTTTGGCTTTTAGGGTTAAGATGCTCCTGGCTGTTCTGCCATGCTATGGAGCAAACCTGTGCAGGAGCAGAGGAAGTCAGCAAGGGGCAGGGTCCATACCTGACCTCACAGACGATTTCTGCAGCTAGGCTCTGCAGGCTGGTCCGGAGCTCCTCCACCTCCTTCCTCAGCTCTGACAGGTTCCTCACCACGAAGTCAAGCTGCTCCAGCACGTCCAGCAGCTCCTCGTGGGCTGGGAGAGGTCTGTACACAGCACCATCGCCTGCCTCCACAGGAGCCAGCGCCCTGGCCGTGACTGAAAGGAAACGGGGGGGAAGCTCAGCAGAGGGGAAAGGGAAGGCATTTCACATGGGAAATGTCAGCACATTTTGTCCTCAGGAGGTGGGGGATGAGGCCCGATTCCAAGCACTGCTCCCTGACCCGACCTTTGGGGTTCTTCTACTGTTTTGCAGCTCCCTTCCCCGACACCAGCCTCTATCCACACTGAAGAGCTCTGCAATAGCAGCTAGGGGTGAACAAAGCTCTTGGAGCTACACTTCCCCCAAAACCCCTTGTAAAACTTCCTCAAGACCACCACAATGCAGTGACCATCACACAGTCTGCAGACAGAGACGCTACTTTGGGGCTGCTTTATTTGAAGTCCTTACTGCAAATCCCTCCCCTAATTCCTGTTCTCCACACCGCTGTCCTAACATCACACTGAAACAAGCACTCTGTGCTTTCCTCCTGAACCACAGTGAACTCAGGAGCCCACAAGTCAGGAAGCAACCAGCCTGCCACGTAACTGGGACAATGGATAAGGAGAATGGAAGCCAAAACCCCCTTACTCTTAAACCAAACAACTCTATTCTTATTCAAGGAAAAGCCCCGTAGGAGCCCAATGAGGAGACATCACACTTCAGGGGAGTTTAGCCATTAAAATACAGCGCTGCCTGCTTTTGAGTGCCTGGAAACCTCACCAGCCTGCCTGATCCTTAAACCTGCCTGCACAGTGTGAGCAACCAGCCTGGGACAATGGATTCACATATGGGGACTTAAAATAGGCCTTCTTGAAAGCTCATAAATATCATAGGTAAATATAGAATCCTAGAATAGTCAGGGTTGGAAAGGACCTTAAGATCCTCCAGTTCCAACCGCCATGGAACCCTGCATGGGCAGGAGCTGTCTCTGCTCCTGTTCTCCCCTCGGCAGAGCCCAAGTAATGCTCTCATCCTCCTGGTTCTGCTTGGGAGCTGCTGGTTCACGTGAAGCCCAACTGCACAAACTGATTCCTTCTAAGATGTGTGGTCAACAACCAGGGCCAGATGTTCACTGCAGCCACAGGTACCAGCCTATCGAAGCTGTCCGAGTCTATCTGCTCTCCTGTGTGGTTCACCCTACACGTGCTGCAGCAGGAAAACATTAAAGGATGAGTATTGAAAAGGTGGCTGTGTGAGATCACAGGTTAAAACACTGGGCACGAACAACTCCTGCCCTAATGCAGCAGCAAAGACAAACCTTCAGACACCCCAGGAAGGGTTTTCAAGTAGAAGTTCTTCCTAAAAGTAAACTCATTTTTAAGTGCACCCCACTGCACTAAACACATTGTTAAAGGGGAGCACCTGATGCTTGCCCCTCATGGAATGGTTTGGGTTGGAAGGGACCCTAAAGCTCCTCCAGTTCCAACCCCAACCCCTTCCACTGGAGCAGCTTGCTCCAAGCCCCTGTGTCCAACCTGGCCTTGAGCACTGCCAGGGATGGGGCAGCCACAGCTTCTCTGTCCCTGCCCACTGCTGGTGCCACGAGCCCCAGTTCAGAGCCTGAACAGAGCCAGCCCCAAGTCCTGCTCCTGCAGGTAAATAAATCCAGGGCGGTTCCGGGATCAGCTTTTTGCAGTTCTAAACCTGGCAGTGGGTGAGGGCAGTTAAAGCCTGAGAGCAGCTCTTGTGAATCCTAGAACCAACCAGGCTGGAAAAGCCCTTCAAGCTTATCCAGTCCAACCCTTACCCCAGCCCTGCCAAGGCCACCCCCAACCCATGGCACTGAGGCCTCGTCTCCTCGGTGTGTGAACACTTGCAGGGCCGGTGCCTGCAGCCCTGCCCTGGGCAGCCTGTTCCAATGCCTGAGCACCCTCTGGGGCAGGAATTGTTCCTCAGCTCCATCTAAACCTGCCCTGGTGCAGCTTGAGGCCGTTTCCTCTTGTCCCATCCCTTGTTCCTTGGGAGCAGAGCCCAGCCCCTCCTGGCTCCATCCTCCTGTCAGGCACTTGTAGGGAGCCATCAGGTCCCCCCTGAGCCCTCTCCCCGCCTCTCCCAGGGCACGGCAGCGGCAGGAGCCGCGCTCACCGGCGCAGGCCCCGCACGGAGCCGGGCCCCGGGCGCAGCGGTAACCGCAGCCCCCCCGGTACCGTGGCTCCGCCGCCCGGTCTCCCCCGCCGGCTCCTCGCGGTCGCTGCCCCCGGGCCAGCCCCGCCGCCGCCAGGGCCGCAGCACCCAGAGCAGGCCCAGCCCGGCCCCCGCCGCTCCCAGCGCCAGCGCCAGCGCCACGCGGCCGGGACCGGGACCGGGGCCGGGTCCCGCCTGCGCCATGGCCGCCCTGCCCTGCCCGGCCCGTGCCGGCGCGCTGCGGCAGCGTCACCACGGAGCGGCCTATGGCATGCAGCGGCGTCATCAGCCAGCGCCGGGGCGGGGCCTGGGCGGCGTCACGTGGACGCCCGGGGGGCAGCTGCGCTTTACGTGCCGCAAGAGCAGCAGCAGCGGTACCTGCACGTGCGGGTGCGCATGCAAATACAGCTGCAAGTACACCTGCGGGTACACATGCAGGTACAGCTGCAAGTACACCTGCACCTACACCTGCGGGTACACATGCAGGTACAGCTGCAAGTACACCTGCACCTACACCTGCGGGTACACATGCAGGTACAGCTGCAAGTACACCTGCACCTACACCTGCGGGTACACATGCAGGTACAGCTGCAAGTACACCTGCACCTACACCTGCGGGTACACATGCAGGTACAGCTGCAAGTACACCTGCACCTACACCTGCGGGTACACATGCAGGTACAGCTGTGGGTACAGCTGCAAATACACCTGCAAGTACACCTGCGGGTACAGCTGCAAATACAGCTGCAGCTACAGCTGCGGGTACAGCTGCAGCAGCACCGGTACAGCTACAGCTGCTACAGTACCGGTACATCTGCAACTACAACAGTACCAGTAGAGCTACAGCTCCAACAGTTCCGGTACATCAGCATCTACAACAGTACCTGTACATACCCTACAGCGGGCCTGAACCTAGAGGTACAGCACCACCTGCTCCTGCAACTGTACCTGTATATGCACTTACAGCTCCACCTTCACTTGTCCCTACAGCAATACCTACACCTGCACTCACAGCTGAATCTGTACTGCATCTGCACCTGTAGCTACATGTGCACCTCTACCTACAGCTGCATGTGCACCTCTACCTACAGCTGCACGTGCACCTCTACCTGCAGCTGCATGTGCACCTACACCTGCACCTGTACCTACTTCTACACCTGTCTGTGCTTCTCTGTACACCTACAGCTGCACCTGCACCTGCACTTACACCCCCCCTTGAACCTCCACCTCCGCTTGTGTCTGCTCCCCTGCCCACACACCCACCACAGCGACCCAACCGCCAGCACCGCACCACAGCCTCAACGACCACCCCAGCAGCACCGGTCCCCCCCGAACCGCTACAGCCGCAGCACGCCACCACGCCTGGCGCTGCAACCACGGGGCGCTGGGCTTTAGTTCTGGTGGTACCGGGAGAAACACCCCAAGTGCTGCTGGCTCCTCACCTGCCTTCGCTCCGTGACCTGCACCCATCCCTGCCAAGTGACAAGCGGCAGGCGCAGGGGCGCAGCGGCAGTGGCAGACCCCGATGGGGTGCGGAGGAGCCACAGGCTGTACCTGTGCCCATGGCTGGGCTGCGCAGCCCGGCAGCATCCTGCTCCTGCGGATATTAAAGATGGTATCTGACCGCCAGCGCCGCAGCGGGGCCGCTGCTCCCTGCCACGCGCTAATGAAACTCATCACAATGGACTTTGGCAAGGAATAATCCCTGGGAAAAGCAGGAGTTTTTCCCTTTAACCCGTTTATACCAGCAGAAAAGAGCCACGTGCCGGGGGTAGAAGGGGCAGAAACCCCCACTGGGTGTGATGTTCCCATGATATCTGATGATGTGTTGCCCCAAAACGTGTCAGAGGCAGAAGGAAGCTCTTCAAACCCCACTTGCCTCTCATAAGGCTGGGATGAGGGTGATGATTTCTGCAGAGCCAAATGACCTTTTGCTTTCTTCTACGCCAGTTACTGGCAGTGATCCCAAGCAGCAGCTCTCCTGGTCCCTGTTTCGGGCTGTAGCCTGGTCGGAGCCAGCGCTGAAGGGCAGTAACTCGCTTTGGGATGATGGATGGTACCACTGGGGTGCTCTGCTCTGTGCTTTGCAGCTCCTTTGCACGCCGCCGCAGGGCTCCGGCTGCCTCCCGGATCCCGGAATCTCACCGGAAAATTCAATACTGAAGTTCTGTGGCAGCTCCTGCTTCCACCTCCGCTCTGGAGCAGGAGCTGGGCACGCTGCCCGTTAGTGAGTGTCATTTATGGACAGAGCGAAGGCTCTGGATGCTGTACCCGTGTGCTCTTCTGCAGCACTGGGATTCGCAGTGAGGCTGCCCGGGGGGATCCAAAGGGGTTGTGGATGTTGGGATCACGTTGGAATCCATCAGAACCCAGGTGAACTGCGCAGGAGGCGGCGTTTCCTGTGCATGGGTCAGTCAGCATCATGTTCAGTGGTTGCACCAGAAGCCAAACGTGGGTTTACACTGGAAAACAAGAGCTACGAGTAAATATTTGGGCTGTTCTGGCAGCAGGGATTGGGGAAAACCCTCCTTAGGATGGCAATGATCCAAATGAGCCGATGTTTAACCCACGGCACTAGGCATCCCTCCCAGCTCATGATGAATACATGGGATATCCGGGGCGCGTTTGAGGAAGGTGATGCCATCAGCCTGGGCTGGTTGTTCCCCTGATCACACCAAACCCAACAAACAAGCTCATACCAACATTAATAGCAGTGGGGAGTGAGGTTTGGCTTTGAGCGTCCCCTTTAGCCCAGGAGCCAACATGTCTGTTTGCTCCCTGCTGGAGTTAATCAGTAGCTGGGGAGCACAGAGAGCCTGGCCCCGGTCCCATGGGAAGAGCCTGTTCCACCCGGGAACATCCTTCTCCTGCTTTCTCCTGTGGTCATTTACTTCCCACCATTAACAGCAGAATTAGCCCCTGATTCCGGCTTGCTCATAGCTTCTGGGGAGCTGCCTGGCGAGGCTCCTGCTCGCGTCTGGAGGCCCCAGGACCATTATCTGCTATTGATGGCAATAGGCTTTGATTTATAGACACTTCTCAAGCTGCAAAGGTGGGTGCTGAGGGGTGAATTACTGCCTCAGCACCTACAGAGGAAGCACCTCTCCCTGCCCCCCGCCTCAGCTGAGCTTCAACTCCAATTTTGAAGGGATTTAGCACCCAGTGTTCCCAGATTAAAGCTCAACAGCCCCTGGAGAAAGGGACTTTCCCCCCAGTATGCTGGTTATGCCAAGCCTCTGCTTCAGGGGGGTGTTTGGAAAGGACCCTGGGGTGGGATCTGGGGTGTTCTGCAGGGTGCAGGGCTCCTGCCTGGCCCCTGGTCCATCATCTCCCAGCCTTCATGTCCCTCTCCATCATTTCCCAGTCCTTTATCTCCCTGTCATTCATTTCCCAGTCCTCCGTGTCCATTGTCCATTATTTCCCTGTTCGCTGCCGTCTGGTCCTTTGTCTCCCTGTCCACCCTCTCCTGCCCATCATCTTGTCCATCATCTCCTGTCCTCCACCTCCCTGTCAGTTGTCTTCCAGTCCGTTATCTTGTGACCCATCACCTTCCTGTCCATCATCACCTGCCCCGTTTCCCTGCCCATCACCTCTGGTCCCGTCCCCGTGTCCATCACCCCCTGCCCATCACCTCTGGTCCCGTCCCCGTGTCCATCACCATCTGCCCATCACCTCCCGGCTGCTCTCCCCTCCCACCCCCGACGGTACCATAAAGGGGTCCCCAAGCCCCTTGAGCCCTCGGGGGGAGGCTCCGCCACGCCCGGGCCCCGCTTTAACCATGCCCGGGGGCGGTGGCTCTGCGGGGCGGGACGCTGGGGGCGGCCCCGGGCACGGCCCCCCCCGGGGCGGCGGCGGGAGCAGCGGGAGCAGCGGCAGGATGCCGTACGTCCTCATCAGCACGCAGATCCGCTTGGTGAGTGCGGGCCCCGCACGGGACGGGGCGGCCGCGCTGAGCCCCCCGAGAGCGGCGGGGACCGCAGCCCCGGGGTGCCGGGGGGTGATGCCCCGACCCCGGTGCCCGCAGGACCAGGGTGCCCCAACCGCCCCCCCCCCCCCCCCGTGCTCGTGAAGGGTGCGGGGCGATGCGGAGCGCCCGGTGCCCGCCGCCGCGGAAGCCCCGTCCGTGCTGCGCAGCGAGATCGCACCTCGGGAACTCGGTGCAGGGGCCCGGGAGCGGCCGCGGAGCTCCGGTCCGAGCGCTGCGCTGAGGGCGCAGCCCTTCAGCCTCTGTGATCCGTATAAAGGAACCGCTCCTGGGTGGTGGGTGCCGCCGGGATGTCCTGCAGGGCTGCGGGAGCCGACAGCCGCCCCTTGCCCGGGGGGGTCCCGAGAGCCCAACGCGAAGGGGCTGAAAGCTGAACGCGGGTGATGTGGTTTTGTGGGAGGAAGGGGGTAACGGTGGGCAAAGCAAACGGACTGGAGAGTGGGAGCTGGGTGAGGGACGGGGTGGGGAGAGAGGGAAGATGTTCTGTTACACAGCTCAAAGAGCAGGGACTTGGGTGCGAGGGGGATGCTGCAGCACTGAAGCATCCATTGGCAGCAGTGTTTGGCACCATACACGTCCATGAAGTGACTACAGAGACAGAGGAAGCTCCGCTTGGTTGGGGGCCATCGAACCTTAGGGAAGAGTGTGCAGGAGGGTAGCTGGGCCAGCAGAGCTCAGCATGATCCCCACTGGAGGCTTTGGAAGCTGCGCTTCAGCCGGGCACAGCAAATATCCCCAGCAGAGCCTTGGATTGGAGCCATGGCTTCAAAAAGCACAAAGGGCTTGGCAGGGGCTGGGCTGGGCTGCCTTGCCCCGGCAGCACCACATGGCACCTCTGCCGGGGGTTCGCAGCCTCTTCCTCTGCTCCAGGGCCTTTTCCAGTGCTCCCAGCAGTGGAACGCACCTGGGCTTGTGCAGCTCCAGAGAGCCACAGGGGTGCTGCGAGGGCTGGAGCAGCTCTGCCATGGAGCCAGGCTGAGAGAGCTGGGCTGGGGCAGCCTGGACAAGAGAAGGCTCCTGAAGGGGAGACCTGAGAGCAGCTCCAGTGCCTGAAGGGGCTGCAGGAAAGCTGGAGAGGGGCTTGGGACAAGGGATGTAGGGACAGGCCAAGGGGAATGGCTTGAACCTGCCTGAGGGGAGACTGAGCTGAGCTCTTAGGCAGAAGCTCTTCCCTGGGAGGGTGCTGAGGCGCTGGCACAGGGTGCCCAGAGAAGCTGTG